TTGCTAGAAAAATAAGATCATATCTCATTTTCTAGTGAATGTGCAGAAAGCTGGAAAATAATTGCCAAGCCTGGTAAGATTAATTAGAGCCACTGTTGCTATTGTAGGACAGTGTTTGATTTCATTTTAATATAGGAATGAATGCTAGTGAGGTCTGTGCAGGAGGTAACTGGAAGACGAAAGGAGAATCTCCGTACAACTTTATGAAGTTTCCACTCCTCACAAGTGTAGAGAAAAATAAAGTTCATGTAGAAAGCATGAAACCAAAAAGCTAAGTACCTGAAAACAAGTAGTAGAACCTGAAAACTGCTATTTTAAAATATCCTAAGTCACATATATAGGGCAATCTCTTGGTGTTAGAGGGTCTGTCTCAGGAAGTTTGGGTGCTTAGGGTTATCTGCTGCATGTTTAGCTGCTATTGCCACAGCTGATGAATGCAAACCAGACTTTTGCTCTCTAGTTACTTTAGACACACCTCTCAAACATATTTATTTCTGGACAAATTCTGTACTTGTTACAGCCAGGTAGGATATTTAGTGTTCTGGGAGGATTTACAGGAAAAAAACCTTGTTGTCTCTTCCTCCATAAAATTAAGTAAATTTACCAAGAAAACAAAACCACAGAACAAGTGAAACACATGCCAGACTGGTCTGTTTAATCACTGATCCATTATTGTTTGTGTGTGTAGACTGCTAACTCTTTGCTCTTCACACCTTGCTAACATATTCTGCACATTGTCAAAAAACCTCAAGCTGCGGCTCTCACCACCACCACCGCGTTGCAGGCTGTCTTGGAAGCGAGCTTGGAGGATGTACTCTGATGAGAAGCCTAGAGAATAATGCCATAATTGTCTGCTTCAGGCTTTTGGTAATTAAAGGCGGGAGAAAGCACAGAAGAAATTAATAAAATGACTGCCAGATGTCCGATTGCTGTTGGAAAAAGCTGACTAGCTATAAACCAGCTCCAGTTTTCAAGTCAAGTTGGCAAGTTAGCATGGTGCTGGGCTAACAGCTCCTAAGCTTGTGCTTAGTGCCACAGCACCGTAACTCTTCGGCATTCACCCACCTCTGCCTGAGGAGGAGTGGAAACATCCCTCTCTGTGCTTGCCCAGCTCCTGCTGTTTTTAAACAATCTCCTCCCAGTATTGCCGATAACATTTTTCCGCCTTTGTCTGTTACCCCGCCACACATTCTGCTTTGATGCTGGACCCAGGCAGGTGGCTTGGCCTTACCTCGTCCTCTGTCCCTGCTCTGCATGGCTGCTAACCAATTGTTAGCAGGCTTAAATTTGCTATAGATAGGGCACCACATCCACTTGACAATTTGTAAGGGTCTGTAGATGAGAAAAATACCCACATTCCTGTGTAAAGTGCAGCAGCTTTCCTACAGGCTGCTCTAAGAATGCCCCAGTTCTGTCAATTTAGTTAGCTTTTTGTTTCACACCAAAGCTCTAGTCTCTGACAGTCCACCCTTCAGTTCCTCTTATGTAGCTCCTGGACTCCTATGAGGAGCAAACCAATTTGGAGAAGAGACCAGCTAGCTCACTGCCTGCTTGGAAGGTAGCCTTCAAGCACACGAGCAAAGTCAGTCAACTTTAGTTGATACTGTGCCAGGGCCTGCACCCTGGCCTGGGTCACAAACCTGCTACACACACAGTAAAACACTGAGGGCCTTAGCAGCGTTAAATGTCACATGCTTTCTCCTTACCTCCTTCACAGAAAATCTCATGCCTTCTTTTGCTCTCTGTCACTGTTTTTGCCCAGCAGAGGCCTTTTCCGAACATTTTTACTCCAAACATTTTTATTTCGTGTAGAAATACGAAAGCAAATTAAAAATTATGCTCTCAGTTTCTTGTCTTCCACGTTCATGTCTTATCCTTTGGGCCATGATGCTGTGATAGGTTGACACTTGTCACTCTAATTCCTAAAGCATTACTAACAATACAATGTGTTTTTACTTTAGCCATGTAGGTAGGTAGTATAGTCAATTCTGCACAAGTCTGAGATTATAGATAAGAAAATAATTCAATTTTTTGTGGGGAGATCTAATTCCGTCAGGGTGATGCTAATTTTCACAAACACAGCATGGTAGCTGTCACAAATACTGTGCTTCTTAGAACTAGTAAAGGCAGTCTGATTTTATAACAGTGCTAGTACATGCTCATCAGGTTTGTGCTAGTTCTCTGTGCAGGTCACCATTTATTTCTTAAAACTCCACTGCTATGGCAACAAATTAAATATTTTGTTCACTTAAAGGCTAATGAGATTACTCTAGAAGAGAAATTGAGGGCATTTATCAGAGATTCTTTTTTACAGTGACAGATACTGACAAATGTAATAATAAAGGTAACATCCACAGAATTAGTTGAAGTAATTGTCAGAATAAGAAGAAAACTACAAATTACGGATTTGTAAATACAACCAAATAACCATTTCCTAATGATTTTTTTTTTTCCTGAAGTCTTAATTATTCTAAACTGGGGAGAGAAAGAGCAAATATTAACATCACAACTAGCTCCTCTGTTGGTACTAGCAACAAGACCCAGAGCTCTTTACTGCTCAGTTTCTCACTTTAAACCAACCCAAGCTGGTGATGACTGAAATGCATTTGTCACATGCCAGATGGCGTAACTGATACGGGTTGGTGGCTTCAGCCAAGCTTCTGATCACATCACGATCACTTCTACCATGACTGCCAACTTCTATTCTATTCTTCTATTTTATTCTATTCTATTCTATTCTAGTCTATTCTAGTCTAATCTAGTCTAGTCTAGTCTAATTCTAGTCTAGTCTAGTCTAATTCTAGTCTAGTCTAGTCTCTACCCTATCCTAATTTTTACTTTATCCTAATTTCTATCCCATCCTATCCCATCCTATCCCATCCCATCCTATCCTATCCTATCCTATCCTATCCTATCCTATCCTATCCTATCCTATCCTATCCTATCCTATCCTATCCTATCCTATCCTATCCTATCCTAATTTCTATCCTACTGTGCTCTACACTTTTCTCCTCGGAATAGCTACATTCCTGTCCTCCCACTGCAAGAGGTCTGGTTGATTTTTTTTTTTTTCTGTACATACTGCTGTGTGATAGTAACACCAAAGGCAAGACAGGAAGTTTTCCTTGCATTTTTAAGTCTCACCACAGAGGCTAAGACTGGATATCTCCTCAGAAGAATAAACTATTTTCCTGCACAAGACTACACAAGCTAATAAGTAGCATTAGTAATGTCAGTGATATTGTGTTACTTTGGTGCATAGACATGATTTTATGTGAGCAAGAAGAGGTGCCTTGCCTGTTCACTGTCTCTTGGCTGATGCCGGTCAACCCAGGTGTCAGCCCTGAGGAACAGCTCCAGAAATCATCCTGTGTCAAGCAGAATGCATGCTGTAGCCTGAGTTGAGCCTAATGGTTCAGTTTAATCCCAGACAGACTTTTTATTTTGGGGGAAGTGGGGCTTGTAGCACCATGTGACCTCCTTAGGTACTTCATTAAATACAAATAAATAGAAAAAATCTGACTTCAGTAGGATCTGGTATCACGTGGCAGTTTCTAATAAAAGAATAAACTTAAATGTTTACTCTTAAATGTTTAAATGTACAAGAGAAAAATGTTCAGGTAGCTACCTACACGATCTTGCAGTGAGCTCAACATGAAGGGAGAAGCAAAGCACACACGCAAATGGGCCAGTGCTCTTTGCTTTTGTGAAGTATTGGTCAGGAAAATGGAGATGAATTCTCTCCCCATTAACTTCTGCCTTTCAGTTGCTGATCAGTCTCACTAGTCATGGCAGCTTGCTCATACCAGCCAGTGGTAGTGGTTTAAGTTGGCTCCGCTCCCTCTTTGGGGCTCACAAGCAATAGGGAGTGTAGAAAGAACTATGGCCTCAAGGAAATGCAGTAAGAGTTCTGTTTTGGACCTAATTAAGTGGTGTTGAAAAAACATTGCACATATAGTATTTTTAGAAGGTTGCTTTGAGAAAAAAACCCAATCTGTTAAATGCCCCTTCACTGCAGTTCCCAACACAGAACATGCATCGTTCCCAAATCAGGGCAGCAGTAATTTGGAGGTGCTGTTTTGCATGATGAATAATAAAACATACCTATTTTCCTCCACCTCCACAGCACAGTTCTCTTTGGCGGCCACAGGCCTGTTCATCTTACGCAGCCCAGTGTTTTGAGGAGAGGATGTCGCAACTGGCTTTTTAGCTGTAAACATCAGTGCTCCCATGCCCTGGCTGATGAACTGCTTCCTTTCTCAAACCTTTCTCAGAGGTGTGAGGATCTGGAAAACGCTTTTGGAAAGTTTCAGAGAAGAAACTCCTAGCTAGCCGCACATTTCTGAGACCTGGTAAGGCCAAGCCAGGCCACCGGGGAAGCTGACAGGACACGTAGTGGTGAATAATTTCTCTTGGAGCAAACAAATTGCATTACTACTGTACTCCCACCACAACTGGTCTTTCCATCCCACTTTTGTCCTGCACTAATGGCGCCTGGGGCAGTAACCCCGGGGAACTGCCGATGGAGAGGGGACGCAGCCGGGGCTGAGCTCAGCCCTTGTCTCCTGAGGGAAGGCACGACGCCCCCCCCCCCCCCCGCGCTTGGCGCACTGTGGAAACAAGAGGGGAAGCGGGACCTGACTGCCTGCCCGCCTGAGGTACACCGCCGGAGCCCGGGGCATCGAGGGGGGGAGAAGTACTCGAGGGAACAACGTCCCCATTTCAAGCAAAGAATAAAACGGAGTACGTAGACACAGCCCCACGACCGCCCCCTCCGCGGTCCCGCACACCCTCGAAGCCCCGGGCGGAGGGGATGGGGGGGCTCGTCGAGATCTTCCAGCGCTGCGGCAAGCTCGGCGCTTCAGGCGGGAAAACCCTCCCGCGGAGGCGAGGCCAGGCCCGGGCCCGGCCGCCCGGCGCGCTTCCCCTTTAAGGGTGCGCTCGCGCTCCCGCCCCGCCCCGCAGCCCTGCGGCAGCACAGGCAGCGTTGCCGCCTCCTCCTCCTCCTCCTCCACCGCGGCCGGGGGCAGGCGCTCCTCGGCGGCTGAGGGGCAGAGCGGGGCGGCAGCATGTCCACTAAGGCGGAGCAGTGTGAGTGGCGGGGCCGGGCGGCGCGGCGTGGCGTGGGTCAGGGCCTGTCCGAGGGAAGCGCGGGGAGGGGGGCGGAGGCGCCTTCCCGGCGCTGGAGCTGCCTCACCGCCGGCTGTCAGCCGCCCCGGCGGGGTAGCGGTGCCCGGCCTCCGCCCGCTTTATGCGGCGTTCGCGTAGCAGCTAATGCGAGGGGGGGGGGGGGGGGGGGGGGGCGCAACTGCCTTCGTTCTGGCTCTTTCTGTCTCTTTCTGTCTCGGCCGCCGTCCCCGGCCCTTGTGGGGAGGCGGCGTGTGCGCGCAGAGGCAGCGCCGGCGGCCTGAGGGGAAGAAGTGAGGGAGAACAGGGTTGGGGGGAGAGTTGAAGCTTGAGACCGCCGCCCTGGCCCTCCGGCCTGCCTTGGTTGCCGGCGCTGTGCCCCCTCCCAAAGGCTGGAGCCACTGGAGATCTGACTCCGGAGACGGGAGGGGACCCAGGTGTTGCCATCTTGAAGGTGGTCTTGCTGCGAGATAGAGTGAGAAGGGGGGTGTGCTGCCACTCTTGCCCGTGCTGTTTGCCTTGGGGGTGCATGGAGACTGGGTGTTACGGTCTCGCCTACGTGCTGCCGGCCGCAGCCCCCAGAGCAGGAGCCCCCCCAGGTGCTGATGTCCCCCTGCGTGGGGCCTGGCGTCCCTCCACACGGCCGTGGGTGTTTTAGCCACCACGTTGGCTAGACCCCATCGGAGCAGGATCCGATGACCCGGTGGTTGGGACATCAGCAGCTGGGCCGTGCTCGTGCTCCCCACTGCTGTTACTGCTGATAACGACTGGCACATCTGCGAGAGCCCTGGTGGGAGGCTTAAAGAAAAATACCAGGGTAGTCGAGCTTGTTGCCCGTCTCGAAGCTGCTTTCTGTCCTGATGCAGTGTCACGGTTGTGAGCCTGGCAGTCTGTGACCAGTAGGTTGGATTGATGTTTGTCATGAGGACATGATGTGTTCTGACATCTCACACGCTGAGACTTGCTGTCTCCTTCCTCCAGATCACTGGGAAGGATCCTTCTATTTATGTATGCCTGTGCTGAACTGATCTAAGGAAAAGAATACTTTTTTTTTTTTTTCTTTTAGGGTTTATTGCTTATTAAGAGTGATGGATGATGTTGCTATTAAATTATTATGTGGATACTAATTTATTGCTGTAGGGATGCGCTTCTGGCCTCAGAAATAGAGACGCAATGTTCTGACCGTGCAGCAGCCTTGGAGGATGCAATGTTCAGATCTGTACCGTTCTGTTCTTTCTGCCTTCCCCACCCCCTACCTGAGTTCTGTAATTCTTTCTTCTTTCTTGTGGTACTTGCACATTAATTATGCTTCTTTCACAATGGCATATGGGAGAATTTCTGCTGCCTTTTGTCCCAATGTTGCCTTTGGCATTTTCTTCTTTTTCTATTCTGCCTTCTCTGTTCCTCCACTCCTAATGCTTTTGGTCTGCTCTGTTTGAGCTTCTGTTTCATATTCTACCTTTGGCTGTTTTTAATTTTTATCCCTTTGTATTGTTCAAGCCACTGCATCTTGGCCTGCCATGTCCTTGTTGCTATCTATTTTAAGATTTACTTGGGATCCAAATTTCAGATGTTTCTGCCTCCTAACATTTTTTTTTTATGATGCTCCAGGTAGAGTATTTGGTTAATGGACATATCCTGTGCGTTCTAACCTACTGAATGTATTTTGTTTACCAAGGCTGTTCCCCTGACTAGCTATTATGGCACTCCCCAATGTCTTTGTCTCTACATAACTTCAGGATTCCCTCACCTGCAATTTTTGACAAATGGTTATGGCCTTCGACAAGGATTATATCAATGTGCACACATCACTGCCAGACAGACCTTCAAAACCCAACTGTTGCTGTTGTTGCTTCCTCCCTCAATGACTGACAGGCAAGAACCAGAATGTCTTGGGAAGGAGTCAAGTCACAAGTCATAATGAATCTCAGTTTGCCAAGAACATCAGCAAAACACTAGGAATGATGAAACAGACTGATCAGAACAGAAGAGGCGCTGGTCTAAACATGAATCTGTAGCTACCCCACAGCTCTTTGGCAGGTTGTATGAACAGGTAAAATGGTGGCAGTCTGGGGAATCGTCTTGAGAAGCCTCCCTTTTTTGTGACCACATGCATCTTGTGTCTCATGCCAACAGTATTGACAGTGACTTTCATCATTTGACTCATCATGGCATGCCTGAGGTGTATTCAAAGAAAATTATTTCTTTTTCACCTTAAATAGCAGTAACTGGTGTTTAGTTGTGGTAAGTAATGCCCTGGGAATACCTGATGCCCATTCTGTTCTTCTCCGGGCCAGTGGATCAGCCAAGACATCTTTAAAGACTCCTAATGGTTTCACACTTGATTCAGTCAATGCTTACAAGGGGGCTATGGAGTTTCATCAGGTCTGTGTAGATCTTAGAGAGATACCTAGCGAAGTATTTTGGAATACCTTTTTTTTTTTCTTTTAAAAATTTCTTTTATCTTACTACCTATGACGATGGCTAAGTACTTCCACAGAGTGATATTAATTTTTGAAGGGTATCTCTAGGTGCTCAGAAACTCAGAAAACTGGGCCATTCACACACTTCTGTATCTTGAAAGCTGGTGAAGTTTTGCTCTGGGACTTTCCTTCAGAAGGTTCTTGGTGTTCTGGGAGGCTGTGCTGAAGTTGTCTGTGCTTTGGGAAACAACTGAAAGCTGAGGTTAAAACCTTTAGCCTAAAGCTAAGGTTAATATTTAGACTTTATAAATACATTTTCTGTTTTGGTGTTTTGCCTGATACAATTGTGTGTCAATGATGATTAATAGAAATAAATAGATTCCTTCTTCATTAAAAAAAAAAGTTATTCTAGATAACCTATACCCGTCATTGTAAATAAGGAGCTATAAAGAGGCAGGCAGTTCCTGAAATAAATCTAGACTTAAATTCTGACATCATCTTTGGCATTTTGTTAATTCAGCTCACTTACAGATATCTGACAGCAAACCATGGCAGCCACAGTAAACTGTGGATCTTGCTGTGAATAGTGGGTACTGTGAAATGTTGTCTGTTTTCTTTGCAGATATGCCTGGCTTCATACTCTTTTTTTTTTTTTTTTTTTTTTTTTTTTTTTTTTTTTCCCCTTGGCAAGAGAAAGTAGCGTCACAAAATAAATTTATGAAGTAATTTATTTCTTAATATAACCTAATCTAGAATAGTTTTTACAGGGGTCTTCATGACAGTTTTAAGAAAATAAAAATGTCTATCCTTAAATAATATGGTAAATTGACCTGCAAATCTGAGACTAAAACTGAGATACTGGGCAGAAAGAGTGAGGCGTGTGTTGAGGAGGGGAAAACAAGACACGGGCTGCTAAAATAAACTGTAATCTGGAGTGAAACACATCATGACCACGTTACTGCCCCAGTGGTTTTGGGGGGGGGGTGTAGGAGGCTAGTTGTGGCTGGTGTCACAGGGACAGGGATAACCTCCTGCAGAGCACGGGTCGTGTGCCACAGGCCTGTGTGGTGACCTGAAAGGCTTTGGACTTGCTTCTTGCTCTGCTGGGCCAATCTGTGTCCAAGTGACCAAACTTCTGGTTTCAGTTGCTTGGGGAGGGGGGAAAAAGTCACCTTAAAATAAATTTGTGAAGTAAAATACTTAAAAGTGAGGAAATATAATTCAAGTTGCTTGTGCATCTTTAGTTTATTACTCTTACCTAAGCATTATGACTGTGTTGCTAGTTGCATTTTTACTTGCTGTTTTCCCATAGACCGCAGCCCTGTTCAGTCACATAATGGGCTTTCTTCATGTGATGAAGCAGGGTAATACTGTGAGGGAGACTTTTGTCTGTAGAAGCTTCTCTTGCTGCTGAAATTGGGAGAGTGTGGTCAGTACAGTGGGAAATGGGAGACAGGCTGATCATCGTAAAGGCAGTTGGGTGCTGGAAGACGGCGTTTCTTGTCATGCAATTCAAGCAAACAGTATTATTTGCTTGATGGTTATTTGAGTGTTCCTCTTTTTATGGATAAGTGACTTGAAATTTTCAAACCTGATTTATTGTGTGACTGAGCACTCACAGATGTTTTTGTTTACTGGAGGTGAAAGCCCAATATGTACTGCTATCAACACTGGCAAAAGCGCTCTCAGTATCTCAAGCCCAGCGTCCAACAGCAGTTGCTAACACTTTGCTCTGGGTGCCTGTCCTTCAGTCTTTTTCTGTAATATGGATATGACGTCACTCTTTCTCATTCAGTTTGTCAATGATACAGAAAAAAATCAGAATGCTCATGAGGTGTTCAGATACAGCAGCAGTGAGAGTTATAGTGATGTCTCTCGGGAAGTTAGTGCCCTTCTGTTCACTGGAGGACTTAATGGTATTCTTTTTTTTTAATAAATGCTATTTGACAATAAGAGTGAAACAAAGTATTGATTAATTGCTCATTAAGGAAGCTCAATTTGTCTTCCACACTGAAGGAGTCCTGTAGGGGAACAAGGTATTTCTTGATGTCATAATCCGTATGCTCAAGGGCTGAAGTTATTCAGAAGCATCTCCCCTTTTAACTGCCTATTACACAGTCTTGGTGCACTTCTAACATGATTAAGAGTTCCCGGCCAGCTCTGCTTGAGGCCATGTCTGAACAGTGATGCTATGGAGCACTGCTGAGCCGTCTAGCTGGAAGCGCGGTTGAGCTGGTGCTTCTGTGACTCTGCCACAGTCAGTGCACTCTGTTTCTCAGCAGAGTCGATCAGTCTGAGCAGAGCAAACAGGAGTTGAGTGTGCTCAGGTGTCTCTGATGAGACTGTCCTGTGCCATATAGGCAATGTAAAGCATTGCAGCTATGGTGGGTCATCAGTTTTTTCCTATACTGAAGAAGGATCTCTATTAGGAAATAAACCCACTATTATTTCTAAAACAACCAAAAAAATGCTTTCAGTAGAGGTGTAGAGCTCCTACTGCTATTTGAAATCCCGTCACCTGCTTGATCAGACTTCCTAAGACATTTAACTAAACAACACCGATCTTTTAATATCTTTAGTTCATTGCATGAAAAAAATGTGTGGCCCAAAGCAAATCACATAAGCTCTTTGTCTTAGTTTATATATCTGCTTTGGCTGTAGAAGTATTTTTCTGCCTCACATGAACCTCCTGTGATCCAATGACTCATTCATTGTGAGTGAATCTTGAGATGCTTGGAAACAGAGTCGTAGTGCAGAGTTTTTTGTTGTTGTTGTTCTAGTGGTGTTTTTTTTTGTTTTTGTTTTGCTTTTTTTTTTTTTTAATTTGCTAGCACTAAGTTGATCTAACACAGATGCAGGCATTCACTTCCATGTTTTCCCCTTGTCACTCTTACACCAGAGTGTCCAATTTATTCAGCCAAAATAGAAGGAATAGAGGGACTTCTGTTTTTTTGCAGTTTAATTCTTAAATTAAAAAAAAAAAAATCAGAAATGGTAGGAGGAGAAGTGATTCTGTCAAAGTCTGCAAAATACCTAAATGTAAGTTTCTGTGTTTGTTTTTTGTCTTTTATGTAGTTGCTTCCAAAATCCGTTACCTTCAGGAATACCACAACCGGGTTCTCCACAACATTTACCCTGTGCCCTCTGGAACTGACATTGCAAATACTCTGAAATACTTTTCTCAGACGTTATTGAGGTAAGTTTTAACTAATGCTCTTGAAGAAAAAAGAGCTAAAGAATTGTAAGGGGTATTGATTGACTTTGAATTGGTTTCAAAACTTAATGGGTCAATGCTCAGCCAAAAAAGAGTCAGAGCATAATTTAAGAAGAGAATGGTATGAATTAATCTCTTCAGTGGCTGTTGCCCAATTTGCCCAGTTGAGCTGCTTATTGAGTGGCTGATTCTAAAATAAACTTGGTTGATTACACATTTGCTTGCCCCCCCCCCCCCCCCCAAGACTTAGCTGAATTCACAAACATGCTGAACTTGTGAAGAGAGGAGTTTGTAACCTATGGAGTTTTAGATGTGCATATGCATGACCTACTGGACACTTCTGGTGCCTCAGGATCCTAGAGTGATAAGCCACATGAGCAGAACTAGGTTCTTACTGTGCCATGGTTCAGCTGGCTGTCAGGTTTGGGTTCTGGTTCAGTCCCTTATAACAATAGGAGTAGACACAAAGTTTATATACAGATCTGGATTTGGATGGCAACAGCAGGTCAGGACTGTCCTGACCCGGGATGGGGACGTTAATTTAACCCAATATTTAGTAATAGTATATAGTACTAAATACCATATAATTACAGACTACATTTTGAATAGCAAATACTACCTCTTGTCTTGCTAAAAACGTATGAAAAATTGTGAGACTTAATTAGGGATGACACACATTCCATGGTGCTACCTAGTGGATTCATATTTTCAAATTGTTTTTAAAACGGCTTTTGACAGCGAAGAGATTATTTTTGTCTGCCCAGGTTTTGACTGGCATTAGTTTTCACATCCAGAAGAATGCAGTTAAAGCTGCATTTCTGTGCATAGCTTCCTGAGATGTTAGTTTGGAAATACAGCTACTTGCCTTATTTGATGAGGAAACACTCATAAAGTACTATTAACCAATATATTTGTACACATACCCCTGTGATATATACAAGTTGAGAAGCAAGAATTTAAACTTGAAAGAATGACAGTAGTTCATTGTAACATTCATTCAGAGCGCATGGGAGGTATCAAAATTCTTGACTGTTTATGAAAAGGAAAGATACATAAATAGGAATACCTTTATCAGTGGAACACCTGTTCACTGTGAACTTAAAACCCTTCTGTTTACTTTTGAAAATTTCAAGAGTAGAATTGTTTAACAGCTGTGAAATTTGTTTCCCTCATCATTTGAAGTGTTAAACTTAGGGCAACCAGTAGGGCTTTTTTTTTTAATGATGAATAAATTAAAAAATTTGTCCCATTATATTGCAGCAGTGCGGAAAAAATGTTCAAAGAGTCACTAAAGATACCTCTGAAATGTGGCTCTGTGCCCACATAAGGCTGTTTTGATGGATTATTTGCACAACACACACACTTAAATTGCATTGAAGTAAGGTTCTGTATGACAAAACAGCCTCTGCTTAAGTGCTGTGGGCCTTTAAGCTGTTAAAGCAAGAAAGTTGGATTTGATTCTGAACAGTTTTTCTCTTAGCTGTACCTACCAAGTGCTATAATGAGCTTAGTTTCTTTTGGGGCAGAAGTTCATTAGGACAGGATAGATTTAGAATCTGCTGCTTAAAGAAAGTGTCTTTATACCACTCTGTTGTCTTCATCTTTCTAAGCGGTACAGCTGACATATCCTGTGTGACAAATTCTTCACATCCCATGAGCAGTGATGTTTCTGGGCTTGCTGAAAAAGCTTTATACTTAGTGACTATGAGAGCAGATCAGAAATCAGGGCAGCAATTGCATAATTGAGCAACTCCGTTTCTTTATTTCATGTTCAGAATGGGACTGAACCAAAATCCTGTTGTTGATAATGCTGAACGCCATGAGGCAGCAGTGATACTCATATCTGATACGCAGATCTACACGAACGGCTTTGTCCTCCATGATCTGGGATCTGATCATCCTCAGAGCTAAAAGGGCACCAGAAATTCAAGCCAGGACTTGGATCTAAATTTAAGTGGACTGAGTTCTGATACTCAGCAAGGTCAAATCCACATTCTAAATCCCCGTAATTGGGGAATTTGAACTGTGGGTCAAAGCCCGAGTGCTGTGGTTGAACCAGTGTAAGTTTATGTAGTTGCTGATACTAAGAAAGAAGCTGGATAAAAAAGCAAAACAAAACACACCCTGTATTTAGTGTGGCAGATGGAAAGAAAGAAACTCCCACCCACTGTGTGCAGATCTCTGCAAGATTTACCCTAAGACTAAACAGACTGGTTAAAGACCTTTCTGAAGGGCGTGTTCAGAAATTTCTTTGAATACTCTGCATGCTGAGTATTCTTTCTGCCTCCTACACTGAGACTCCATTGTGCAAGGTTAAACATCAGTGACAGAAGTACATGGTGGAGAATAATCTTTCTAGCTTGAGACAGAGCATATGCAGTGAAATTTTGCTGCTAAGAGAATACTGATCAAACTAGCAAAAACGTCCATTGGTTTCTGGAGATTTTAGGTCTGGTCTTCAGAATAGGTTGCTTGTGCTCATCTACTATTTTAAAATACCTTGAAAAAATATTTCCCAGTTTGATGTGTACTCTCCTTGCAGCTGAATTTTTTTAGGACAAACATTTCCTGATAAACATATGTAGTCATAGGAATAATGGAGGAAAAGTGATTAGTCAGCAAAATTTCCTATGATGATTGGGTGTTAGAGGTGTAGCTTATACTGTTTATTATACTTTTTACCCTTCCATGTTACGGACACGTTGACTGTGTTCTTTTCAGTGGGGCATGCCCACTGTTTTGGATCACATTCATACCTGGTGTCATTCTGCTAGCTATAGTGGGATTGCACAAGGGATTAATTTGCTCCTTTGCTGTGTACATAGCCTCAGTAAATCACAAGATCATGGGTGGGGGGAACAGATGTGGAATGGCTGAAAAAAATAAATTCCTTATTTCTATGAACAAACATCACATAAAATCACCATACACAATGCATAGCACATTGATTCATTTAGTTCTTTAATTTTCTCTTTGGGCAAAAGCATTTCTTTACATTACAGCATGAATTTGTTTCATGCCCTGCTCATTTTCAGTGTGTTCTCCCTCATTTGAGGAATGATCTAAGACGTAATAAACATCCTGCAGAACAGCTCATTCTTTCACATTTTCTTAGAAATACATACGGAGAGTTTTCCCCAAGTAAAATGTTTTACCTAAGGAGTAGCTATAAATGCCCAGTGACTAATTAATGGTCAAGCTTGTTTTGCTGCCCTGGTGAGATGAAATTCTCTTGTAGGCATTTTAGGAAACCTTTCCTGGAAGGTGGTAATTTTGGGATAGATTTGCAGCAAAGCTGTACAAATCCTGAAACAAGCCCTGGTAGCTTTGTCACTTGTCATGTAGCAAGCTCAGTATGGAGTTACGATCTGCAGACCCTCCGAGTTCTCAGTACTTGGTTTGAACAGAAACAGGAGCAAACTGCAATCATTGTATCTTGGTCTTAGGGGACTTCCTAGATTTTCAGTGTTGACTCTTCTGTTTATTGCTTTTAAAAGATACGGGTTAGGCAAAAGCATGGCTCTGAAAGTTTGGCTTTGTTTTGATTTTTTTTTTTTTTTTTTTTTTTTTTTCCCCTAAATTTGTCATGGTTGCAGCTGCAATATCTAAATTGCAGTCTCATTGCTGTTCCTGAAGCGAACAGAAGGATGTCCTGATCAAGATACAAGGTGGTGTGCTTTGGCCTCTAGTCTATAGATGAGCCATAGCTCCATGTTAAAAGGAAGTGAAGCCTATAGAGTAAGCTCTCCATCTCTGCCTTACACCTTCCAAAGCAAGGATTAATTAATACAGTAATATCCTTTCTGGAAATAAGTGTGGTTGAAGTGATGTGTTGGCAAGTAAAGGAGTGGGTAGTTGGTATCATCTGCTGGTAGACAGAGAAGAAATATGATTTAGTACCTGCATATCTCTAAACATGAGCTGCAAAGTATGGCAAATGAACATCAAGCAAATTAAAAGGAATCAGCACTCTGATTATTTGTTTTTAAAGTTATACTAGATCTTAGGTGATTTTCGGATATGATTTCATAAACACTGTCACGACAGTCACCACATTTCTTGTACTGGACATTGGGTAACAGAAACCAAAATAATCTGCCAAATATATAATGGCACAATAAAAAAGGGGTAAAAAAAAAAAAAAGTAGTATGTGGTTTCTGAAAACAGACTGTGTCTGTCATCTCTGATTGTAAGTGTGATGTAATAGTAGCCACTTGGCATAGAACTGTGCTTGTAAGTAAGTGTATTTTATATATATGGCAAATGAATGACACCTTCTCTTATAAGCACCTTAGCAAGAGTTTAACTTTCTTGTGTAAATTGTTGAATTGCCTTGTAAGATATATCTTTGCTAAGGTGATTATACGGTAGGGATTTCTGTGCTGTTAAAGAGGACAGAGGTTTCCAGAAGTGCTCCCTCTTGACATAACTCCGCTCCTCCTTAGTCAGTGGAGATTTTAATGCCGCTTACTTGTATTTTGTGAGTTTTAACACTGACTTTGGGAACAGAGTTAAACCAACAGCAAGTGCTTTTGGAAATCCCAATCACCAAGAGGTGCAAAACGTGCTTTAAAAAAAAAAATGCAGCATTGTGTGTGGTTTAATATATTTAAAAGGTGTATTATATTTCATAGGCACATATGAAGAATATGAACTAACCCTTTAATTACCTGATAACTAAAATATAACACTGCTTAAGTGACAATTTATTTCTATTCAAAATAGTGGGGTTTATCTTTTTTTTTTTTGAATAAATTAGATTAACATGTTTACAACCATGTTTACAACATTCTTAAAACAACATAACAAGCTGGTTGACGTATAGCCTCTATTTTGATTCCCACTAAATCCTTTTTATTTTTTGAAATTATCTCTCCTTTAGTTTATAGTGAGTTTTGTTGAATAATAACGTAAGTAACAGCAGGAATGTATGGTAACATACTGTCTGATCTGCAGTTACATAATTGGTCTTGCTTGCTTAGCCCTTAGAATTTTGAAGGTAACTATTTACCCAAGTAGTGTTTGTATTCATAAAGTAAAATGTTTCCTACCTAAACATGGGCAAAATTAAAAACACACATAAACAACCATTATCATTAGCTCACAAACATATGCTAAAGACCATCTACTATATATTATTTTATAACTTTTCCAAATGTAGTTTAGTTAACATTTTAGAAATATTATATTATTTCTAAATCCATGTGCCTGTTTAAACTTCATTATCTCAAATGATACTGAGTGAGTGGTCATGAAACAGTATCATAAAATACATACAGACATTATTTTAATGCAATAAACATGTGATTTTTAAGACTATCTTAACAAACACACATGTTTATTCTTTGCTAAAACATGTTTCTGCAAGTGCCACACCTGTATTTTGCATGTTTTCAGTCAGTTGGTTCAAAAGATTATGGGCGGGGGGGGGGAAATCTCAAAATCTCAGAGTAAAATACCAGCCTATTGTGACACAGCTATTTTTCCATAGCAAGCACTTTTAATTCTCAGAATTTTTCATAACTGTGAAACATGGGTAGGGCACTGAAACATGCATTTTTATATTTTTGCTCCTTATGAACCAGATAACACATGAGATGCAATGAAATTTTCCTAGATGTCAATTTTTAATTCTCTTATCTTGAAGCATGAAGGTGAATGGTTGCTAGATTTTTAGACACACTGGTTTTGGTAGCAATTGCATCTTATGTGGGATGTATCTGGTCTTTTATTATTTGTTTTATAGTGTCATTTCAATGTAATGTGCTGTTCTTTGTGTCTTTGTTGTCTCTTTTTTTTCTTTGTCCCCCCAACAGCATTTTGTCCCGCACAGGGAAGAAGGAGAATCAAGATGCCTCCAATTTGACAGTGCCCATGACCATGTGTCTTTTTCCTGTGCCATTCCCACTCACCCCATCTCTAAGACCACAGGTCAGTTCCATCAACCCTACTGTTACTCGCTCCCTCCTTTACAGCGTCCTGCGAGATGCTCCATCTGAACGTGGCCAGCAAAGTCGTGATGCTCAGTTATCAGACTACCCATCTTTGGACTATCAAGGACTTTACGTGACACTGGTGACACTGCTGGATCTAGTTCCCTTGCTACAACATGGTCAACATGGTAAGCAGGCCCTTGAACCCTTCCAGTACGCTTAACTTCAGTGCTGTGAATCCATGAGTGATGCATAAATACAGTAGAAGAGATGGGCCTAAACTGACCTGGATCTGGAATTCAGATTTCCTGGGATGTGTTTATATCCAAGTGTTTGGTTGGACTTTCTTAAATAAAAGATATTTTTTTGCTAACTGTGGATTTGGGTTTGAATTCTGAGATATGATTTTTAGTGATGTGCTGGTGATACGTAACTAAAATACAATGGTTTGTAAAAAAAGAATATAGATGGGTCTAAAAAAAAATTCTGGATTTTGAATTTGAATCTGCTGGAATATGTTCAGACTGGTCTTTTTTGGGTAGCTCTCTTAAAAAGGCACATGTTGCTTGTAAATGTGTATCGGGCCTATAATGAATATGCATATCGACTGCTTTGGTGAAGGTCCATCTCTAAATAGAACATGTTATGCATTTAATTGAAGGAAAACTATGGTAATGGTGATTTGAGATGGCTTTAAAGTATTCCTGGGTAAAAAGGTAGCAATATCTCTGTCTGATTTACAGAAAAAGCCATGTTTTCTTAAGTTTCGAATTAGTTAATCACAACAATTTTTTGGTGACTGAGTTGTATTTATATTGTTTTCCCTAAAGTTCTGCATATTTCTTGCTTGTTAGTCTGTGATTTTGCATACTGGGATTCAGGAACTCAGTGTTCTCCTTATGTTACATAAACCAAATACTAATTTTCACCATGGTATCAGGGTGTATTACTTACATAGTTCAGTATAGGAAGCCTGTTGTCAATCTGATACACTGCTCAAATTCTTTAGGAGGAAAGGTGTCTCTGTGTTGGCAGGAGCATGTTTTGATTCAAAAGCTACTGCACTAGGAAATGGTATGATCTTGCAAAGGCAGGGCTTCTAGCAAATGATAGACTTGTTGACTTAACTGCAATTTCTGGAAATGGTGGAGTTAATTATCAAAACAGTCTTTTTCTAAATAGATAACATGGTGATAATTAACAACCAGTGGAGACCTGTAAAGAACAAATAACGTTGAGCAAACATATTTTCTTTTTATGGCAGCACAATGGCTCTCCTGGAGGGGTTTTCCTGTCTTTAGTCAGGCTTTTGTTGCTGTGTCACTTGACATCCTAATAGGCAATCTGGGACATAGGGTCCCCGCTTGAGTGAGGAAAACACTCCAGGAGTAATTACCAGTGGCTCTTGTCATCTGGAAGGTTATACAAGTGGGAATCTTACAGGAGCCTGTGCTGGGTCTAGTGTTATTAAATACTTTATATTTTTTACTTGGCTGACAGAAATGAGAGAGCACCTTGGTTTGCAGGGGTTATCAAGATGGCAAATAGCTTGTCCTTTGTGTGAAAGATACCTGAATCAAAACAATGTTGGCAAGTTGCACTCTGTTTTAAAACATCTTTGAATGATAAATGTAAAATACTATGTTTAAGTAGGAGAAATCAAAGGCAGAAATGAAATGGGGGGAAATGCGAGCTTGAAAGCTGTACTGCAGAGGTATCTGGGTGTTGGGTAGATCAGTCAGACCATAAGTCACTAAAATATATTAATATGATTCCAGCAATATGTAAAAAGGTGTTTTGTGTATGAGACACCCACAGCATTTTGTTTATCGTTCTAACAACCCTAGCAAGGCCTCAGCTGGAGTAAAATTTTCAGATTTGTCCATCTGGCATCAACAGACATGGACCATTTGAGAGGAGTCCAGGAAAAAGAAACGGGAATGATTTGAGTTCTAGGAAATGTGAACAGCGAGTCAAAACAGAAAGGACTTGTTTTGCCTACCTTAGAGAAAAATTGGAATGGAGACATCATTATCATATACAAATATGTAAAGGTTGCTGTGAGGAGAAATAAACTAAACCAAACTATTTGTGGTTACAGTTGATGAGGATAAGAAGTTATAGGCTTAAACTGCAGCAATGGAAAATTAAGAAAAAAAAGTCTTTTTATGATAAAGGTGGTTAAGCAGTAGGATGAATTGCCAGGAGGAGTGAACTGTCTTGCAGATTTTTACAGACAATTTAGATAAATATCTGCCAGGAATAATTTGGTTGACTCATGCTTGGGGCAAGGGGAGGTCACTTTTGCTATTTTTTATGGTTCTGTGTACAGAGAATTAAATGTTACAATACATGTTATTTATTTCTCCCTCAGCTTAGCATTTGACTAAAATAAATATATTTTTTTCATCAGAACAATCAGTGTTTGGGTAAGTACAACTGGTGCACTAGGTAGTCCTGAGCTTTGGTGCAATCAGATTATACAAAACTCTCAACGCGTGGCTGGTAAATATGTATTCCAAGAGAGATGCACTCTCTAGCATTAAGGATCTGGTTAGCCCCTTGCATAGAAGACTTGCCAGAACCATTGAAATTTTAATTCTTACTTTGACTCATGATGTTTACAGCTACAGATCTTGGAGCATTTTACAGAGGCAGTTTTAAATCATACTAGTTGTATAGATGAGACTGAAGGCCTGTGTAGTGTACTTAAGGTTACAAAGTGAGTAACGAAAGGAATCCCTCTCGTGCAGGGGAAAGGCTTTCTGGTGTATCGGGGTTATCCTACAGGTTCAAACTTGGGGTTCACTGAGTTCTATAACCCTTCTTGGAGAGGAGTTGGCCACAGCTTAATTCCTTCTCAGGAAGGGGGTATAAAGATTCCACAATAACCCATCCCTTCCCTTGGAAGTGTTGCACATTTTGTAAGTATCCCTTCCAAAGTGTTATAGTATGATTAGTTAGAATAAGTGTGGAAATTCTTGATAAATACTCATTTCCTTTTAAGTCTTGGCCATTTTTGGCCTCAATGACTTCCCAGGAAAGCGAGATCCATATTTTAATCACATGTTTGAAAAATACAGTGATGTTTCCTGTAGTGACAGGTGTAGTAGGTGGGGGGTACTTTGCAGCTGTCTTGATCTCAAGATCAAAATCTATTTTTCTGTGACTGATAAAGACTAGAATGCTTTTTGCAAAGGCAGACCTTTCAGTTCAGAAGTGCATATCAAATTGTGATTCTAATAACATCTCTGCTTAAATGCAGGCCATTGTATGTTAGATGCTGTATGGTTAAAATCAGCGCTGATTTTAATCAATTACTTTAGTGGCTATAGCGTTCATATTCCCTTCAAACTCTTCTGGGTACTGTTGAACAGCCATTTCCCTCTATTTTAGGAGGGGTTTAAAAATGATGGGTGAAGTCACTTGTCTGTAGTGATTAACTTCCCAAATTACTTTGAGGGGAAAACTTGAATTTAGATGTAATCTTTCAAAAGAGTTTTATAAACGAAAAAGTACATAGACAGATTTATTTTTCCATTGTAATGATTCTGTATTTTTTTCATTTTATTTAACAGATCTTGGGCAATCAATTTTTTACACTACTACATGCTTACTTCCTTTTCTCAATGATGATATTTTGAGTACTTTACCCTATACAATGATTTCAACACTAGCTACCTTTCCTCCATTTCTGCACAAGGATATTATAGAGTATCTCAGCACATCTTTTCTGCCTATGGCTATATGTAAGTAGAACTCATTCTAGTATTGTTATATCTTGGAAAACATGATGATGCGCTGCTATAATTGTATCAGACTGTAGGAGTCAAAGTTTGATCTGTTACAGAATTGTAATGGGACGTAAATATACTGTATGTGTAAATGTAAAATAATTGCATGCGACTTACTCAAAGGGAAGTAATTCTATACTTTTTATTTGTTTATTATACTGTGTTACTGTGTGAATTCTTCCTTCATTTAAAGGGTGAAGTTTAGCTTATTTAAGAAATGTACTGTTTACAGACTCCTAGAACTTTCAGTGCCAGCAGTGAGAGTTTTGAATACGGAATCAATGGGCAAGCTGCTCTTGAAACAATAGATGCAATAGCTACGTGCATAATTTTTGCATCTGGACTATATCTGGATGTACAAGAATGACTCTTATCAATGTAATGTTGTGATGAATTTCCCATTTTTATTCTTCCGTTTCTTCTTGGCATTTTCTCTTTAAGTTTTGTACTAAATAGCTGTGCTTGCCGTGTCTCCTATCCACAAGTATTAAGACTGAATCTGTCAGTGCCTGCCTGTTTTTTTTTTTTTTCCCTTTCTTTTTTCTTCCCATCCCCGAGGGTGTCACATGATTACATAATTTCATAACCCCTGCACAATGTGAATCCTCAGGTGTGTTCTGAATGCTTGTCTATGTACCTGATAAAAAGCTTGATGGGATTTCAGTAGTAGCCAGAAACTTAACCATGTTCTGCAATGGAAGCATTAGGCTTGATATTAAAAGTCAGTTTTAACCAACAGGCCTTTTACTGTGTGGGTGATCAAATGCTGGAACAGTTTGCTAGGGAGGTTGCAGTTTCTTCATCCTAGCAGATGCTCAAAACACAACTAGTCCCGAGCACCTGCTCCAGTTGACCTTTCTTTGAGCGGGGGGGTTGGACAAGGTTATCTCCAGAGGTCCCTTCTAACATCAACCATCCCATGATTCTGTGAGATTGTGTCTTCCTTCTCTGTATTCCAGACTTTTGTGGAAAAACATGAACAGCTTTTGTTCAGAGATCAACACTGATGTTATTTAAGCATGTGAAAGACGGTCCAGTGTTTTGAGATTAAGATTTCATGGAAATTTGTCGTGTACATTTTCTGGCTTTACCCGTCAGTGATCTTGGAGAAATCGCTTAACCTTTCCGTACCTCAGTTTCCCCATGTACAATAGTCTCTCGTAAGACATTGCAGTGATGTTTTCTCTGTTACCTGTTTAATAACAGTATGCAAATGAAAGTTACTAAGATATATTTCATACATATGTGCAATAGGTCCTTTTTGGGTTAAGACCAGAATGTTGCTTTAAAGTCCTTTTTCTTCCATTAGTGTTACCTGTTAAAGAGCAGCTGATGTAGGAGACTTATCCTGTCCTGTCTATCTTTAGATCTGTAAAACTATTCTCCAAAACAACTGCTTGAGCAACATTCTTGATTTACTTAAATAGATACCATTCCCCAGCTCCCCCTGGCAGAGATTGCATCCATGTAGAGCATGGGAGCAACCTTTGTCATGCTGCCTTTTTCCTCAGACAGTTTTGGTTAGATCTCTGTATGAAACCAGTCTGCTGCTCTTTAGATTTGGCTTCTAGTACTGTGTCCTGCTTTTCTGCTGGTGGTCACGTTTTAATTGCCAGGATAGAGCTGCTGAGTATTTTGCAATTTAAATCCATACAGATAGACCTTGCTGTAATAATTTGGGGGGCTGTTACATCTGTGGATGAGATTCAAAAAAGAGTGGACCAAGTGTGATGAAGAGAGCCATAGCAATGTTGGGTCGTGTGGAGAGGAAGTACCAGAGAGAAGAGGAATTCTTCATTTCCCCTTCTTCTTTTCCAGTCAAGTGCTCTTTTAATTAATGTCCTAGCCTTTCCCCACCAGAAATGGCATGTCCCTTTACAAGGCAAGTGCAGAACTTTTCCTTCCCCTCGTGTTCAGCTCTGACTCAAACCAAAAGCGAGGATGCAAGAGATTGTGTAAGCAGCTGGAGAGCCACATGAGAGGGACAAAAGCATTTCACTGAACTGGTAGCTACAATTCTGTGCTTCTATCCCAAATGCTTGGTATTTGGGTCCGGACAGCCAGGCTTAGGAAAGTGCTGCAAGCGAGCATGGGAAGATACATACCACATCTCTGTGTAGGAGGTTGCCTTCAAAGCCATATTGCCATGTTATAGTTCAGCAAATAAACACCTACACTCTGCAGGGTTTTTCCAAGTATAGAATTTAATAGTAACCACTTCGTAGGAGACCAGAAGGAACTCTAGCCACTTCATGTGCAAGGTCAAAGTTACAACAGCTTAGCTACACTTCAGTGCTACTGTTGATCATGATCTTAACACAGTTCACATAACAAGGGGGACTGGTTTTTACCCTGTGTAGCTATAACTTGAACTCGTACCATGGACTCCTTGAGAAGTAACCTGTGCCATACACCAACAGGCACCAACAGGTATCGGCAGCCCCAGCCTTTCATCAGTGTACCTCAACAGCAGGCTTTCCATTTTTTCTTGTTTCTTTATCCTCCACTTCCTCCTTACCTTTCCTACAATCCAAGCCCTAGGTGCACTTGACTATACAGGTGACGTTATTTTGACCAGTCTGTGGGTTCTGAAGGACAGGGCCTGAGAAGATCCCTGTCTTTGGTTAATGCAGCTCTGAGAATGAAATCTTACTGAACTGGAAAACCAGGTGTGCACTCTGTGAAGCAATACCATATCCTTAGTCATCTTTTTCCAGCAGAAAGACCCCTCCAATATAGAATGTTTCTAGGTTTTTAGGGTTTTTTGGTTTGGTTTTTTTTTTTTTTTTAGTTACATGGTACCTTAGGAATGTTATTTACATCAATCAGAATCAGTTATATGCTATTCTTGACTAATTTTCCTTGTTACACAATAGAAAATGTTTGTTGTTTCTTCTTTTTTTTTTTTTTTTTTTTTTCCTTTAAGTGGGATCCTCAAAAAGAGAAGGTGTTCCAGCACATGTCAATCTATCTGCATCATCAATGCTAATGATTGCAATGCAGTACACATCAAACCCGGGTATGTGTAAACACGCAACATGGTATCATTCTCTCTGAAACTGTGAGTTACGAAGTACTGTCAGATGCAATCAGAAAAGTTCAGATGATGGGAAAAATCTGTCTCACCATCCAACACAGGATGAAAAATAAATGATTTTAGTCAAAACGGGAGTTTCTGAGCATCATGTTTCAAGTAATCATCATGTAGATAAGAAATCTCCTTGTGGTGAAGAAATAGGATTTGGCCCAGGATTGGAGACTGATTACTCTTGCTTGACACTGGAAAATAGTGTTGATGCATAACAGCAGTGTTGGAGGGAAATCACCACTAACTTTGGCTATAGAAATTCATAGTAACTATTTGTCTTACGCTATGATTTGTATCCCACCAAGTTCACAACTGACACCGTTTTTTAAAGACGACCGGTAATGCTAGCTGCAGGCTCAATAGAACTATAGTGAGTTTAAATGTAATTACAATATCTAAACAAGGCCATTCTCACTCACTGTGACACAGTCCCAGTTCCATCAGTGGGATCCTATGACCAAATCGAAACAAAATATAACCTGAGGGAGCCGTTACATTGCACAGTAGGCAGCTAGTTCACGGCGGTAAATAAAGCAGCACATCATTTTTAAAAGCTACTCACACAAGTTACTTTTTTTTTTCACGAAATGTTCTACTTTGTGTATTCCATGTTCCAGCCATCTGAGGAAACTGTTGCCCTCTGGTTTGGGGGAAGTCAAATGTGTGAAGTTAGATCATTTGGGTCTTGTGTGTTTGATGCAGAGTGGCTCCTGTAGCCTTTGGTATACATGGGAATAATGTATTGTCACACGTCACTTGCATCACTGCCTCAGGATGAATGACAGGATACCCATTTACAGCTTTACACTGTGCCAGAGGGACAAAGTTTAAGCGAATCAGCAGGTATTCTTGAACTAGATGTGTTTGAAAAAGGACTCTCTCCATTGCTGTGCAAAAAGCTGTACACCCATAAGACTCACTATCGTACCGCATTCCTTGACAGAAACAAGTTACTAATATATAATTTCTAGTCTTTTGTGATGAGTCTCAGGGCAATGATTCTTCATCAGACCCTTTAAAATAAAAGCAATTAAATGAGGTATAGAGTTTTGGATGGACAAAACAAAGCCAATCAGCTAATTATGTCACTTCTGTAACTTGAGTTTCCATTTCGGTATTACGTCTATACTGTCTTTTCTCTCTCAGTGTATCACTGCCAGTTGTTGGAATGCCTTATGAAATATAAGCAAGAAGTGTGGAAAGTAAGTTTACGATCATATATACTTTGTGGAAATGACTGTATTTGGATAGTAATGAAAACCAGATGGCTTGAAAATTGAACTGACTTTGTGCCAAGAAGTTATAAATGATCTTTGTATCCAGTCCTCCTCCTGGATTATGGAGAGGAAGGTGCCTCTGATTTTTGGTTTACAGAAGCAGCTCCATGTTTTGTAGAACAGAGCTCTGTTTCCTAAATACTATGTGGCTGCAGCTCCGTTTATCAGAAATCTTAATAATGACCAATCTTTTCATTTCTTGTGGGACTGAACTTTCATGAGGACTGTTTGTGAGTATTGTCTTAGCCTGAATCTGATTTGGATCCAGCTATTTATCTATATCACACCTCTTTGCTCCATGGCTAGACAGAAGCTTCATTTGCTATGTGTTAGTACACTACGTGCGGTGGGTGGTAGCTGTTGGAAGCTCTGATCAAACTCAGAAGCCAATTGTGAACATGTTGTTGAAGTTAGTCATCTCAACTGCTTGTAAGAGCGTACAAAGGATGTTTGGTAGGGCTTGAAATGCATATACTTCACGTATTCAGGTATCTGAACACCAGTAATATGTATTGAATTGTATTTTGTTACCTTGCAAAATAAGCATTTTGTATGTCTCTTTCCTTAGGATTTGCTCTATGTGATAGCCTATGGACCATCTCAAGTTAAACCTCCAGCAGTACAAATGTTATTTCACTACTGGCCCAATTTAAAACCACCTGGGGCAATCAGTGAGTACAGAGGACTGCAGTACACAGGTCAGTGCAGCTTTTATTGTGCAGGCCAAAATAAATATAAAGGAAATGATCCGAAATGTGTTAATGTGACATGTTTACAGTTCTACGATGGACTTTGAAATCTTTTGCTTGATAAGTTGGTACTTTCATAAGTATATACAATATCCATTTTTCTGTATTTTCAAAAGATGTTAAGAAAAATAAAAACTCTCACTGTGGTTAGTAAATTTATGTGTTACTCCTGATGCTATCTAAACCAGAACAGAAGAAGAAATAAATACAGTGTTCCAAAAGATCTGTGAAACTGCATTCTTGGCCTCACAAGGGTTCTGGCTTATGTTCCTTTCAATTATTGCTTTGGTTGCCTTTGTGCCAGCTGCTATCTCTGCTGCTGTTGCTAAGATTCCTTATCTGGCTGTTACTGTCAAAAAAAGTCAGGTGGTGTCAGGTGCAGTCAGTATAATGGATAAATTCTTAAGGGTGAATACAGGGTGAAAATGAGAGACAAAGTCAGCAATGCAGCTGGAGCTGAGTAGGGAGATGGTACAAAGTCCTCTGTCTACCCCACTCCCCGGTGACACTGATGACACTGTGCTTCCATGGTAGGGATGGTCCAGCAGCAATTCATGACTTGCTTTTACTGCTTGCCTGTCTCAACCTGTCTCAAATAATCTCTGTCATGTTGATTATGTCTTAATCACTTTTAAAATTTCTGGACCAGAATGCAACATTTAAAATAATAAAAATGAAGGATTGGAAGAGACCTTAGAAGACCCCCTAGACTGATTCAAGTACATCCTGAATGCTCCTGATATATGTTTGTCTGGTCTGTGCTAAAGCTGTCTTCCCATGAAGGGTTGATTGATTTTCTTGACTTTTTAAAAAAATATTCTTCTTATACTGCTCTGCATCACTTCTTTTATGCAAGCAGGTCTGTAAACTAAGCATGATATTCCATCTGAACTGTTACTAGCACTGGCTAGACTGAAATAATTTTTCTATATATAAATTTTCGGTTAATGCTCATCCTATTCAGGGATATATTATCTGCAGTTGCATGGCATTTTTACCTGGTGGCAGCCTGTGCAGCATCCAGGTGATGCCACTTGAATGTACCTTTGTTGTTTACTACTTGTCATTACAAAGCTGAGGCTCATTCTGTGGCTGAACTAGTTTTCCTTTATCATAGCTGTTTTCATTTTGCCTGGGAATGTTAGTGAATTTACTCAGCTACTCTTACCATCCTGCTCCTGGAATGGAAGGATAATTAATTAATTCAGGGTGTTGTTGAGATCAGGAAGGGTCTACAGCAGGGATGTCTGCATCTTACTTTTTCTATTTCTTTGCTGAGTTCATGGTTTGTTTTGTAATTATATCCCAAACCAGTCAGTAGGCATGTATATTCTGGGTTTTTATTTTAATTGTTAGGCTTCATGAGGAATTGCTAGGCCTTCTGTCATATTTGTAGAGTACTTAGTACAAAGGATCTTGTTCTCAACTGATACTAGTAGACATAAAGAATATAAATATATTTTCTCAATTTTTTTTAATCATCTGTGTTTTGGTTTTGCAGCCTGGAACCCTATTCATTGCCAACACATTGAATGCCATAATGCGATTAACAAACCAGCTGTGAAGGTACTGCTCTTTCTTCAGGGGTCAAACTCAACTTTCTGGGGGATGGGAGGTTGCACTTTGACCCCCAGCCATATACTCTGGTTGTGTGCAGGTGACCAAGAGCAGTAGCTAAGGGAACAGCAAAGCCTGTTGAGACCAAGGGGGCCAGAACTTAGTGAATATGTTCTTTGGTTGCCTAAAGCAAAATGGCATATTTCTTCCAAATACTCCGAGCCAAGCCTTGATATTAAACATGAGGATGGTTACAGAGCACTTTATAAAATTCTAAGCTGGCTCCTGGCTAATCCATGTAAAATTTTGTAAATATGTGCACAAATACGACTATATACAGGAAACATTATGTCAGTTACACAGGAACACGTTCACCTTGGTATCTTGATTGAGGTCATACAAGTCACCTACTCTGTGATCCTTTCCTTGGAGTGTGTCCTAAAGCAAATAGCAACAAAGCTTTACTTAACCTCTTCTCCAGCCCTCTTTGAGGGAGGTAAATGATGTTTTTCTTTCCTGTTTACACACAGAATAACAAAGTTAAATGGCTTGACCAGGATTGTAGTGCAGTTTGATGGCAGAGTCAAGAACAGCATCCCAAGTCCAGAGCATACTACAGTTAGGTGTACTAATTAATTGGATTTGTATCTAGTTAAATACATAGACACAACCAATTTTCCTGGCTCCAATTCATATACTAACATAATTACATTGGTCAGCAGTTCTTCAGTGAGTCTTTTCCACAGGCTGTGATACTGACAGGGCATAATGGTGACACCTATCTCACAAGTCCTTCAAGGGACTGCTTTTCTGCCGACTCCAATCATTCTCCGTGATCCCTCTTTGTAGGGAAAAAAGCTGAAAGGTGTTGCTTCATGTTGTAGTGATCAGTAGATTCAGATTAATTGCTGAGTAGAACAAAATATCAATGAAATTTACAGTTCCAAGCTTTGCGGCTGAAATACTTGAATACTTTTGAATGATCTCTTAGCTTAATGTTTATAGAACCAGTCTTGATCATTCATCATTCAGAAAAATGCAGTCTGTTGTCTCTTGGATAGGTGAATGTAGATTTGGTTAACAAAGGTGAGAAACATTTGAAGAGGCATTTGTCTTTATAAATAAGATCTTGCACTAGAATGGAGTAAGAAGCATTTTGATTTATGTGGTTAAGATATTGTATATGCATACTACTGTTGAGCTTTTCCTTAAATAGTACAAAACACTTAAACAAATTTATGTGTATCAGGCTGTTAACTAACTGTTTTCTGTAACTGCCTAATGTGGAAGGATAAAAGCTAATGCAAGACTAAGTTTGAATCAATGCTGCCAGGGGAACTGTGGGTCCATAGTCTTCATTCTGTCACTGAAATTGTGCTCTATAGTTAATAACTGGGATGACTGAAAATTAGATTCTGCTGAAAGAAGTGTTAACTGAGAGAGAAAAATCTAGACTTTTATGTTACCTTGTCTAAGCAATGGATCCTCTAAGTGACTACCTCTTTGGAAAAAAAATAAAAAGTAAGTCTCTCATGACTATGCAATGTAAATGTGTAACACAAAATATACTTGTGTTTCCATATGATAATACTGATATTGAAATATGTCCTGTTCTCATTCAATAGGCCTTCATTTTCAGTTACATCCCTCTCTTTTTTAGACATAATATGAGATTCTGTACTGCCAGATGCTGAGTACCATCTTTCAGAATACTAAACTCTCTCAACATGTCAAAGCTGTGTTATATTGTATGTCCTAGCATGAATGTGTTGAACTTTTTCAGTGAGCTTCCATGAACAGATGTTTTAATTCTTTTCCTTCTCTGTGTTTCAGATGTGCATTGACCCATCCTTGTCTGTAGCTTTGGGTGATAAGCCACCTCCCCTATATCTTTGTGAAGAATGCAGCCAGAGAATTGCAGGGTAGGTAAACTGAGAGGTTGAAAATGATCAGGTATAGTCACACTCCAGAGTTCAGAATTCTGGAGTTAAGTTTTATTTCAGTTTATTTCAGTGTATAGTTTGTATAGATAGCCCTGTTGAAATGTATGGAGCACACTGCCACACAGCATGAATAAGGATTACAGAGATTTACCTTGTGATCATCGTTTGCATCTAGCTTGAACAGTAGTGAGTTGTAAAGTTAAGGTCTTTGAATGAATAGGTACTGTGGGATGCATCAGCTATGATAGGGGAACATCATTAATGCACAAGCTTTTTCTTATGAAACGTTTTTTATCCTTGTTCTTTAGTTGTTGTTAAAAACAGGACATTACAGTGAAAGGTCTTTCACGGAGTCTTCATTACTTTTCTCTAGCATGTGTTTCAGATTATTCTCTGGGGTATACTGTGAAGCAGCAGAGTAAATAATTGAAATTAGTCCAGGCTTGTCTAGTACCTGGAGGGAATGTAGCCTGAGATGAGTTAACCTCACTTACTCTTTTTTATTTTTAATTTTTTTTAATTGATAATTTGGTTTGCATTACTTTACAAGATCCGCTGGTACTTATGCGGAGTTCTGATCATTAGTTCAAAGGGACAAGGTAATTCAGAAGCCACATGGGGTTTTTTGTCCGCAGTTTAAGACACCTTTATATCACACCAGCTGTAGGAAAAGCGATTACATCTCAACGTAGAAGTTTTAAGTCATCACTGATTTAAAGCTGCAGGAAAAAATAATTTAATTTGGTAGAAACATAGCTTCTAAGGAGACTCACAGAAAGTAGTACTAGTATGTTTTTTTTCCTACGTTCATCTGGTATTCTTCACTATTATTTCTTGGCCATCAGACATTCAGAGCATCCACTATTTTAATTTGATAACTTTATGCCTTAAAAGTAATTTTTTGAAAACCTTGAATATAGTGGACCAACATCAGCAATAAGACAGACACCACAAAGAGAGGTAATGTAAAGCGGTCTGCAATTTATAAATCTACATTTGTAAAAAAGCAGTGTCAGAATAGTGTCAGTCCTACCGTGTTAATTTAGATGAATTTCCTCTGTGCAAAAATAAATGCATATATAAATAAAAAATGGAAAGCTAATTAGATATATAATTTTTATAGGGATCACAGTGAATGGTTGATTGATGTTCTTCTACCACAAGGTAAGAGGTATTTTGAGGGTAGGTACAAACTAATCATAATGACAGAACTCGATGCTTACTGATATTTCTACATACTGTGCTACTTGCAATTCTGCATTCTATTATAGAGGAATTTTTAAAGAATGTTAAAGTAGCTTGCTTGTACTTAATACTGCTTAATGTCCCTAAGTTTGACTCCTCTTCTATCTGAAATAGTATGCAACTCTTTATATGTGAGGAAACAGAGACAGTTGAACAGATTTTCAAATCTTGAAGTGTCCACAGTTAGGGCCAAGTTTTTTAAAGTACTTGTGTTCCACACCAGTGTGCAATAAAAAGGGGCTAGTTTTTCTGGTAACCTATATCTGATTTGAAAGCTCTTCAAGCTTCTGAAAATCTGTTCTATGAAGACAAGGCTGTAAAGGACATCAGAAGAGGACATAAAATATTTTTCAATGATCCAGTCATTGATCCAATCGTTGTCCTTTGGCCAGTGAGAGAGCCTGATGTTTTATTATCTACCAGAATGCAGACTGAGCTTGTTGACCGACTAATCAGGATTTCCTGGGTTTACAATGACAGTCACATATTCTGTAAAATAACCCTTTCAAGGGCAGAACAAAACCACTCCCTCTCTCTTTGTTCTACAAACTTAAAATGCTTAGGCAGTGGAGATTTTCTTGCTGTCTCCTTTTAGGTGAAATCTAATCCAGATTAAGAATGTTTTATTTATTTAAGGGAAGTACTTCTTTTTACTCAGCCACTGATATTTATTGAATCAGATGTTGCCAGGGCAACAGACTGAATAGCTACTGTTTACAGGTTGAATCTGCAAACATTTTGCTACGGAGGTATGGGCCACAGGCATAGTGGCTGCTTCTGCATTGTTCATCCATATTCACTAATCTTTCATCCTGTGGGCTTTCACAGGCAGCCTAGGCACATCTGAGCCATGTCTCCCACAGCGTGCCACCGTAGCGTGCCTACAGGGGTACTTTTACAGGTCTGCCTGTGAGGCAGAAATGTAGGCAGAAGGCGGTTGGGATGCAGAGCACACCCCACTTAATGCACCAAGGCTGTTTTTTTCATTTCAGCGTAGAAATATCCAGTAGGCCTAAGTGTACAGTGTCCTGCAGTCCAGCAGTCTTAGAGGTTTCAGTAATATCTGGAAACACAAGTTTAGCCTCAGAGACTTCCTTGCAGCAAGTCCATTTTCCCATGGCTGCCATAGTAAAACTGAAGGATCGTCATTCTGTGTTGATGTTTTGTATGCCTTCCCCTTACAGCTGAAATTTCTGCTATATGTCAGAAGAAGGTAAGATACAGTCATTTGTGTGATGGGGCATGATTTCTTGTTGTGTGTAGTGTCATTCCATTACTACGTGGTGTGTCCTTTTTTGTACCATTCTCGGTTTTCACAATTTATCCATGAATGCATTTGTTGGTGAATGGGAATGATTCAGCAGCAAGGTTTCTTTTTGTTAAAACTGCTGATGTTTGATCTGAGTTGTAGTTTTTTGTTGAAGTGACAGTTAGTAAAGCAATACAGTTATGTACCTGAGCTCAGTTTTTATTCTATAATTCTGCTTATGAAGAGCGTAGAGCAAGAGATTAATTTTAAATCTAAGTGTTTATATCTTCTCATCTCCTCGAAGTCTTGGATTGATCATAAGTTGGACAAAAATCCTTCTGTAAACTGTATATTTTTTTAAAAATACATAGACTGAAAGTCTTCAGTGCTTGGCTCTAAAACGATTACTGACAAAAAGAATCTGCTTGCGATACATACCAGCTAGTGTGTTTTAATAACATTTTAATAATGAGGAATACAGTGTATGACATATTCTAGATCTTATGTGGTAAAGAAACATTTTTATGTTGGGCTGGATTACCAGGTAGCAAAAATAAAGGTAGTGCATATTTTGGAGGCTTGGATGGTTACTGATAAGGCAGATCCTTACGTAACATCAACCGATGTGGCACCATTGATTACACTCCTAAGGATCTGCCTGTTGCTACAGGTAACTTAAAAAAACCTTCTGAAGTATAAGCAAGTGTTAGGAGGACTCCTGTAAATTTTAGAGGTTGCTCCAAGCCAGAAAGTTGAGGTTGATGACTTAAACGTTGGTTTGGTCTGCTCAAAACAAAGAGCAATTGTGACGTTAAGTCCAGGCCCAGGACTCAGGCCTGAGCTCACCTTTCTGGAAGTTCAGTGCCACTTGGCATCAGGAGTTTGCACACGATTGTGCTTATATATAGCGAGTTTGGAAATGACCAACACTTGAGCCAGTTGCCCAGTGCTGACTCTTATCCCTGTTTTCCGTTTCACTTCCTGGTACTTGTGGCCTGATAAAATCGTTTTTATTTTCCAGAACTGTAGCTCACATGTCAGAAGGGCTGTTGTCACGTGCTTCTCAGCGGGCTGTTGCGGCCGCCATGGCAATAGGCCAGTGCGCTACTGCAAAAGATGCCATTCGAATCATCACAGCAGTGAAGTTGGGGCAGCTGCAGAAACCCATCTTTATCAGACCTCACCACCCCCTATCAACACCCGGGAGTGTGGGGCAGAGGAGCTCGTGTGTACTGTGGAAGCTGTGATCAGGTAATTTGGTGGCTTATGAGTCATCAATACGTAAAGCAGCATCAGGCTTTCATGTAAATATTGCCTGTAAATCTTGTGCAGGTTGATTTTCGTTTCACCAGGACAAGTTCAGAGCAGGGGTGCTTAACTCCTGCTTTGGGGAGGGTACTGATCAGCTGCGAGTGTCGTCCTCGTGGAAGAAGTCAGCCTTGAATCCTAGAATTTGATGTTATTTTATTACTGTTCTCAGGAAAATGATGACATCAGATGCCTTAACCTCTGGTTACTCTTGATCAGAAAGTTGTCTCCAGTGCAGGAAAGCTGCATTCACTGACCACAAACCTGTTTTATAGCTTGCTGAAGGAAGCAGAGTTTCATGCTGAGCAGAGGGAGTATGAACTCAACCGCAGGAGGCAGATGGGCCTCTCCTCTTCCCATCACTCCCTGGACAACACAGACTTTGATAATAAAGATGATGACAAGCATGACCAACGCCTCCTGAGCCAGTTTGGAATCTGGTTCTTGGTGAGAAATTCTTGTTCTCTCATTCTTCTTGCTTCCCTCCCCTTTTCTTCCTGAAGCTTCAATTTTATCTCTTTTTCCACTCCTTGGATTTAGTTGGATACTTTTCTGATTTGTAAGCGAAAAGAAGGAGTTCTGTGAAGTTGTCAGATTTGGAGATTTCAGAACTAGTTTGCCTGGAGCTGCTGAGTGCCTCCGAGTCCTGTACAGAGTGTATAGCAGAATTATTCACTCAGGGTTTTTTGTTGACTTCTGATGTTCTATCATCTTCTGCTGACAAGTGCCCCCTGCTGAGTGCCATTATTTTTAACCTTGGAAGTCAATCCCCCTAAAGATCTTTCACATTCAATCTTTCAACATTACTCTCTGGAAACTCAGCTTTCTCTTTTACCTCTGGATAGGCTGGAGGATTCTCGTTGGGCTGATTTTCCTTCCTGCCTTCAGATTGGTCTAGCTGGATCAGTCCCAGTCGTTGTACTCCAGCTAATTCACCTGATGTGGGTTGATGGAATAAAGCCCTGCTGGTTTTACCCCTCACGGTAGCTAGCAGAGATTATTCCAAAATAGCAGGGCTGCTGCTGGCTAGTTCATGAGCAGGCCAGGCTGGAGCCTCACAGATCCTCAGAAATTGGATTCTGCAGTTGTCCTTAAGGAGAATTCTTCTCAGGCTCTTTCCAGTTCACCATGAGCTCATAAGCTCTCTTCCCCACTTGTCACTGGGTGACTGAGGAGAACATAGGGCCCCTCATCCGTCATCTGAACAGTGGTAGGGACAGCAGGGTGGCAGGTCTAGAATCCCATAATGCCAACAAAGCTGCTCTGCTCTTTCAAGGGACTACATGAGTAAACTTTATATTCTGCTGATATCTTGTGGGTTTTGTTGTTTAACGTTGTTTTAGAGTTAAAGCTTTTTATTTATTTATTTTTTTAATTGTGCCGTATTCATCTATTCTGTTTCAAATGATGTTTTGTAAAGACTGAAGGCCTGCATTTCCAGAAGTAGAATTGAAGTGAAAACAGAACAGGTTTTGTTATGCTATACATGCCTCATCCTTGACATTGAGAGTCTGTCTTTCTGTGGTAAGGAGGGGGAGCTTACTGACTTCATTCTATTCTTACAAAATCTCTTGATCTTTTTGTAATGAGTATTGGCAGAGATGACAGCACAGATTGTGAGAAATGGTGGGTTGCTGTTTTCTTTCCTAAAATGAATACCTTTTATCTAGAAACTGGACAGAGCTCAAGAGTTCCTATTTAAAAAGGCTGCTAGCTAATACTGCCTTTGAGTTAACACTCATCTGAGACAGGCACCAGAAGCAAAAGCCTTAACTTCAACCTGTAATGAAGTAGAACAGTGAAGGCTGCACTTTGAATTGGCAAGGGTGTTGTTAGCTGCCTCATCCCAAGAAAAAACGTGGAGGAAAAGTGCTTGTGAGATGGGTTCTGGTCTATTCTGCTGCTGTCACCAGCTGTTTCCCCAGAAATGATGTGAATGTTTCTCCTTTGTTCACTTGCTGCGAGGCAGCAGTCACTGGTTCCAGGCTGCCAAGTGCTGACAGTACAGCTTTTACTAGGAAGTGGCCACAAACAGCTGATAGGTGATTAAAGGAGCTTCCTAAATCTCCTGTCATCTTATTTTCCATTCTTTGGATTCATTGTAGCAACCTGACTTGAGACTTTGTCCCCTGAAGATACCAAGAGCTCAAATGTGGGGTAATTAGGGGCTTACAGTGTGCCTGGTCTGTGAACTGGGGTGTAGACTTGGTCTCGGGTTTGGGACAGTTTTACAGCGCAGACATTGTTTTAGCAAGAGAAAGTTTGGAGAAGGGGAGAAGAATATTAATTATTAAGTGAGAATTTTTAAGGATTTAAAACTCATATTCCCACCCCAACTGAGGACAAGAAAATCAAATTTGGAATCTTTTGCAAATAAAAAAATCACTTATGTATTAAGTAGACATCTTTTTTCAGACTTTTTGAAACTCTTCATTTGGTTTGTCTTTTTATCTTGCATATTTTACATGTGCATAATATATTTTACCAGGCATTATGTTACCTTTTGAAATGAAAAGTAATTTTCAAGTTCAAAGCGAAATGTTTGGTTTGTCAAAGCATTCTGTATTCAGTGCTTGGTTTTTTTTTTCCCTCTTATAGTTATTTTTTGATTTGGTAATGTTTTGTTAATTGTCCTGTGCCAAACTCTACTTAAAACTGATCAGCTTATTTGTCTTCTGTGTAATCTGTATCCTCATATCTCTGAGAATATGTAAAATACAGCAGGTGAACAATTTGCTGCCTATAATTCTAGAAATCAAACTTGATTTGTGTTTCTGTCTTTCAGGTAAGCCTTTGCACTCCCAGTGAGAATACACCCACAGAGAGTTTAGCAAGGCTGGTTAGCATGGTATTCCAGTGGTTTCACTCCACAGCGTACATGATGGATGATGAAGTTGGTAGCCTGGTTGAAAAACTCAAACCCCAGTTTGTTACGAAGTGGTTGAAGACTGTTTGTGATGTTCGGTTTGATGTCATGGTTATGTGCCTCCTTCCCAAACCAATGGAGTTTGCCAGGGTAAGAATAATTTACCCGAGTGTTCCTTTATTTACCACAGAGATTAAAGTCTTCAGCATAATGACCATTTCTTCCCCAGTTCTGTCAAGGCAAAAGAAATCTCAGTGGTTGAGGGAGAAGTGGAGTTCAGGAGTTTTTCCTTTTCATAGCATTTTTAGTTTTACTGTGTTAGAGCATGGGGATTATTAACAATAATGTGGAGACAGGTTGGAAGAATACTGTAGCTGTTGAAAGGTCCTGTAGGTTCTGTATAGCTGCTTGTTGCCATTAAGCTGCTGAAGCACCCAAGCTTGTCTTTAGTAAAAGGTATCATTTGTCTGCTCCCAGATAGAAGCCTGTCCTTTACTTGTCTGCTTTACCAATTTTTCTCTGTTCTCTGCATACTTCATCTCTTCAGCTCTGAATTAAGGTTCATGAAATCACACATGTTGTAGCTAAAAGGAACTCTGGCCATACTGATGCCATGTAGCTTCAGATACCTAATTGAAGTGACTCAGATAAGAGACTGGTCTACCATGGTTCACCTTACTGCTGATGGAGAGAAAGAGACTTGTCTGTAAAGTCATTCAGAGTGCGTAAGTGAGAGTGTTGCTGGAATTGCTTCTAGAAAGAGCCTTCCTTTCTGTCCATTAATTATGAAGCACAACTTGCCACTTAACCTAGACAGTGAAGACAGGCAACAAAGTCAGGCATGTGAATACTCCTCTATAGACAATGAAACATCAGCATGAAAATAGTAACTTTACATTTATGAGAGATTTAAGACTTTTTCCTCATTTATCACTGCGAACTATACCACATGTGCTTTTGCAAGGCTTTAATTTTGTGGCCTCCTCATGTAAAATGTCCAGAGGACATGTTGGTTTTATTTCCTAAAAATTAAGTGGCTAGACTAGGAAGGGCTGTAAAGACTTGATGTAATGTATTACATCATCAGGTGTGAAGTGTGCATCTGTGGTTTTTTTCATGACCTAATATGTGTGATTTGCTGTATGTGTGCAGACCAGCATATGTGTGTGTGTCTTACTCTGAACCATTGCTGGGAAGATACGCCTGGCTATGGCGTGAGTGGGGGACAGCTGAGGGAATTTGAGAGGTGAATGGATGCATTGAATGTTAGAACTGAAGAAAAGAGATCAGGGCTTTGAGGCTAAAGGGGAAAGGAAGGACTGAACCTCCTGGTGTAATCTGTTACAGATCTTTCTCTTGTCTTAGATCCAGCCCCTTTTTTGAGTTTTCTACCTCCACTACAGTACTTAAGACTACACTGACAACTTGCCAGATTTGCAAGGGTTCACTAGAACATGAAGACAAACAGCCATGAAATTAGCTGTAATGAATGGAGAAAAAATAGTTTGTTGGCTGAGATTACCAGTAGTTGCTGCCAAAACAGCAGGCATCTCTAGAGCCATTAGTCAGGAGCAGCAGATGTGAGCCGAGGTCAGTTAGAATAATTAATCTCTGTAGGCCAGTTACTTTTTTACTTAGAATTGTATTTTTTGGCTTCCATCACTTAGAACCTTCCCTCAAAAAACCCCAAAACAACCAACCACAAAAGAACATCTGGCACAGACCAAATTTTTCACAATAAAGACCCAGCACTGTAGCAAGTTGTCCAGAGCAAATAATTGAAGGTGCAAGTTTGACCAAACAAATCTGTCCCTTGTTGAGAGCTGTAAGGTTTACTCTGCGTCATGGCCTGGAAGCGAGCAAACTTCATCTAAATCTTAGGCAGTGCTTTTGTGTGCTGTGGGTCAAACTGGAGAAGAAAAAAAAACCAATGCAGTCCCCATGGCCGAATTCAAAATTCGGGCTGGAAGGTACTGATGATCACCCCCCACAATTTCCTGGCTGCAACACACTGAGCAAAATTATGGCGCTGGGCAAGTTACCGGGACTAGGAAGTATTGCTCATCAGTATGATTCCTGAAAATACCCACAGGTTGGTGGATACTGGGACAAATCCTGCAGTGCTGTGACCCAATTAAAAGAAGGGCTGAATCGAATCCTTTGCTTGATTCCATACAATGTGATAAACCAGCCGGTGTGGGAATGCATCATGCCAGAGTGGTTGGAAGCTATAAGGACGGAAGTGCCTGATAATCAACTGAAAGAGTTCCGGGAAGTGTTGAGGTATGTAGACATATGCAACAATAGAATGGTTCTTACATATGTTGATTGTTGGTTTTAGCACAGTAAGATGGTGACAACAAGTAAAAATGCCTGTGTGCAATAGACAGTAGTGAGTGAATGCTTCTGAATTTTTTAATGACTGATATTTAGAATAAAGCACTCCAGCTTTGGAAAAGTTTCCTTTTATTGCTCCTGATATCCTTGAATCTGTATCAAGAGCCAACTACATGGATGCCTCTTTGCTGTGAGCAAGGCAGGAAGCCACTGAAAATGTGCAACATGGTGGAAGAAGCGTTTTTCTCCTCCTGGACAGCTGTTGATAAGAAATGGTGGGGATTAGTAGCGCTAGCACTGAAAGAGTGATGATCTGTGTTGATTTAGCTAATATCTTCCCCTGCTGAACAAAGAAAACACCAGAATAAGAATGGTGGCTGTCGAGTTGTAATTTCATGTCTGGTGTACGCCTTTGCCATTGTGTTTTAACTGATGAAGAGTCTCTGAAACCGACTGCTAGTTTGTATTTGTGGGTATTGATGTAGACTTTTAAAGTGTAAACATGGAATAGGGGTGGAGTGGTTAGATGAGAAATTTTCAGATTTTTACACTGGATGTTAAAAAAGATACTGCTATCAAATTAAACTGGGCATGATATGAGATGTGATGTAAATTCTTACGGTGAGTCACCAAATTCGGAGATGACCTGGTGCACTCAGGGCAGGTGGTATCAGCAGTGTAGCTCAACTCCCGTGGAGGGTGAGGGTGCAGGCAGGGGTTACAGAAGCATCAACAGTGCTGGTAGTGAGACTGCTTTTCTACCATTTTTCTGTTACATCTCACACAGTGTATGCCATGGTAACTCAGTGAGCTATATTTTTGTTCTACTTTTCAGCAAAATGTTTGACACTGAACTTTGCCCTCTCCCTTTCTCCATGGAGGAGATGTTTGGTTTCATTAGCTGTCGATTCACAGGGTATCCATCCTCTGTGCAAGAGCAAGCATTGCTTTGGCTGCATGTAAGTGTCCTCTCTTGATGAGTCATGCTGAAACAGCTTATGATTTTGGAAAAAAAAGAGGGGAGGTGGGGAAAGAAGCCACTTTTCCAAGGATCATGGAACCTTTCTGCGCTTTGCTTAGCCCCAGTGTAAGGATGGTTGGTAGACAGATCCTGGGAAACTTTATATTACTAGCCCATCATGGGCAATATAATGGGAGCCTGGAAATTCCTTTTACCTTTGAATGTCAGTTGTGTCTTTAGGGCCATTCAGCTGTCTGACGTTTTGCCAGCAGTAGTTTTTAGCCTCCACAGAATTTGGTTTGTAGATTCCCAAATTAATTCCAGGCTCCAGAAGCAGCTGTAGTTGTTCCCACATACGAAGAATTGAATTGGACTAGGGCTGTACCCACCAGGCTTTCTGCTGCTCTGGTCCTTTTGTGCTATATTTGCCCACAAGGCTGGCATTCACCCAGTGTTCATATTCAAAAGCTACAGGGACAATCATGTCAGCTGGGGGGCAGTGAATTCAGAAGGGTTTAAAATTTTCCACAGCACCTCAGAATAATGCTTGTATTCTTCATTATCACTTCTTTTCTGCTGAGGGTTATTTTGATTAAGCGTCTGCAAACACCGGTTTACCTGATGACTGTAGCAATTTTCAGGTATACAGCATTTTCAAGTAAAGTATGATTTTTTTTTTCAATTTTTCTTCATCTAATAATAGTTAATGACAAGTACCAATGACGTCGTATTTGTCTGAGTGTTAGTGACAAAACAGATGATGAATATTCCCTCAGTGATTTGCAGATAACCATCCTGTTACTATGTTGACGCCTGTAGGCTACCATTCTGATTGGATTCTTACAGTAAATACAGGATTTCAGTTTTAAGTAATAATCAGTACAGTAAACAGTTATTCATCCAAGTATTGGTAATACTTTTGGTTTACATAAATACTTTTGTGGAACAACACCACATCCCTGTGTGTTTGTGCATAAAACTGATCTCGAGGCGCACCAAGCAGATGCCAACAAATATTTTGAAAATACCCTTTTTTTGCCAGTTCTCATTTGCCCTGATTCTAACAGAAATCTTAGCTTGCAGCTCACCTCATTGAATACCAGAATGAAAGGTGTGGAACTTGCTGAACTGAGGATCATATGATAAAGATGCTTTTAAAGTAGCTGGCATTTTTGATCAAACTTGAAACTCATGCTTTTTTTATTTGTTGTCTTTCCTCAGGTGCTATCTGAACTAGACATTGTTGTTCCTCTTCAGTTACTAATCAGCATGTTTTCTGACGGAGTTAATTCTGTAAAAGAGTTAGCAAATCAAAAAAAATCAAGAGTCAGTGAACTGGCGGGAAATCTTGCAGCTCGGAGGGTAACTTATTTCTCCTGCTTATTTTCTTGCTTAGAACAGTTTTCCTAATAGAATTCATGCGAAGACTTTAAAAAGTCAGCTTTCAATATGACAGCATTTGATTGAAAACACTATAAATTTTGAAAACGAAAGAAAATCGGCATGACTTTTTCAATTAATATCACTTATCACGTGGTCAGTGTAAAGATAATGCAGATAGGAACTACAGAAAAACTGTGCAGTTTTTCCTTAGTGAACTGATTTGTTTGGGATATATTTGGAGTGTTCTTGTATCTTTCCCAACCATTTAAATTTTCTGTACTTTCTATTAATAACCATCAACAACAAGTTGTTATGGACAGCTGGTCACCCAGAGTGAGGTTTTGTATTCTAGTACAAATTTGGTAGGCCTAGGTATGTTTTGGAAGGGTGACAGAGCAGAATTTATTTCTGTTTCCCTGCATTTTTTTTCCCCCCATCCGAGAGATGCAAAAATTGACCTAAAGTTTCCTGTCAGGAGGCTTATGATCTGGAAGAAAACATGTACAAATCTGTAGGCACTACACATACTTGGACTGATGTGACTCGCTTCCCTGTGGTCTCGGATGAAGTGCTTCAAGTACAGTAGGAACAAGAGTGCTTGAAAGGTCATATCTTTAGATTTAAGGAACTACAGCATCTAGGCAGTTGATGATTCCTTACAAGTGGTCTGCCTGTTGTCTGCTGTAGCTTGGCAGAGAGCACTCCCACACCTAGCAGATGACCATGTCTAAACTAAGCAGCAAAAAAAACGGTCAAGCTTACTGTCTGGTGTTCCAGACCATAGCTGGCCAAAAAACAGACCTCGTGTCATCTGACTGTGTATCTCCCTGCAACACTTAGAGGTTCTCAGAGTGTTCTAGGTTGTCTGCTGTGGTGTGGACATAAAGCATTGTAGACATGCCCATCTTGTTACAGTTGTGTCTAGTTCACTTCCATCTACCTGTATCCTTGCTCTAGACTTCCTTACACCGTTCTCTTGAGGTAGCCTCCTACTATCGAAGTTCGTGTCGCTGGGTCATGGAGCAGATCGTTGTAACCTGATGGCTGCTTTACTGCCTGCAACAATTTTCTGTTTGGTTTATGGTGTTAAAACTCCTCCTTAGTAGGAATAAGGTAATGGATGTCAGCCACTTAGCTTAAGAGAACGTATATGTCTGAGCAGAATACGATTCCCGTACTTCTATCATGTTTTATCATTTAATGGTGTTAAGGGACACGCACACCTTTTGCAACAAAGTACAGAAGGGAATAGTAAGGCTGTCAAAGTTCTTGCCGTTTTCTGCGGTTTCGTGTAGAATGAGATTGCTTAAATGCATAACAGTCATTTGAACATGTTGGTTCTTTATGTCTTCAGGTAAGTGTCGCTTCTGACCCTGGGCGCAGAGTTCAGCACAACATGCTGAGTCCTTTCCCAAGCCCGTTCCAGAGCCCATTTCGGAGTCCAGTACGCAGTCCTTTTCACAGCCCTTTCAAGAACTTTGGACACCCCAGTGGAAAGACAATTGATTTTGACTGTGAAGATGATGAAATGAATCTTAATTGCTTCATTCTGATGTTTGATCTCATCTTGAAGCAGGTACTTGCAGAAGAAAATCACCCACATTTAGGGGACACTGAAGTTCTGTAGTCACTTCTGGTTCTCCTTGAATCTTGTATCGAGCCCCTTTCTACTAAGGGGCTGACATTTAAATCCCTCTACAGCTGCCTTTACCCATATAGGAGTTACAGATTCGTGTTCAATGAAGAGAAGTTAGGTACCTCCACATTCATGTTAGTTAGCTCATACGAGCGAAAGCAGCTTCTCCTTGGAGGTAGGTTTATTTCTACAGACTAGAAGCAGAGGCTTGTTGATAGGCTTAGATGCATTTTTTTTTTTTTGGATAGCTAAATTTGTACATTGTGAATCCAACGCCAGGTGTTTTGTGATAACCGTCTCCAGGTAAAATTCATGGATCCGGTGCTTGAAATGGTCTGTTTACTCTAGCTGTTTGAGTTTGGGCTTTTAAATAAATAATAAATCCTTACTCTTTTTACTCTCTTTCAGATGGAACTCCAGGATGATGGTGTCACTTTGGGCTTAGAGAACAGCATTTCAAAAGATATAATATCCATCATAAACAATGTGTTCCAGGCCCCCTGGGGGGGTTCTCACACCTGTCAGAAAGATGAAAAAGCAGTCGAATGTGGTCTGTGTCAGTCCAGCATTCTGTGTTACCAGCTTGGTTTTGAGCTGCTGGAACAGCTTGCTCCAAAAGAAGAAATCAGGCTTGTGGTAAGTAGAGCAGGGAAGGGCCTATGTTATTGATGTGCTGAAACTCCTCCCCTTCATTTTTCTCAGTACATTGTGCACAAGGGAGCAAAGCTATGCTGACCTTTGGCACGGAGGACTTGGGAGGTTAAAGCAAAGTGCCATTAAACTGCGAAAGTTCCTAAGTTTGAACTGATTCAAAGAACCCAGAGATGATGACAATATTCATCCAGTGTGAACTCTTCCCCCAACAACATTGAAGTAGTGTTTCACTTTGGAAGGGCACTCCTGTGATACTGGGTCTTAAATAAAATATGAAATGTTAATACTTAGTGCTTTTCATCCCCTTTTAAAAGCTGGGTGGATATTTTGAAATTCTTAAAGATTTTGATTGAATCAGTTGTCAAGTGAACAAGCCTTCGTTGGTGCTTGATTGTTGACAATATTGAGCACTGTTGAAAACACGAATATACTTCAGGTTGAGTGTCCAACTTTACCAGACACAGATACATTGAAGTCCTCTGTAGCTCTGCAGAAGAATTGAAACATTACCTGCGATGTATTTATTTTAAGCTGTATGTCTGTTGCATATAACTTTTCCATCTGATAGTTCAGAAGACAGCATCGTTCCCCTTAGTCTGAGTGCTCATTTACCATAGCATGGTAGTGTCGGGACGTTTGCTAGTAATTTTTTTTCGGTTGTGGGCATGGTGATGCCTTTTGATTTGCAAAAGATTCAGAATCTGGATGTGTATGCTAATTGTGGGTATCGTGCGCATGGTATTCAGTAACTTGTGCTGTAAAAATCATCTCATGCCCTTAAAGTTCCAATTCTCACCCCAACCAAAATGTAACAAGTGGTGAAGTCTTTTGAGTGCTGGTGCTCGGTACCATTCCTAGGACCTACCACGTGATTTATAACATACAGGTCACAATGGCAACCTGTAATCCTGAGCTCCTGGCCACAGGCAGAAGTAACCCCAGCCTGCTCCTTTTCTCAATGTAAAAGTGATTGAGGTAGCTCCTGCCTCTAAGCCTGGAACTCTGCAGTGGTGTAGGAAACATGCCCTGCTTCTGCCTGTTACTCCCCTGAAGCAAGGATGACAAGTTTGGTGAAACCACGGCCCTGTGATTGGATCCACCTTGGCTCCAGTATGGATATACAGTTCCTGTTAAGTGTTATCGCTTAAATCCGGGTTTGAAACACCCTTCTTGTCAGTATGCATTTGCTGGTACAGAATTTTAGATATGCAGGTGATTTAAATGCACAAGTGTACATGGAACTAGACAGTGTCTGTCTCATTTGAGCTCAGCTTATCACCCCAAGTGTAACTTAAACGGCAGGATATGGCCTCGTGTATTTAGATAACATCAAGAAACGAATTTAACTTCTTAAATTCTTAAAGGAGCCCACGGATAACCTCGAGGACAGTCTTCTGTATACTAGACCTGAGTTTATTATAGGAACTGAAGGAGAAGAGGAAGACAAAGTGGCACCAAAACATGGAGAAAACCCAGGAAATCACACAGAAACCATGGAAAACGCTGGTGCGTGTAGTGTGAAAAGGTTGAGTATTTCAGTATGGCTTTAAAGGAAACACTCCTACTCATACAGAATGCAAGCTTATGAAGCAGTCTTTCAGGTCCAACAATGCACACTTCTTTCTCATGCATTTAATTCTTTCAGCACATTAATTAAATAGGGATTCTGTCTTTATGTTGATAGCAAGTGTGACTATCTCAAAAAAATGTTAGAAGAAATCTTGGCTTTTTGAACTTATAAAGTAGCAAAAACATTTCATGTCAAATTCCGTGCTGTTGTAACTTTACTGACTGCAGCATTACTGTGGCTAGAATTAATTTATCTGTCATCACTTTGATATTGTTTAGTTTCATTTTGAATGCACAGACAAGAGCACTTTAACAACATTTTATGTAACTTACATTTTTAACAGCGATAAAGAATGACACAGAAAGAAAATTTTGTTATCAGCAACTTCCAGTTACCTTGAGGCTCATATACACTATACTGCAGGTAACATTGATTACTTGTTTGATCAGTTCGAATTTTTTGGTTAAGTGGTATCATTGTGTTGAGGGTAGTACATCTGCTTACACAGGAAATGTCAAGGTTTGAAGAACCAGACATTCTTTTTAACATGCTGAACTGTCTGAAGATCCTGTGTCTTCATGGGGAGTGCCTATACATAGCAAGAAAGGACCATCCACAATTTCTCGCCTATATTCAAGATCACATGCTGATTGCAAGGTAGGCTTTTATTGCGTATTTTGTCTTCACACTTCATTGGTTCTCCAAATGTACAGTTGTTGGCATCAAAGAATTTCCAGGTTTAGTATGAAAATTAACAGAGGGTGGTAGGAAAGTGTAGAAAGGTTAAGTAAGTGTGTAAGGGCACATTGCACAGGTTAATTAAGAAGTTGCAAATGAAACCAAGGTACCCTATGTTGTCCATCGTGACTACTTATGCACCACTTGTTTTGCAGGGAGTCAGAGTTTCTCATATTGAAGAAAAGCACTGTCTGAGACTGAGGTATCTTCCCTGACTCTACAAAATAAAGGATGATGTAGAGGCAGGCACACAGCTTATAGGGCTTTAGCATTAAAACTGAGAGAACAACGCTATTGCACCTTATTTTTAAGAGAGAGAGGAAGTTTTTTCATTTTCACAATGAAATCTGTGCATTTTAAGATTCTCTTTGGAGAAAGGGACTTCGGCAGAAAACTCTCTGAATAAACATCAGCATGTGATGTTCTGAAATAGTGTGTTCATCAGGGCTTACAGCTGCTCTGTATCAATTTCATTGAGCATCTCCTGAGACCGTAGGGTTTTAGCGGACTAGAGAATCTGTCCTGAATCTAAATACCAGCAAATTGTGAACACCCAACATCTTAGTCATTTGTGGTGCCAAGACAGTTCACGTGGCTTATGCGTTGAAGCTGGTCGTGCTGAAATGCTAATTTGTAGCACAGATTATGTTCCATGGCAATTGTGCCTTGAGTTAGGCAAATTTGCAAAATCTGAAGTGTTTCAATGTAGAGGAACATCTGAACCTCGATTTTCATGAAAAACTGTTGTAATTGAAGATTTGCAAGTAGCTCTGTTCTCCTACCAGCAACTCTGTAGTATTCACATAAACGCCCAGGATGGCTTATAGAGATTTTAATGAAAAGTACCTTCTCTCCAATACAGTGTAGACATTTAGAAGAAAGGATGTCAAGGGAGTGTTTTTATAAGCAGGCTTGCTCTTTTTGGTCTTTCCAGCTTATGGGGAGTTGTGAAGTCTGAATTCTCTCAACTTTCTTCACTGGCAGTCCCGCTTCTTCTTCATGCACTTTCGCTTCCCCATGGAGCTGACATTTTCTGGACAATCATAAACAGCAATTTCAACAGCAAAGATTGGAAGATGAGATTTGAAGCAGGTAGGCCTGAGAAATGTACACGATTTTCTCCTTGTTGCTTCACTGAAGAGGTAGAGCTTTCTCTACTCTAACTGAGGAGACTTGTAATGGATGATTATCTTTTTGCTGCTTTGGGGGGTTTTGGAGATCATCCGGTGCAAAACTATAGCACAGCAATGCAGTAAAATAAAGGAGAACATGAAACATTTTGGATAATCAAAGTAAGATCAAAATTACAACACTTGCCAGCTATTTTTTGTTGTTACTTTCTCAGATGTGCGTATTTCTAGGAGAGGTATATTAGTCAGGACACACAAAGAAGCTATTGCCTAAATTAATATGCAAAATTTCTTTGTCTGGGGGCACGGCTGCTACAGTGGAGAAGGTGGCTGTGTTGTGCAGATTTTTGGATATTCACTCTGTGACTAAAAACCACCTACTGAAGTACTCCTTGGCTCATGCATTCTGCTGTTTCCTGACTGCTGTGGAAGATGTCAACCCAGCAGTGGCTACAAGAGCTGGGCTGTTACTTGACACCATAAAGAGGCCAGCTTTACAGGTAGGTTCATTCCAAGGGAAAAATTACATTCAAACAGGAATCTGGGTTTTCACATGAAGTTCAGAGTGGCGCAGGTGTACGACATCACGGTCACTGCTAATACCTCTTTAGGCAAGTCTCATGGTTCTCAGTAATTGACATAGGTACAAAATACCCAAGGGAAATGATGCTGCCCTGGCCCCGACTTAGAATCATAGAATCATTTAGGTTGGAAAAGAGTCCAACTGTAAAAACTGTGATGACCGCAAAGGATTACTATTGCATTTGAACTGCTGTCATAGTAAGGCTGTAAATGTTTATGATTGTAAAATTTACTGATGTTTTTCAATGTAAAAAAAAAAAAAAAAAAATCTCTAAGTCTTATGACACTGCTGAGCTGACAGAAAAGCAAAACCAAACATGGCCTTAATCTTTTCAGGATTTACTTAGGCATGTAACTTTAAGCATGTGAGAGACCCTGACAATCAGAATCCTCGTGATTAAATGTGAGCAGATATGAGAGTCGATCAGAGCCTACTTATACAAGCAAGATTAAAAAAATAAAAATCTCATAGTGCGCAATTCAGTTCTAATTCTCTGGAGAAGAGAATGAATATGTATTTTATAAAGTTATTGTTACTGCCTTTAAAAAGCTGTGAATACTTGCTACTCTTATTCCATATAGTGCGTTTTTCAACGTAGTTTCCAGAGAACTTGAATTCACTGAGGCTGTGACCAGTATACGGCACTTTCCTATTTAACGTGTGGGTTTTGTTCTCAAATGTAATTCTTGACACTACACCCAAAATTCTAGTGCAAATAAAACACAGAAGCATTTTGAGGCAAAGTACTTCTGATACACTTTGCTACATAATCTTTCTTCCTCTGTTTGGGCTTGGTGATTGATTCTTTTGTAATTAAGGGCTTGATTCAGTTGCCTAAATATAAGCTTTTTCTCAGGCAGGGGTGTGTGAAGAGAATACTTTGATATTGTATACCAAATGTGCAGTAGCACAGAACTTTGCCTGTACCTTTGTATTCCTCAAAATCTTAGCAAATTCGACAGTCCAAAATAATGTTCATTGCTTACCTTACTTTTCCATTGATATCAGTAGCGTTAGTTCTGATTTAAAGGACTTGGTAGGAAAAAAGAGCCAAACCTTTATCCTGTACTAATTAACAGGACAAGCTGTGAACTTTGACCTCACTTTGCTTTAAAAATGCTTAAAGTTTTCACATCTCAGCTCTGTGTTCTTTTTTTTTTTTTTTTTTTTTTTTCATTCTTCTGTAGGGTCTCTGCCTCTGCCTTGATTTCCAGTTTGACACAGTTGTCAAGGACAGGCCCACAATCCTTAGTAAGCTTTTGCTACTTCATTTTCTAAAAGCGGATATTCCAGCTTTGAGCTGGGAGTTCTTTGTGAATCGCTTTGAGACCCTGTCTCTGGAAGCACAGCTTCATCTGGACTGCAACAAAGAATTCCCTTTCCCAACAAGTAAGCAGAGTCCAAATCAATCTGATCAATTTTTATCAGCTTCTGGAATTTCAGCTGCCTGTAAGGCTCTGAGCGAGATGTAGGTCCTGCCTATATAAACTCTCTGAAATGAAGTACTCTTTCAGGCCAAAAGAGAACAATTTGAAGTGAGCTTTTTTTGACTGCCCGAATACAGACGAGGCGATATTCTGTCACACCTTTTGGGCATCATGTTTTTCTCTTGCTAGGATGTGATTGCAAGCCTTGGTTGTAAATGCCGTCTGGTTCTATGATCAGCTGCAACCTACGTTAGCCCACTTGTTCTTTTGTAGATGTTATGCTGTCAACACTGCTGTTCTGTGAGGCCTAGGCCACGCCTGAGCCTGTTCTGTAGTGGTCTGTACAAAGACAGCCCTAGGAGCTGTGTGACCCTCAAAACCCACACGAATGTATGGGGCAGAGCACAAGAGGTACATGGACTTTTGGGGCCAGTGCTCGGTTAACTATTCCTGCAGTGACAAATGTTCGTACATGTTTGTCCTGTTCATAGGTTGTTTCTTCATGGGATATCATGTCTTCTTCCATTCACTAGGGGGGGGACTAAAAAATAATTTGGGCATGATTGTTTAACAAGCTGAGGAATTGAAAACTTCTAGTGGTGGCCCGTGAGGCAGATCTGTTTCTGTCTGATTTTGCTTGGAGGAGGTGGGGACAGCTGTTTGGACAGCATGTGCTCCCTCAGCAGCCTAATGCCCCCTCCTACACTTGCACGGAGCCCAGTACCTAAAAAAGCTCAGGTGCTGCTGCTGCATCCATACAGGAGAAAGGTGGAACTGCAGACGTATTTTCTTCTCCATATGTAAGTAGCTTGACTCAAAGCTGGGAACTGCTGCTGTGGCCTGAGGAGGGAATCTTGGCACTAGTCTCTAGCACCTCTGGCTGCAAGTGTAGGGTCATATCTTTAAATAGGAATATTTGGGAGTGATATAAAGTATACAAAAGATACTTTTCAAGTTTCTTTTTAACTTTTCTCTTTGCTTTTTCAAAGACATGATTGGTGCAAAGCATGGGCTCACTGGCTTTAATCGCTCAGATAATTAAACTCAAAGGGTTTGAATGCACTGTAGACATGAGTATAGAAAAGTATTGGTGACGCCGTTAAGCCATGCAGCAATACTGCTGGTAACACCCCTGTAAATGCATACTCACACTCACAGGTTTTTGGAGGCGCTGTTCAAATCCAGGACGATAGGTGCAGGCAGGACAGGAGGGCAGTGAGGCAAAACTAGGGACCACGTTTGGGTATGGGTGCACTAAACGTCATCCATACTCGTGAGATTTCTGCCTTTTTAAGTAGAGGGCAGCTCATATTCCCTTAGCCTGAAATTCAGGTTTTGATTTCAAGAACCTGTCTTTGTCCAACCTCTAAAGGAAGAAGATAGCAACCTAGTTTTTAAACACAGTTATGCCATTTGGGGTTTTACAGCTTTCAGAACAAGAGCATGCAAATGAGTACCTTGCGGATGGACCCCTTGAGCCCATAGGAAGCTTTCTTGACTTGAGTGGGACCCGGGGCCCAGTTGCAGTTGGCACTCGGCAGCATTAGGGCCTCGCCATGCTGTGGAATGAATCCTAACTTGGTCAATTGCATTTGCAAAGCTATCACTGCTGTCCGGACAAATGTCGCCAACCTCAGTGATGCAGCAATGTGGAAGATCAAGAGGGCTCGTTTCGCACGTAATCGTCAGAAGAGTGTGCGTTCCCTGAGGGACAGTGTGAAGGGACCAGTGGAGTCAAAGAGAGCGCTCTCCCTTCCAGAAACCTTAACCACCAAAATTCGTTGAGTATCTATTTATATTTTTGTGACACACCTGTATCTTCTCCCTTAGGATCGTATCCTATTGCTGGGTACACATCGGAATTGTCAATATTTTTCCGATTGGGATAGCAAGCTTAGGCTTTTGACTGATTTGAGCATTATTCAGATAATGACAAGTCAGTGAGTTAGACAAAGAACACAGACAAACATTATGTCTGTGCTGTGTTTGTTTAAAATGCCAGAACAAAATGCTCCTAGACTAGTTTGTGGATAGATCTTAATTTTCATTTGTGGCTAATACACAGTAGTTTTGTCTAAAATAGATACAGAGTTTACAGAAAAATTCCTCTGTTACTTACTTATTAATTGTAACTATTAATCAGTGTGTGCAGCATATACTAGACATCTTAAAAACATCTGTTAGTATCTCAAATGAGCTTGTGGATATCGTTAGAATTATTTTGTTAAGAAAACAATGTCCGTTGAACACATCCTTCCTGCCAGCTTGTATAGGAGGTCCTAAGTGCTGGAAAACCCTAGTCCTGTATGGAGCGCTGTAGAGGTATCTTTCCAAGCAGAAATAAAGCTTACCCATTCTCATTTAGAGAATTTTACAAGCATGGATTAGTCTTTATATTCAAATTGAACCTCTCACATTGCTCCTGCCCATATAATAGGAACTGATAAAATGTTCAAACCTGGGTGCTGGTTAGCTGTTAAGTTAAAAGGTAATTTATTTTCTCCAAAACAAACACCACCTTTGGGACTTTTAGGTAATCCTTCTTGACCAATTTCTGATCCTGCATAGTGGCTCCTGTGTGGTGACTCCTGTACCAGCAAAAACGAACAGTGGAGAAAACTAGTTACAGAACATGGTGCACAAAACCTGTAGGGCACAGAAGTGACATGTTTCAAATGGTTACACTCACTGCCTGAGAACAGTGCATGAGTAAATAAACTTAAGTATGCTAGCACTGAATATATGCTGAAGTGTAAGATGTCAGTACTGCCTTTTTAAACAGAGTTGCTCTCTTGTTTTTTTTTGTTTTCTTTGTTTTAAGCTGTGAGCTTGACCAGACATGAGCAGTCTGCTCCAGCTCTTGGAGGAACACCAGAGCAAACACCAGGTGGGTTTGTCAAGGGGGGGTGTGTTTTGATGGAGAAGGAAAAGGAAGGTACTAGCACTGGCTTTCTTGCTGACTTGTGAGATGAGTTTATGCAAGTGGTCTAAAAGGCACAGTGACTCACATCGCAGCATGGTTCCAAAAGGTGTAAGTTGAATTTTTCTCTGGATCTGTACTGAAAATGGCCCCCAGCTGTAAATAGCACTTTGGGGCTGGGAGAAGGTTATTCAGAGGCAGTCAGCTATGCCGGCGGTGCCCCACCTTCCTGTGTTTCAGTGCCCACTGGAACAAGTAAATCTTTAGCAGGCTGGCCCACGGGTCACCTGTATTCAGCCTGTTCCCTGACCTTCAGGTTTTAGAGGCAGCGGATGGAAGGCTTTCGGTTGTCAGTACTGTAAATTACACTTGTCTCCTCTGTTTGCTTATAGACATCTTGACTCCCTTATATTTACCGACATTTAGTGAAGATGTTACCCTTCTGTCAGGCATCTGTAGGATAGCTAGCTCAGCAAGGTCCACGTAATCCCTAAATAATTGTGACTACTGATGGTTCTTGCTCTGAGTCCTGCGCAGACTGACCATTTGGAAGTGAAAAATCTCAGATTCAGAGCTTTTCACATTCCTTCTTCAAGACTTGCAGTATTTCCAGCAGGCAGAAATTCAGAGTCAGAAAAGATCAGCGTATGGAGTGGTCAGCTGAAAGGTAAATACCTTGCCAGTGTGGGTGCTGACTAAGCTGCGAAATGGACTAGGAGAGGCTCTGAATTAGCAGTATATAGCCCTGTCATACTAGCCCGGTGAGAACTGGAAATCAGCCAGTTCCTTACAGAACACATGTGCAGGTTGTCGCAGGCTCATAGAAGGAGCAAGTGAAATGATGGTGCAATGAACAGATGTATCAGTGAATGCTTGTTCTTGGTTTAATGGTACCCCTAACCTGCTATATACTGGGCTGAGAGAAACTTGTAGCATAAGAAGTGTCAGTGTCACAGCAGGCATTGTTAGCCATTGTGGTCTTATTAGATGGCTCAGATAATTGTTCACCTAAGCTTCAAATTAAGTTTCCACCATGTATATATAAAAATTTGCATGTAGCTAGTAACGACTGATATGAAGAAAAGTCTGATAATATAGTTCAAAATGACCACAGATGCTTTGGAAGCTAGGAGACAAATGACCATCCTTCTCCTCTTGTGCAGTATTTATGATTTCTTCCTAAAATCTTAATTTTTTGTAAAATATTTTTAAATTTACATTTCCATATATTATATGGTTTATGAACCGAGTCTTAGGCTTCCTCTCTGGCAAAAAGTCATCAAAGTTCTGACATAATACGTAGTGTCCCAAAACCTAATGAATTGTAGTGCCTGTGTTTTGGCTCAAGTTATTTGAGAGCAATACGGACTCAGTGCTAAAAGGGGAAGTCTTAATTTTTTTGTTTAATCATCATTTGGTAGAATTTTCCTTATCTCCTGCCTTTGCCATTTTGTACATCCTCCACTGGGAAAGACTAATGTCCACTAATGTTTGCTGAGGAAAGACCGAAAACTATGCCAGGTGAAAAACTGGTGGCAGTGGGGTTTGATTCTCCTTTAAATGCATCGATGTGAAGGAAGAATAACACTCAGTTTGGCAGAAATGCACTGGGATGGGAAGATAAGCAGCTCCCTTAAACGGGGGAAAGCTGAGAGATGGTGTTCAGTGTACACAGTAGGTGTTACTGTGCTGTTGAGCCAGAGGCAAGGAGGAGCAATGCCCTCGGAAAGGCATGCCTATCTCCTGTGACTTCACCATGTGGATGTGAGCAGAAATGGAGCCGCGAGCTCTGCAAAAAAATTTCTGGTTGTTGTTTACAGCCTTACCCAGTGTCTCATATCAAAACCTTTCTTGTGCCGATAGGACAACCCTCCCCAGAGAATGATAATACAATAAAAGACCTGCTGCCAGAGGATGCCGGGATTGATCACCAGACTGTCCACCAGCTCATTACTGTGCTAATGAAGTTCATGGCAAAGGACGAGAGCAGCGCCGAGTCGGACATCAGCAGCGCCAAAGCTTTCAACACAGTCAAGCGCCATCTGTACGTCCTGCTTGGTTATGATCAGCAGGAAGGATGCTTCATGATTGCACCACAAAAAAATGCGCGTTTCGACCTGCTTTAATGCCTTTATTGCTGGCATAGCACAAGTAGGTGAAGGCACTTACTACTTTTTGCAGCTATTTCTCGTTGCCTGTTGTTGAAATGATGGTAGTAGAGTCCCAAAGTAATGGCTGAGTGCAGTAATCCTTCTTGATACCTCTTAAGTTGGTGAAAGAATTTGGGAACTAGGTTGACTGCTGGTTCTTTGCTCACAGAAGGCTCCATGTAGCCTAGTGAGGTGCTTTCTGTAGGTTTTTGCTTTGCAGTTAAAAGGTAAATAAATAGAAGTATGCTAATTTATAACTTCCTACTAGTACTCTAAACTTGCTGCATCGTTGGCACAGAGATAAGGGTTTTGTGTGCGTGGAGGCATGCAAATATACTACATGATGAAAAATTAGAGACTGCTCCAAATGCCCTTGCCCTCTTTCCTTAGCCTTTGAATGCCTTATGTCTTCACGTGCCATTTCCTCCTTTCCTATTCAGGATGACCTGGGACCCGTGTGCTCTTGCTTGTTTCACTGAATGAGTTTACATGTCTGTAAACTGTTTGACATTCTTCACTTTGCAGGAGCTTCATTCTCCTTCTTCCTCAGAGCACACCAGGACTTTTATGTTCTGCCTTCCCTAGAGAGTGGTGCCACTGTGATGAATTTGTGCCTATATCGCTACGATAATGACTGAGCACATCCTTGCCTTGTGCTTTCTTCCTCCTTCTTGTAAAGAATGACTGTAATTTCCTACCTCACAAGGCTCTTTTAAGGCTCAGTTAACTCTTACTGATAGAGCAGTTGGCGATGCTAGGCTGAAAAACATTTCAAGCTTGCAGTATTCTTATTTTTTGCAGTGAAGCATCATCATCACTTCCACACTTTTTCCTTATCACGGTCTCATAAAGGATTACCTTAGGAGAGAGAGGGGGCTGATTTCAGATCTCCCTCTGCCCTCGCTCTTAAAATGTTCACTGTAACCTTAACACTGCTCAAAGCTATCCTGGCCTTTTCCTTATCTGCAGTTCTTATCGAGATATTCTGGTTCATATGTTGGAATCGGTAATTTTTTTTTTTCAGCCAATTGTAATGGTAGGTACTTGGATAAATTTTCACAGTCGTGGAGAACTCCAGTATCCATGTTTTAGCAGGCAAAACAGAAGGTGTTAAAGCACACTGGGTAGCTGCAAATGCATCCTGATCCGTTGTCTCAGAGCACCATTGCTGTGTGTTATTAATCATCTTCTATTGGTACAGTTTTCAACTGAAACATGTAAAGGGAGACTCAGGCTTGTTACTGTTGTGTTGAGAGTCTGAAAGTGGCAGTTGAGATCCACATTTTTCTACATGTTTTCCAAGTTTGGATTCCCCAACTTCAGTGATCATAATTCACCTGACTTTCAGAAATAATACTTACTGCAGCTCTAAATACCTTTCCTCTTCACCTTTAAAATGTCTCATGACAGCCAGATTCACTATTTCTGTTTGAAAAGCTTCACAGTTGAATCTTGGCTCCTCTGACATCAAATGGAGTTTGAGAACTTCGGTAGGCCAGGATTTTTCTCCATGTAGCAGACATCAAACTTTAATTTATATTTTGGGGGGATTTTTTTTCTTAGCCGTAGGGCTGCTTTCTGTTGGGAATCACCTTTGCTGAAAGAGAAATGCTATTTGCAGTCCGAAGGTGCATTTAGAGAGTAAAAACTCAGTACAGAGCTCTTAAGACATCTATTTCAATTACACATCCTCTAGTCATAAATATTTGCTTTCTCCAATCAGCTCTGCAAAGGTTGGGATTGGGCTTCCCTGCTGGTTCACTGATTTTGTTTCCAAGCTTGGTTGGAATGGTCAATTCAAGAAAAAAATCAAATGCCTGTTAGTATTTTGCATCATAAAATCTGAATATTTGGAGTTCTTGAAAGCGTAGAATGCTTTTTTTCTCTCCCTAGCAGCCCAAGTGGCCATGTTTTGGTGTCTGCAGTTACTGTGATATTACCCCGCATGGTGGCAATGTTGTACAATCCTGTCAGAGTGGGGGAGGCAGCAGTGCCGGGCTCTGCTCAGCATCCCAGGCTGAGCTCTGTTCAGCATTTGCAACAACATCGATTCCAGATCTGCCTGTGACAACTTTAAAAAATGGGTCTGCTCAGCTTAAGACATGTCTGCATTACAGTACGTGCTCTGTTAAGGCAGGGCTCTGTCTTGCTTGTACAGATGAGTTTTTCCTAACCCTGCTGTATGACTGCTCACACCCTGAGGGGACCAGGCATTGCAGGGTAGGACCATATTTGGTGATTATGTATCATCTTTTCGACAGGCTTAACCCTACATGGATAGACATGGGATCCATCTGTTTAGCTCTGTGCATGCAGCACAAAAATGTGAGACAGCTGTACGCTGAGCTAGAGAATTCTACAAGGAAAAAATTCTAGTCAGCTTGGTCAGGAGGGAACTTGAGAGACGAGGTCTGTGTTTGTAAATTAAGCTCATCCTCTTGTTCTAATAAAAACAAAACCAAAAAAAGAAATACAGACCTTGAGGAGATGGATGATGTAGATGAAACTGGTGTTTGTGTCTGTTTAGACGTACAGGGCTCCTGATAAAGTGCACTAAGTCTGCTGAAACTGCAGGGACACGTTAGATCTTGGGCATTGTGCTGGAGTTGGGTTGGCCTGCTGTTACACCTGTCTGGGTGTCAACCAGTACAGGTCCGCGTCAGAGACAAGGGCTTTGTGGCTCCTTGTTATGATCTAGTTTAGCTGCTGATTTCAGAACATATGGCTTTAAATAAAAACAGCTAACGTTGCAAGACTGGTGGGAGGATAATGAAGAGCAGCCTTGCAGTTTCAATGAAAACACACTTGTGTCTGGGTAGTGGGAATATATGGCCCCACCGGACCAAACCATGGGGAAACCAACCTCTAGGGTAGGCACTGAGTAACATGAGGCTCTTCAAAGGTCATGATGGAGGCAAGGTTCATGACTAACATAACAACAGCACCCTGTCTACAGCAACACCACCACTTAAAATTGATGAGCATTTTATTTCGAGCCAGATATTCTTCATTAGTTTTACGCTTGGATATGTTAGGATTTGCATGCTTAAACCTTGTGCTTAACATCGCAGACACAGTCTTGCCTTTGCTGTAGTGAAGAGTGGAATTCTTGTCTCATTACCCGATTCCAGAGCACAGGGCTTAAAAAACCCCAAAAGCTAATGTTGCAAGCCTGATGAGAAAATAATGAAAACTGGCAATGCAGTGTTAATACAGAAACCCCAAATAACCAAAATACACCCTCCTCCCCCCAAACCCACAATTGCATTCACATGAGATATACCTAATATGGTTTTGTCTGTTGAAGCATGATCAACTTGTGCTGTAACACAAGGCTATCACAACATGATGTATTTTGTGAACTTGCCAATGCATGTTAAAATTTAGGCTGTGCAGAATGAAAGGCTTTCAGGGCGTGTCTTCTTTTGTTTCATTTTACCTATCTTGCTAAAATGAGAACATGGCAAGCTGGTAGAAAGTTTCTAACTGCTGGTGAGATTTCCTTAAAAACATCTGTTTCTTTTCACTTAACTAATACCTCAACTGTATTAGTTATTTTGCTTTTCAACATCAGTGGTTTTGATTTTGGTGAGCTAATTCCTGTGCTAATATTCTTTTCAGGTGATGGACTATAACATCAACCTGGGAAAACACCTTCTTCCCTTGGTGGTGCAAGTGTTGAAATACTGCACTTGTCCTCAGCTAAGACATTACTTTCAGCAGCCTCCTCGCTGCTCCCTCTGGTCCCTCAAACCTCACATTCGGCAGATGTGGTTGAAGGCTTTGCTTGTCATTCTCTACAAGGTGAGTTGTCTTACACAGACGCTGTCAACATTAAAATTTACACTTCAATTTGGAATTTATTACAAGGAACACCAAACTGTACTACAAGTGAAAGGAAATGTAAAGAACACTTCATTGTTTTCTTTATTTGTTGCATTTAATTTCAATGTCTGAAACAGTTGGGCTTTCACGTGTGCTACTGACCTATTACTTCTGCTGTCTGTATTGTCTTTCACAAGGTTACCTGAGAAAGAAAAATACAGATTTGAAAATAGGAAAATGCTACATAAAAATTGCAATGAGGAGTATTTTAAGTAACTTAGAATTATTTTTTTAAAAAATTATTAACTTTAAATGGAGGTGGGTGGGTGTCAGCTTAACAGTTTTTGCATCCTTTAGTTGGGCGATGCTTTTTAGGAAGTGTTGTTTAAATGTAGTGTGCTTATGCGCTAAAATGGAGCTGTGATACTTTTGATATACTTAACAAATTTCTAGCAGGTCTCTAGGGCATGCAAGCAAGTGAAGACACCAGAAATGAATGATGATGTGCTGATTGAAATAGAATATTTGGAGAACAGTTCTGTTGAGAGACCTTCTGCATTATTATTAATAGTTGGTTTTGCCACACAAAAATCAAGATGGCAATATATTAAATGTTGCTAGTAGAGATTTTTTTTTTTAATTAAATAATTCTGTGTACAAAGCTGAAAACAGCCTTGCTTCTCATGACGTGTTTAGAAATGTATGATCAAAGGAAGGCAAAGAGCATCCAGCTGACAAGATTCTTGTCATTTTTCTATTTTACTGCCTAAATGTTTATCGAAGGAGGAAAGTTAGTTTTTAAGCTGAAGTTTTTCTCTTTCACTGAACAGTACCCCTACAGAGACTGTGAAATCAGCAAGATTGTACTTCACCTAATCCACATCACAGTCAATACTCTCAATGCTCAGTATCACAGCTGCAAGCCCCATGCAACTGCTGGTCCTTTGTATAGTGACAACAGTAACATAAGCCGATACAGTGAAAAGGAAAAAGGTACTTTTAACACTCTCACTTCTATGGTAGTCACTGATTGAGTTCACTGAGTCTGGCAGATGTTGTAGAATGGGTAAATACGGACTGAATTTTAGATCATAATACTCAGAATGAAGTCCAAGGTGTGACTTATCTGACCAGCTATAGCCATTTATGGTAAAAGAAATTCGCAATTTCTCTGTAGGCTAAGCATAGGACAGCAGTCTGACATCTCTCAGAGGGAGTGTACCTTAGACTTGGTAGTTCAGTCACCATGCCTGGGTAGTCCTTGGCCTTTTCTATGACAATATTAACGATCGTGCCCACACACAAGGTGTGCAACCAGCCTGACACCACATTCTGATTATACTTTATAATAACATGGCATAGTAGCAAATATTTGATGTTGAAAAGAGAAAATGATTAATTCAGTCTATAGTTTGCTTTTCTCTGTAAAGGAGCTGAAGCTGACTAGCTTACCTGGAGATGTATGTGATGTAAATGTCTCAAGACAGAAGAGAATGATTCAACCCTCAGAGTCTGTGTCTGATTGTTAACTCTGTACGTGCTTGCTAGCCATAGCAGAGTCACAGTGATGGTGTGAACTAGTATAAGGTTGGACTTGAAATAACATGGTGTCACTGAGTGTAGTTCCTTACAAGTGTGAAGTTTATTACTTTGATAAGTATTTATGACCAGCACGTTCTTTTTGATGCTAATCTGTAGCTGCCTTTCAGCGCTATTTTGCCTTTTAGCTGCTTTTTTTGCTATTTACATCCTCCTTCTCAAATGGTCTTCCTGGTGTGCAGCAAACTCTTCTTCTTCAGAAGAATATAAGAAGCACTTTCTTTATGCATGTCAGTACCTTTTCCTCTTTTGCTGCTTGTTGCTCATGAGAAGATAACCAGTAGAACAAGGACACAAAACTTTGTTTACCTGAATATCGTACTACTAGCAAATTAAAGCAACCTTAAAATGGACGTAAATGATGTGTTAGATATTCTCACTCACTTGGACATTTTGTTTAGCTAGAGGAGGGATAAGAGGGTTCAGGTAACTGTGGACTTGCTATGACTTTATCTTCATTTTGAGCTGAGTTAATGACTTAATTCATAATGACTTAATAATGCCGAGGGTAGTAATAATAAAAATATAAATTCAGTTTCTGGGTTGATTCTGAGACATTTCTAAGATGAAGCAACGTGCCTAAGTAGCAAGCTTGCTGTTCACAGTAAGTGCCAAGTTAGGTTTAGAAAACTCGCTGTTCCAATCCCACGTCCAACATTGATTCCCTGGGTGGCCTTGTGTCTCACTTCATCATTGTTTCTCTATGTTTAAAGTAAGGAGAATAATATTTACTTGCTTTCCAAAGCTGTTGGGAAGGGTTTTGGGCTGCTCAGAGGTAAAGGACCATAAATGGGCAAATTTTACTCTGTAAGTGCTGACTTAAACGTAGGACTGATTCTCTTCCTTTGCTGAAGTGCTGCAGAAAAAGGAGGATGTAGAAAAGTTATTTTCCACCTGCAAGAAGCAGCCAATGGAATTCCAAAGGGGCTTGGAAAGCTGAAGCCTTTCGCACCTTTTCTAAGGAGGTTTGTTTAGTCTGTGATCAGGTAGTGTGTATGTGCTGCTGTCGTCGTCAAAGGTGGGCTTCAGCAGTCAACGGATGAGGATTTCATTCTCAGGCCGCAAGAATCCCTATGCTAAGGATGGATTTTTCTCACTATCGAAACTTTTTTCTAATTTTTCTGCCAAACTTTGTTGTGGGGATCATGGCAAGTGTACAGACTATTGTAGACCTGATGATAAATCTTGTGAGAAGAAGCATTTGTTGCCAAGAAGTTAGACACACAGGACATGATGTTAAAAGTGATCTCCTAACTTACTAAGCCCAGCCCCTGCAGAAGTTCTTACTATCAACTTCGACTGATTTTTCAATCAGGTATCTTATCCCTGATGCTTTTGGGTGGCAGTTCCATAGCTTCAGATGTAGTAGAACTTTCCAGCAATTGCAAAGCTAAAGATATTAATGTCCAGTTCAAGTCTTCGGTTTTTGGCCATTCTAACTCTGACTGACTTACCTCTTCATTCCTAGGCACCAAATGCATTTCCTTTCTGTTTGCTTACTGGAATAAACAAGGCAAACTTGTCTGTTTCTTCTTTTGAGAGATCTGCTTTCTTTATCGTCCCAGTAGTGTTTCTTACTTCCTTGGAGATGAGTCACTAGACATGATAGATACAGAATTTTCCTTTTTTATAGCCATTTAATACAGATGATGTGGTTATTTTTTGATGGCTAAATAGATTGGATCTTTCTCTCTGCCATTTTCAACCAGCTGGTCTCAAACTAGAGGATAATATTTTGCTATTACTACTTAGATCAACAGTTTCATAATTCATACTGTTAAGTCTTATTCTATCACCAGCTTCCCAAGATTATCCATTTCTTCCTTTTTCACTTTCTTATTTTGCTGGTGTATTACTGACCTTGCAGTTCTTGTACTAATTTTGATCTTCGACTTACCATTTCTCACTGACCACTATAAAAGTTATTTACTCAAGTCCGTGTTCAGATCTATTGTACTTCTTCCACCTAAAGAATCTGTGTTATTATCAGTAGAAAATATCAGCTTAGAATGGTAAAAGCTTTGGTATGCTTTTATTGTTGTAGCCCATTTTTCATTTATCTCTGTCCTTTCTGACCTTAAATAAAGATGTGATGAGAATGGCAAAGTTATACCGGGATATAAATTTCCTTGCAAACTTCAGATGATTCTTAAGTTTCCAGTTCAAGTTTAATTGAAACTAGCTTAGGTTTTGTTACATAGATAGCTTTTCATTCAAGGAATTGCACTCTCTTAAGACTAATAATTTTTTTCTTTCTCCAGCAGAGGAAGACAGTGTTTTTGATGAATCTGATATTCATGATACACCAACTGGACCTTGCAATAAAGAATCTCAAACTTTCTTTGCAAGACTGAAAAGAATTGGTGGCAGCAAAATGGTGAAATATCAACCAGTTGAGATGAATGCTCAGAGAAGTATGAATTGTTTTGTCGGTATAAACTCATGCAGAAATACAATGCCCTACTCTTCTTTTTAAGCTACCACCTTTCTTCGTAGAGTTTGTTGCACTGCCTACTTTGAATACAAGTACTCTCTCTGACTTCTGAGAGTAGGTGGCACTCATTTCCCTGAACGAATTCTTATAGGAATCTCAAAGTAGGCATTCCAAAATAAAAATATCTAAAATCAGCAGTTATTTTCTAAAACTTTAAGCTCTTTTGAATTTAAAAATGTTTAAGAGGATTTGTTGCATTTTTCTTCCACCATTAGGCTGAAGATTTTCCCAGAAATTGATTTGATTTTTTTTTTTTGATGAGGTGGGACTCTGGGGTAAGCAAATTTGTTGTTGCTGCTGCAGATATTATGGTTTTCCATTGGTAAAAAGGGTCATTGTGGCTTCAAAAAATAAGAAGGATTTTGTTTTCAAATTTAGGTTTCTGAAATGAATACCCTAAAAAATTTAAGAGATTTCCACCACCACCCACCTGCCTTTTTTTCTTTTGAGTGTTCGCACAGTGATTCTGATTAGAGCAAACATCTACTTTAACTTTTCTCACTGTTTTTTTGCATGGTGATTCATACGTGGAGCATTTTGAAATATGGGGATAATAATGATCAGGAATATTCTGTTTTATCGGAAAATGTTCATAACAACAACATTGAAAACCTTTTAAAACCTTCTCAATGAATGTGTTCACATAGCAAAATACCAACATACAGCTGTGCTCACTTTACTCCTGCCTAGGATGGGGAGGTGTGACTGTGGTGTGATAGTTGCTAGACTCTGCTGGGGTTTAGGATCACTGGGGGGGAAAAAAAAAAATCTCGAACTCCTGTCTGACCTTAGGCTTGTGCTGCCACATCCTCACCGCTGTTGCTGCCTTTGCTTCTTGAATTAGAAGCATCCATTTTAAGTCCACTTTGCTGCAGTAAATAACATGTAGATGTAGTCTACTATACGTTGATGTCCAAATGATGTCCACAATGCTGGAGTCCAAAATTATTTTGAAACTTATTTGTGTAGCTCACTTCTTCCATCTCTCATGCCTAATGCAGCCGTCCCAAGTGTCTGTAGAAATTACCTGCCTGTGCCATCTTCTTTTCAAAGTATAAGGTTAAACATGTGTCTTCAGGGTACATCCGTCCAGGATGAAGAGAATTCGGATAGAATTTAGATAAGCCCTATTATCCAAATAGCATGGGTTTTGGTTGTGCATTGTAAAAAATACATGTGATGTGGCTCTGAGGTTAAAACAAAATCTAAACAATTTTGACTAATACTGGGTTTGTATTTGAAATGCCAGTCGTTGAATTGTGAGGTAAAGATGAAGATACCTGCCAGAAGTCTCCAACTGAGGTAGTATTAGCTCTTTCTGTTTTAATCAGGTGAAATAGAGCTGGCTGAATATAGAGAGACGGGGGCCTTACAAGACAGTATTCTACGCTGTGTGAGAGAAGAAAGCATTCAGAAAAAAAAACTGCGCTCTCTAAAACAAAAATCTCTTGATATAGGAAATGCAGACTCCCTGTTGTTTTCATTAGATGAACATCGCAGGAAGTCCTGCATAGACCGGTGTGACTTAGAAAAACCACCTGTCCCTGCTGCTTACGCCATACACAGACAGAGTGATTACGGACGATCTCGGCAGAATTCTTCTACTAAAGCTGAAAATATAGAAACACAAGAAAATCGCCCTCGTACGGAGAGTTTCCAGGAGACAAGGCGACCTGTCATACCAGAAGTTAGGCTAAACTGCATGGAAACCTATGAAGTGAAAGTGGATTCTCCGGTTAAACCTGCTGGTCCCAAGGAAGATTTAGATCTGATAGATTTGTCCTCTGACTCAACATCGGGTCCTGAAAAGCATTCAGTACTCTCTACTTCAGACAGTGACTCTTTAGTCTTTGAACCACTTCCTCCACTTAGAATAGTGGAGAGTGATGAAGAAGAAGAAACGACGAACCAGCTGAACGATGAGGCTTCTGGCAAAACTGCTGCCTCTTCTCCCTTAACTCCTATCAACGTCTCTGCACTCAGCCTCAGCACAACTCCGCTGGTTCAGTTCAGCATTGAAGATTGCTCCAAAGACTTTAGTTCTAAGGATACAAGCAACAATGCTTCAGCAGGAATAGAGGAAATCCTTTCCAATTCTCCCAGAGATCAAAAGGACTCTGAAGAGTTAGTTAAGCCAGAAGAACTTCAGGACATATCCTCTGGGAACGCACTAACACTGAAACAGAAAAGGGACCTGCTGCAGAAGTCATTTGCCCTTCCAGAAATGTCCCTCGATGATAACTCTGAGCTCAGCGTGGAGGAAATTAGACCTAGTGGAGCAATTCCAAGCCCAAATGTAAAGACGGTCCTTATTAAAGTCCCTGAAGATTCCGAAAACCAGATGGAAGGTGATAAACTTGACACCAACACAGAGTCTGACACGGAACAAAACACGGAACAGAAACAAGAAGAGGAGACTGAGGAGTCAGAATTTAAGATTCAGATTGTTCCTCGCCAGAGGAAGCAGAGGAAGATTGCTGTGAGTGCTATTCAGAGAGAATACCTGGACATTTCCTTTAACATCCTTGACAAGCTGGGAGAGCAGAAGGAGGCAGGTGAGCGCAACCACTGACCCCATCAAAGACTTATTGCTGCATGAAGGTTTTAGTAACAGAGCACTGCAAGGGGAGATGTGTATATTTATAGGGAGAAATGTGTATATATTGCAGCTGATGTGGTCTGAGCTAGCCGAATGCTCCAGGTGTTGGTTTCTCCCAGGGAATGTACTAACCATACAGGCGTTGTGCATGCATGAGGGCCCATTTTGAAAAGGAAGGGGAGTTCAGTAACAAAAGTATTGTTTCTGATATCCAGGTTAGGAAGTGAAACTCCATGGCCTCTTCGTGCAGGAAGTCAGAAAAATTCACCCTTCTGTGCCTTTTTTTCTGCTAATGTAGTCTACACCGATTCCGTTTGGTGTGTGGTGACTTTTGGCCTTTATTTCTTCTGCAAGCATAAAGCAGATTGTATCATGAAGTGTGAAGCTGAGCGGGCTGTAGACTTCAGAGCTAAGAGCACTTGGAATTAATCACAGTTTGCATTTGGGATCAGACACACACACCCATTCTGGTTTTATACACTAAAAGCTTTTTGGAGCCTTCTTTGTATTGGGTATCCACAAAGTTTACGTGCCTTGTGTTTGTTAAAGATTTGAAGCTCAAGCATGGGGGAAGCCAGACAGTATTTTCTCTGAATCCCAGGTTTTTTTCAGGAACCTGGGATTATAGCATAGATGATGGTCATTTGGCTGCATGTGTCTAAGTGTGCCACCCAGGGGGAGCGTAAAACATTCACAGTGACTCATTAAGTGCTCGCTCATGTTACAGGCTGATACAGGCAATTCAGATAACTACGTAATTTAGTGACTTTGGTAGTTTAATGTATCTCATGTTTTGTTTTGCTTTGCTTAGCCTTATTGATTAGTTTATTTGAGCGTATATGTGTAGTAATTCATTTAAGTAGGCTTACTGTCGCCATCGTAATGGCTGATGATAATTGAATAAGTCTTATTCAAGCCTTTTCAACCTATTATACTTCCCTGTGTTTTAGAAAGGCTTCTGATATAACTGATTTCTGAATTAAATATCCAGATGGGTTGTTTCTTCAAGTACACGATGCTGGGCTACAGAGTTTCCTGCCTGAGACTTTTTACGGCACAGATATATATTAATTTTTATAGGATATGCAGAAACCAGCCATCAACACTTGAAAATTTCTATGCTTCATTCTTCCTATATTGACAGTATCAGTTATCATAAAAGAAAAGCATTAATTTTAATGGCTTTTTTTCTTTTAATGGTAGAATCTTAAACTCTTTGAATCTTTAGGATCAACTGATAGATCCGCAGCCTTTTGAATGGAAACCGATAACACACTGGAGATAAGGCTTTTAAAAGGTGCAAACCTGTCACTTAAATTAGCATTACATCAGTGGTACCTCTCTTATTTCCATGTTGGTGGTTCTGATAATCACTCTGTGAGTGGGATCAAAACCAAACTCTGTGTGCATTTATTAGTTACGAACTCTAAAGAGCATAGATAGAAATCTCATTTAGAATGTGATTTTAAGCAGTAGGTCCCTATGCCTGTAAAAATCTTTGCAACGCACACAGAATCCTTTTAAAGCTGCTGGGAGTGCCAGATGGTGAATGGATGACTGAAAAGATGTGATAAAGGCGTCCAGGGAGAAAACGGATGAAAAATATTTATCAATTCTAAATATTGAGAGTTCAAGCACAATTTTCACATGCAGATCCTGCTGCCAAAGGACTTTCAACACTGGAAATGCCAAGAGAGTCATCATCTGCACCAACCCTTGAAGCAGGCGTCCCGGAGACAAGTAGTCACTCTTCCATATCAAGTGAGTTCTGGTTGAGGATTAAATCTAAGTTGCTGTATTTGGGAGTCAGATGCATATCATATATGATAAATGCCTTCTCCTGAGTTTTATTGATTCTTGGAAGTAGAGCTGTGTTGGATATCATTCGATCTGTTAAATCTCAGATGGTCAGCAGGATTTTAGCAGTTAGTGGCTGCAACATTTTCTGTAGTGACATGGCCAATTTGACAAATGTGCTTTTCTTGAGTAGGTAGCAGCTCAAAGCAGTATTTCACTAAAGCTGAATGTTTATTTTCCGATGAGAGAAAGCACTGGCAGCTACCAGTGCACAGAAGCAGAGGATGAGAGCTTCACAGGGCTGTTACTATGGTCTTCGGTACATGTCTTGCTGTACCTTAGGAAAAAAATCTCTCTCAATTTTTGTAAAATGCTTTGAAGTGCCACTTCCTCAGCTGCTCGCTGAAATGCAGTAACTCTTTATCTGAGACTCCCATATCCATTTCAGTGAAAAGTCAACTAGGTTGGTTTAAGTAGACATGGATGCATGGCTTAACAGAGCAGATGTAGATAACATTGGAAGGTGGAGGCATCTAGAAAACTGACAAAAGCCAGAAGGAAATGTTAGGTAGCACATTGGAAAGCTGACGGGGCAGGACTCTAGTAGAGAAGGGAGGAAAAATGCCTACTTTAATACCAGTGAGCTGCTAGATCAGATGAACTGTCTTGTTGAACTGCAATTTCAGATTTCGGTAGTAAAGCTGAATTTTAATTTCTGAAATTCAGCTTCTGCTGATTTGATTGGCAGGGTTGTCTGGCCTGTTAAAGGAAGATGTTATTTTAGACATGCTAGATGAGTATTCCAAATTAGAGGTTTCCTCTCCAGTTTTACCCCAAGCATCTTGTGTCGTGTGGATCTCGTGGTCAGAGTACATTTGTTGGCCACCTGATGATACAGATGTCATTTACTAAAGCAGCTAAAGAGGTGCCAGTTAAGACATATCTCTCTCTGGTTTCACTGAGCTCTAGGTGTTCCTGTGAATTCCGATATATGAAATTGGGAATAGTATCTATATGATACTGAGCCTACATTCCCTTATAAATATCTCTGTCCTCTTTCTGTGTGCTCCGTTTCCACTGCGAAAAGGGACATGAATGCTTCCACTGCGTCTCTTCTCCGTTTAGACTTGAAATATTTTTGACCTTCTACTATGTGTCTTTTCAGTGCTTTGCATAATAAACCCTGATCAGGACTGTGAGCACAATGCCCTTCCATAACACAAATAGGTAACATTACTTGTACAGCCAGTGCCTGGCGTGGGAAGCATACATCATTAACAGTGGTAGGAAGATTTTTGCCTTTGGGCTTCTCTTCTTATGTAGAGAATTCCACAGCAAAGAAGGGGTGATTAATCAGATTACTAGCTAAACTATGAAAGGCTCACCAGCTACTGTATGAAGGTTACTGATCTTGTGATTGTTAAGTTTCTGTTAGAAAAGCTGACCAAGGAAAACTTCCCTCCCTTTGCCACTAGTCAGCCATAGGCATGAAGAGTCACGTGCTGGTCCACGGCAATCAGCCTGGCTCCAGCACTGTTCAAAGGCTGGCAGCTCTCTGGGTTTCTTGCTTTTTAGATTTTTTTTTTTTTTTTCTCTTAACTTATCAGGATTTGAAATCATGGCTGTTCTTGAGAAATCAGGTAAATAACCCTAGAAATCCAAACCTGCTCAACAATAGCCTGATTATGTGAAATATGCATGATTTTTTTTTTTTTTAATTAAAGCTGTGAAGAGAATTCAAAGAGATAATTTTCTATGTTTTTGACAGTCATCTGCACTCCAAGCAGTCTTGTCAGTTCTAACATTAATTGCTGTTCTTTCATCAGGAAAGTCTATGCTTGATAAAGTGCTAAAGCAGCTATTTAAAATCTTTGCCCTGGAGGATGGAAATTCTATTTTTCTCCTAATTTTCTGTGAAAGGCAGCTGCAATATAACTTTTTTTAAAAGAGAAATGGAATGGTCTCTTGTCTGATTCAGCTCTAGAAGTGCAGTTATACAGGACTGCTTTGCAGCAATGCTGTAGAAGTTTGTGCTTGGACCAGAAATACTCTGGTGTGTATCTGGTAATGTATCAGGACTCTGATACATTAAAAGGATATAAAATACTACAGCTAATAAAGTAATCTGTGTGCAGATTCCCACTGAAGTTATTTGGTTTGTTATTACTCAGGGTCTGTATTTGTTTTGTTAGTGAGTACTCTGCTTGCTCTGAATTTGAAACTCTCCGGTAGAAACTGAGCTTTCTAAAAGTTGTAGTTTGTCCTTTGTTTGTACTTGTTCATCACAGTTAATAATGTGAAATGCTGGGTTTGTTTTCAGAGCTTAGCTGGGTGGTGTTTGGAATTTTAGAACAGAACTACCTGGTATTTATGTTATTACTCTTTAACGATGTTGAATGTAGTTGCAGATGAAAATAATCATTAGGAGAAGATTTTGCTTTGTTGCCCTTGCTTTAAGGTCCTGTTGAGGAAAGCACTTAAACATATACTTACGGCAACATTTTAAAAGGTTTTGTGCATGGAGATGCATGTCAGCAGTCTCACATGCCTTGTTCAAGCAAGGCCTTAAAACTCTGTCCACACTGTGAATAATGATTTTGGTTGCAGTGGTGGAAGTACATCACCCGGACTAAGCTGTCAGAGTGAATGTATTATGCTCACTCAATTTGAATTTTCTTGTGAATGGAGAAAAAAGTAAGAGAGTTAGGAGTTGTATATGATCTGTCTCTTCCTCCATTTAAGCATTGATAAAATACATGACCAAAAAAGCCTTAAATTTTAAATCCACAATTGTTTGGGTTTTGGTTTTGTGGGTTTTTTGTTTTTTTTTTTGGGGGGGCAGAGGGCGACGCCATTATCCAGTGAGACACATCTCTTAAAGCAAACTAATATCCATTTAAAGAAGTATTATAAATAGTTGGATGAGGAAAAATCTCATGCTCATTGCTTGACACCTCCATGTAGGAAGAATGGTGGTGAAGTTAATAAAAGAGACCCATCTTCAAAGGCATGCTGGCTGCGCAGTTCAGAAGAAACACGCAGGTGTTACGCCTGAGTGGTGGGTATTTAGGAGGCTGGGTCAGATTGCCTCACCTGTGAGGGGTGCTGGTGCTACACAGACAGGGGATTTGTTTTCTGATAGTGAGCTTGAGCAGGTCAGTCTTCCATGCTTTGCTCAGAGGAGACAGTTTCCTGCCTCGGGACATGGTATTCAGGTGAGATTCAAGCATACGTATATCACCTGTCAGTATGGGAATTTTGGGGTAGTATCTTATGCTTCACAGATACCAAGTGTTTTGAAGAGCTTTCATGATATTTGGAGACAAAAAGGCCCTGACAGTTGACACGGTGGATGAGATCCTGAATCCAAGTCGCTTATGACTGATGTCAGGGGTACAATTCTGGCCCAATAGTTGTGTGAAAAGTGCACATTGACTTGAGGAAGATCCTCAGAGCAAGTAGTCATTGTCCTTTCAGTATTTATCTCGTGCTGGCTTGGAATATCAGGAAATAAAAGTAGTTTTACATGTTGTCTGAGCCCCTGAAATCCTTTTGCATTTCTGACTTGCAGCTCAGTTCAGACAAATGAAAAGAGGCTCTTTGGGAGCTCTGACAATGAACCAGCTAATGAAGAGGCAGCTGGAACACCAGTCTAGTGCTCCCCACAATATCAGCACTTGGGATACTGGTGAGCTGCATTTATTGTTCTTTATTTCTATTTCCTAAACCAATTACTTTCTGTATCAAACCATTTAAAACGTGAGTATTTCTATTCTACTGTTGCAGATAAGTAATCAATCCCAAGTCTAAAGTGAAACTTTATATTTGGGGGATGATCTCTCTGTGGTGTCCCTACAGTTTTGCATATTGTATGGGTTATTTCCTGGCCTCACTGAATGAAATGGAAGTATCACTGTTGATTTCATTAGGTATAGGATTTTCATCCCTGGTGCATGGAATCATTTAATTGCATGTATGTTTACAATGGTGTTGGTACACCTCAGAGTCGTGCCTTATACCAACCAGTTTGATTTCTCTTTAGAGAAGTTTCTGCCAGCTCATGCTGAACACCTGAAGTTTTCTGTTCACTCACTGACCTGTTTTTTTCTCCCATTAAGATGAATGCAAAGCAATGAAAACTGAATTAAGCGCATAATTTCCTCATTACTCAAGTGCTTTATTTATTTTTTTTGGTTATTTATGAAAGATTTTTCTGTTGCGACCAAATTCATAGCAGGTTTATCATAAATGCTAGATATTTATTTCCCATCTTGATGTTAGTAATGTGACAGAATCGTGCCTCTTAGGAATTTATCAGCAGATCCAGATGTGTCCAGAGAAAGGAATGCTTAAAACATTATATGGAACTTAGCATGCTGAATGAATGTCTCACCACCAGTTCTGGACAGCTGAGTTAAAATTTTTGCTTAATTCAGTCTTCAGCATCAAGTTCCATCAAACTAAATCTTGTAGCTGAAGAATGGCTAAAGGTATGGTGTATAGTTTAGGATTATCATTTCTACTGCAGTCTGCTGAGTAGCATGCTCAGCATGAGATCCTTAAATTGTAATGGTCAGAATTTGTCAATGATAACAATGTTGGGTTTTTTTTTTTTTTGTCCTATCGGCAGGTTAATCTATTTATTGAGTAGGCGTAGCTGGTATCACCTAGTTTCTCAGGCAGAGGTTTAGAGATAAAGAAGTTACTGCTTTTATTCTGCAAGAAGTAATTAGCCTGTATTCAAGAGGAACAAGTCATACTCAAAACCGCTCAGGGAATCTGTCTTGTTAATCTTGTTCCAAGTCCACTAGCTTTTCCCTCCAACATTCAGTCCAGCTGCATGCCTCCCAGCATGGGGCTACAAAGTTAAATGTTCTTTTCTGGACAGCTTTGCGTCTCCCAGTCTCTTTTTCAACCACTAGCTTCAAAGTAAAACTATTATTTGGACAGATAACAGGTTCGTGGTTTGTTGTGTTTTTTTTTTTTTTTTTTTTTTTTTTTTTTTTTGTTTTGTTTTTTTTTTCAGGACAAATGTTCAGTGTGACTGTCATTTCAACGTCACACCACAATTTTAAGATTCATTATACTCATCTATAACAACTAGGAAATAGTCTTGTCCCTTATAAGTATATAATGCGGGCTTGGTTCATGCATGCTTAATTTTTTTTTTTTTTTTTTTTATATTGGTAGGTAACATGTGTCCCTTGCACTTATTTGAAACCACTCTTTTCCCAAACTTGCTATCAGTAAAATAAAATAATTTTGTGCCTAGCTTCTGTCAGCAGAAACTATTCCTAACTTCTACTCTTTTGGTATTTCTAAAAACTGTCTTTCTGCGACTTACATGTTTCATATCTTGATTCTTTATGGCTAGCACCTTCTTTCTTGTTTAATGACACTTTCCTAAAACGTCTCCTTTGTTATTAGGTTATCTATCTCCTTTATCCTTTGTGGACTTCTTTCATCTTTCTTTTCCTCTCCATTCCCCTCCTCTTTTCTACGCTTAAAAAACTAACTCTTCTCTTTGTTTTTTCTGTAGCTATCGTATTTGTCTTTCTTGTTTTAACTGTTTAAGACTTGTGGTGCTGGTAACAGATGCTGGATTCATAGTTCTGGAGACTGAAGTTCTGTATTTATTCACAGAGCAGATACAGCATGGAAAGCGGCTGTGCAATGTCCCTGTTTGCCTAAACCCTGACTTGGAGGGACCACCACTAAGAATCAGAGGTTAGTTCAGTGTCCATTTGACCTGATCTCTCTGCTAAGACTGCCAGGAAGGTTTTTTGGCTTAGTACCAACTGACTGGTGCTGAATTTTATGTTCTATTCAGCTGTATTAAAGCCTTCAACTGTCCTGCAGAATGTAGGTTATTGAAAAACTATTAGACAAGACATTTTATTCAAGACAGGGACAACTGATAAGAAAGTACCAGCTTTCTGCTAGTACTTGTTTGGGCTGTCAACCTGGAAGCAAAAGACTGTATGCAGAGTGTGGTTGAATCTCATTTCTTTACGAACTCTCCTCTCTCACAGCTGAAATACTTCCAGACTTTCTTACAGCCTTGCAGTGGGGCAGTGACCTACTCCTCTGCCTAAATCATGTCTTTTTCCTACTGTTCAGTGCACAAGAGGGGACGTTTTTATTTTGACTAGTTAAGTCTTATTCCAATATTGTAATCTGCATTATGACAGCTTTTAGCCTTTGTGTGCTGCAATGGGCCTTGCATCTAGAGAACACGACAGTGAAACTTCCAAAGTCGTGGTAAGAGGATCTTTATTGATTTTTGAGGGAAGAAAAAGAATGGCTAGAAGTATGTGAAAATGCACTCATATTTCTTGTGTTATGGATGGTGTCCTATTATTGAAGAGTGTTTTGGACTTCCTGGAGCGTTTGCTCATATCCAACAAGATCTCATGAGACAATTACAAACTATCGAACTCTGTATGTGAAAGAAATATCTCCTTCCATACTTAGTAAATTGATTGTTTAAAACCTGCCTTAGTCTTGTGAAACAAGCCCTCATCACTCCACATGTTTTGAGTTCAGCAATGGTGGGAGCTTAGATTATTTTGCCTGAGAGCTGATATTAGATTTGCTTTTCCTACAGTAACTGGGATTATCTCATCAGAAATTCCATCTGAACCTAGCTTAGGTGGAGAAGCTTCCCCCTGTTTCCATAGTTAAATATTATCAGAACAGGCTAATGTTAACATTAAATCTGAATCTGCAGATTGAAGCAACCAGGAGGAAAGTCAAAAATGGATTACTTATTCTGTGGTTGAATTGGCATCAAAAGGGCATTGACACCCTTCTAAAAATGGGTTCATAAAATGAACTTCTCATAGATTGGTCTTTAGAATGAGATGTTCTTGGGGACATCTTATATATGTAATGATGGTCTCTACCAGCTGAGCTCCCTGGATTAATTATTGGAGCTGAACTGTATGGGAACAGAGTAAGGCTGTCTCTATCATGTCAACTACATGTGGCAACCGAAAGAAATGTTTTTCTTTAAGAATTGAATCTCTCTTTCTGTCTTAGTGACCTGGAGAATGAAACTGCTAACTATTTAAATGATCACCACAAGACATCTCAGATGAATGACATAGCTTGTACATCACAGTAACTTTATCCAAGTTTCTGGTGGCTCATGAATGAGTCTGATTATTCTTCTTGAGGTTTTCTTAACCAGACTAGCCGGAGAGTTGCCTCCTCTGTATGTTTTTTTTTTTTTTCTGCAATTGCTCTTGTCTGCTTAGGGACCAAGGGAGGAAAACACCATACTGGAGAGATGTTACTGTCAGATTACCCTCTGTTGCTGTAATTCTGGAAAGTAGAACTCCAAGAAGACAAAAGTTTGAATCTTCCGTTATATGTAACCTTTACTATTGAAACAAGCAATATCAGAAATGAGGTGCACAAAAACTGCCAAAGGCAAAGGGAACCCCATATGTCGCATGATCACTGTGGCTATACCCCCAGCTGAACAACTCAGCTTTGGAAAATAAAGGTGTTTGTGAAGACTTTCAACAGAAGGCATTTCTAATCCTCAGCCTTACAATGTTCTCAATGTTTCTCAACTTCTTAGGAATTATTTCTCCTAGCTGTCCTTTCCTAATTTTCTTCCTGTGCCTCTGTTAGGGATGGTATGAATAGATCGATGACCTGGTGTTGAAATACATGAACTTATTTCCTCCTTCATCTCACTGAGAACTATGGGGAGGTAATTCCCAAGAAGTATGAGGGAAGACTGTAAATCTTCTGGTGTCCAGTCTCATAGAAACTGTAGAATCATCCTCACTTCTTAAGAAATGAGTAGATACTATTATATCCTCCTTCCTGTAATTTTTGTTCTTTATCTTTTTCCCAAGGTTGTTTTTTTTAAGGTGATTTTTTTTTTTTTTAATTGATAGTTCTAGGTAATTGGCATAATCTGGCAGAAGCAAGGCATGTTCTATATATCCTTTTGTAGACACACTTTATGTCTTATTACTATGCACAGTAAAACGGTTATGGCTCTTCTTTAGAAGTCTGCTCTTCAAGCAGTTTGGATTTCTGTTTGGTGATTTTTCTTTCATTTTTTTTTTCTTATTTTTTTTCCCCTAATTGCTTTAAGGTGCCACAAAATCTAGCTTGCTGTCAGCACCCAGTATAGTCAGTATGTTTGTACCTGCACCGGAAGAATTTGCTGACGACCAGCCCATTATGATGACTGATAAGTAAGTTATTTTTCTCTTCCTTTCAAAGAACTAGTTGAACTTCAAAAAGATCAAATACAGTATAGGTATACTGCATGGAAATATAAAGTCCATTCTATCATTCATGCTAAATTTTTTAATTATTTTTTTTCCCTCTAGGTAAACATTTTCTAAACACTGCCAACAAGATGTGCTTTTAATTCAGTAGGGCCTATGTGAGTTTGTACAAGTGAAATGATGACTTAGGCTATTGTGTGTGTGTGGAGGGCAGGGGAAGCACTTTCCATCCAATTTTAAATCAAGGGTTCCTTGTGATCCATCAGAAACCACTTTCCCCTTCAGGAAAAAAAAAAAAAAAAAAAAGCTGTTTTTAAAATTTCCTGTGTGTTTCTGTTGAAATAGGTAACTGTTGATGTGTAATCATGTATAATCAACACAGCATTTTTAATGCTGACTCACTGATCCCGAAAGCTTTTGCAAACCTTAATTGGTTGGTTAAAATGCCTCTAAAGGAAATGTTCAACTTGAGTGTGCTCATTTAATGGGGAAGTAGAGCAGTCAGCGGGGAGCTGTGCCTTGATTTGATCAAAAATTGGGAAGAGAAACAGGAAGTTCTTGTGCTCCTGCGCTCAGGCCAGTAGACAGATATGCCAGGATGATCACTTGAGAAAGATAGGGTCATTGTGCAGGCTGTGACTAGAAGTGGACAGTGGACCTTATTGTGTGACAAAGTGAAGCATCCCAACAGTTAGGCTTGTCTTTGGGACTTCCTTTTGCCATTTCACAAAAGCTCTAGCACCACCTATTAATATACAGACCAGCTGAGCCTGACTTTCCTGACTTCATTGGCGTATTTTGTTTCTATTTAGTAACAAAGACAAGAACATTGCCCGTACAATTCCATTAAGTTAAAATACCATAATCTGTTGGAGTCATTAGCAACTGATCGATCAAATTAAGCAAGCCTTCCTACTGGGCTGAGATAAGCCAGTTTCCACATTGGTTTGCCTTTTTTATAGGTTGTGAAAGCCTGTCTCATCTCTTCTTAATCTGACATCCCCTTTATAATTAGACATTACAGAGCCCTTTCAGAACTTCATCAGTTGTCTTTAAGCAGTTCAGAAAGGATAAGTGACTCAGCAGCAGATCGGCCCTGGGAAAGGAGACTTCTCTGAAATCTAAGGTTTTGTGCCTCTCAGAGGTCCTTTCATTTTTTTCTTGATAGCTATAAATGCTGTGGGAACCAATCAGGTCATTGTTTCCTAACTGTATAATTCATTATTCATAATTCATGACTGACAAGAAGGACAACGTGAAATTGTTCCATCTCTTTAGGATCATCTGTGAGTGTCATTGTTTGTGTCTGTGCTGCTAAATAGAAGAGTGCCAGGGACTTGAGCCCTTGCCTGAGCACAAGTCACACGAACTGGCTGGTGCTCACGCTGCTGAGGGCCAGTCTTCAGCGCTGCAGATTTATCTTGGATAGAGCAAGCTGAAGCAGTCCAGTACCGTGGAGGGAACTGGCTAAGAATTAGCAATGGAGGACCCAAAGCAAGGCCTGCCCGGTGGCCCTCTTTCATTTGTCAGTGAAGAAACAGCCAGTGAGAAGCTTTATTAAAGTCTGAAAGCCATGGTCTGTTATTAATTATAGAAATATCACAATTATATTATCTTTCTAAATAGATTTTGAATAGAATGTACTAAATAATGGTATTTAAAAAAAAGATATACACGTATGTATATATGGTAATACTTTGTTTTAAATTTGTTAATGTCAGTTTTTAAAACTATTCTTTTCAGGTGTCATGACTGTGGGGCTATTCTTGAAGAATATGATGAAGAAACACTAGGCCTGGCCATAGTTGTGCTCTCAACCTTCATTCACCTTAGTCCAGACTTGGCTGCCTCTGCTGTTGGATATCATGCAGTCTGTAGGAAGGTAAATTCAGGACTTTGCTCTTCCCAGATGTTTGAAAGAATTTTGTGTCTGGAATTGGGTTTACGTAAACTTCACTATTTTAAAGTTATGTATTTTAGAACTCTTAAGTGATTAACATCAGGTTCTGTCTGCTTTTTGTTACTTGTCATTTTGTCAGTTTCTTAAGTAACTCCTTCCACTGTCACATCAGTTTTGTGCAGCTCCTTTGATATCCTTCCCTTTTATCCTCCAAAGGGAGGTTCCCTCTTGGGAATCTACCCAGCCTGTCTCACTGTAAGCAGTGATGTAAAGAATGAATTCCTTTTTTCTGCACTACCCTTATCTTCCTTGAGTGCCCTGTTTATTACCTGAAGAGCAATTGATGCAGCAGTTGGTGTGCTTCTTGATCCTGTTTATTTGAAGAAAAATTTACTTTTAGTTTTGAATTCCTTCTGCTATTTGCTCCTTGAACTGTTCTTTGGCCTGCCTTCTTGTGATTTTTACATTGGATTTGTCAGAAGTTATGCTCTTCCTGCTTTCATTCGAGACATGACTTCAACTTCCTGAAAGCAGCCTTCTTTTTTTTCTAGTAACCTCCCTCACCTTTCCTTTCTACTGCTCTCTTGAAGTCCTTTTTTTTTAACAAGTGGGGTACCTTGGCCCCGTGCTTCCAATGTCAAGTTCTTAAACAGCTTCTGTGCTCTTTGTAAATGTTGAATTCCCTTGTCTACTCCTTTTTCCTGCTTTGACAGAACTTTTCGCTTTTATGTAGTTCCTGCTTTAGAAGTTGTGCGCAAATGTGGTCAGCTTTTCTGAATTTTGTTGATCCTGGAGGACTGTTGAGTCCTAGGTATGATCATTCATTAGCATACTTGAAGCTCTTCAGCCATATTTTGTATGCTAAATAAAGCTAAGTAAAAGGGTGCATCTCCTTGTGACGGCTTTCTAACCAGGTGCTGCATGAGATTGTCTCCGATAAAGTCTTAATCATTTGGTATCTATTATTTTTCTCTTATGACTTTTACCCAGCGTGCCTGGGATAATCGAAGTGCACCATTACTATTGTGTTACTTCTTGTTGCTGCCTCAGCCACTTCCACAACTTCTGCCAAGAGGTGGGAACGATGCGCTGGGGGTGTTTTCAGAATAAACTTTGAGCAGCACTACAAGTGCAGAAACGATGCACAGCTCTCCTTTTCCATGTTCTGGCCAGTGACTGAAGTTAAAATTGCTTGACTGCAACTTCTGCAGGGGTATGGCTCTTTGGTGGCCCTCCCTCTCCGCTACCTCCCAATTCTGTTTAAACACAGAAGCTATTCAAGTCTTCCATTAATTGCAGGGCTGCAGTTCCCTGCTGTCACTGCTAATGAACTCCAATAGAGGCAGTTTCTAATCTAGGCAGATGCTATCCATTCCGTGTGATTCTTGTAAATACAGCAGTGCTACAGCTACAGAGGGTAAATCATTTGGAAGGGAAATTACCAAGGGATGAGGGCCGAGTGGGCAACCTTGTTCTGTGCTTTGAGGAAGAAATGCTGCATCTTTGGAATGAGACAGCTGATTGTTTTAGAGCAGCAGATGGCATGCAACCTGGGGTATTCCTGCTAAACGTCCTGTGTTGTTCCTCCTGGCTGCCATTTCTGACAAATTCGAAGTCCAGTAAGAGGCTTCCCACAAAGGAATTATTTTGAATACGTGCAAAATAAATAGCATATACAAGCAGGGAGGCTTTCAGGTGCCTCATGCATATAACCTAAGTTGCTGTCTTTCATCAAACAGTGCTGTATCATTACCTCCAAATACCCATCTGACAGCAGAGGTTAGAATGTATTAGACTCCTTACATTTTTATTCTTAGAAAAAGAACCACTGATTTCATGTTTAGAAGAGAAAACAAGGAGTTAAGAAATCTAGGGTCTTTCAGAATACCTAAACAATACACAGCTAGATTTTCAGAAGTTATTTGGGTACCCACAGATAGAGATATACTTCTACTGGGATTTTCAGAAGAGAGAAAGTTCTGGGTTCAAGTTACTGACAGTTGGAGACTGACATGTTTATAACACTCTGGCACGCACTTAACTTTTGCTCTAGTTCCCGAATCCAGTGAGATTTAGCTTTCCAAGCATCAAAGCCCTGTTTGAAAATGGCATTTAGGCTCTCGAGTTAGTGAGGAGCTTTGAAAAGCTTAACTTCTGTTCTTAACATGTACAAATTTGAACACTTCCATTTACTGTCTACAGTCCGTGTACTGTTCTGCGTTGTGGTCTGTGAAGTGGAGGTGATGATGGGGGTTCATGGCCTTTGTGCAACAAAATATTTAGAGTAGTAATGACAAATACACACAAGCTGTAAATTTCAAAAAAGGTTTGGATGTTCCCAGGTGTTTAGTGTAGTTCATGTCTCGTGAGTGAAGTTTTCCACAGCTAGAAACCTAATGTTTTGTTTATCATAAAAACCACACCTGCATTACTGCGTTCAAAAGGAGAGAAAAACTTTGTGTAGGACTTTGATTTGTTTCAGAAGAAATACTTCATGCTGTTGTATTTATACGTTGTAGTAGATTTTTGAAAATAAGTGTAATGTCCATTAGCTTTGCACACCAGAATTAGTGTGTTGTATTTTAGTGTGGACTCCTCTTAACAACAGTGGAGTCAGGGACTCCAATGAGTTTTTCTGATTCATGCTGGGACAATTGAAGAGAATATAATCTTCAATCCCCTGCACCATCCAGCCTGAGATTATTTCACTATGTCGTGGTTTGAGCCTGGTCGGCAACCAACCACCGCAACTGGTCACCCTCCCTTCCCCCTCCCCACCTGGGAATGGGGGAGAGAATAAGAGGGGTGAAGGGAGACTGAGATAGGACCAGTTTAATAATGGCAATAAAAGGAGAACAATGATGATGATAGAAAAAAAAAGAAATATATAATCAGGCAGTGCACAACATATTTTCTCACCACCCGCTAACCAGTATCCAGCCCGTTCCCGGCTAGTGATCCTGAGATACCAAGATCCCACAATCACAATCCCAGAAGCAAGAGAGCTCCCTCCCAACCACCCCTCCTCTATATAGTGAGCATGACTTTCCATGATATGGAATATTTCATTGACCAATTAGGGTCAGGTGCTGTGGCCGTGCTCCCTCCCTGCTCCCCGTGCCTTTGTGCACGGGCAGAACGTGAGGAGTCGGAGAGTCCTTGAAGTCTCGGTAGCAGCTGAAAACATCAGTGTGCTATCAGCATTCTTCTCATACCAAACCCAAAGCTGAATCCAAAACACAGCACTCATCTAGTCCCTGAAAAGGAATATTAACTCTATTTCAGCCCAAACCAGGACACACTGTTGAAAGGATGCTGCGTCCCCAGCTCATGCATCATTAATGAAAATCACCATCCGTTTTAGTTTACACTGATGCATTCAACTGAGCTGCCTTAGGCTCCTTTTTGGATTTTGCAGTGGTGACTAGAGAGGGAATTGTCTTCAGAACGGAGTCTGACAGAGGGTTGAGCAACAGCTAAATCCAGCCTAACAGGATCATGAATCAAAGATGAACACTGAAGGCCAGATCATCCGCAGCTGTAAATTAGTGTAGCGCCATGAACTTTCTGTTTAGACCTATATAGCTTATACCAGCTAAAATACTGATGCACAGCAGATGAAAGTAAAACTTGCATGGTATTTTGTATGTAAGAAATACTTCCAGTGTCCATAATTGCTTTTCAATGCCTTTTTGTGTTAAAGGTGTGATGCTTTGATATGATAAACCCTGATTCTGTTTGTTTACATGTCCTGAATATTGAAGTGCGTGATTTTTTTTTAAGATTGTGTTCAATATTTTCATCACTGAATGCCCGTATCTGGCTTTAAAGTCTATATTTAGGCACTAAAATAAATGACCCAATTTTTGAGAACCCAGTGTTTCTCATTTGACTTTGTAGGTACTTAGTGTTTCTGAAATTAGGCCAGTTATTTAGATGCCAGAATCTGGAACTAGAAGCCTCACTTCACACTGCCAAGTAGAGAATTTTGGCATAGTCTATGTTGCTGTGTTAATCAGAAAGAATTCAGTCAGTAGGCAGCTTCTGGCAAACTTTGTTTTTTCCAAATACCTCTAGATTAGTAATTATCTGTGATGTGCATGTAAGGCAGTAGCTTTACTTCATTATCGTGTCTCTTATTATCTCATTATCATTGTCTTTAGAGCTGTTAAATGTTTATGAGAGTGCAAGACTGAATAGAGTTTGTATGTCATGCAAACATGATTTGAGTGAATTTATGTGCAATTTAGAAGACCTTTCTGGTGACATTTTAAATGTTCTCTAAAATTCTTGTTTATTATTAAAAAAAAATGCTTTATAGGCTTACTTAAAAAAGAAACACAAAAAAAGTATATGAGCTTCACTTTTTTTTTTTTTTGTTATTTTTATTCCAGGTTGGCATCAAGTACGAGTTTTTCTAATCAAGCAGAAAGGTATGGTAGCAAAGGATACCTTAGCCAAAATGAAACAATTAATGTAAAGCATCATCCTCCCTGACCCTGAAATCAACTAAATTTAACTTTTTAAAAATTTACTTAAGGTATGTGAATAAGAGGAAAGTCCTGTCCTTTCCCATTTGCTTCAAATATCTTGTGTGTTCTGAAGATGAGCAGGAACCCATATTCATATGTATTGAACTTAAAAAAACCCTCGAATTTAGACAGATTTTAAAGATGCCTTCTAGTTTCTGCAATTTCAGTGCAGCTCTTTCTAGCTTGTTCTGTGTTCAGTATTTGTCTTGATAAACAATCTTCACACATTCAATCGAGTGAATCATCCTTGGCCATGGAGAAGCCCCTGGTAGTCATGTCCCTTTATGTAGATAAGATGCTGAATAGGATAAATTCATTTTGAGAAGCTGTAAAACATGTTAAGATGTGCAGTTTATGAGCAAATAGATAATACTTCAGCTTTTTAAATGAAACCATTCATTTCATGATTGAGTGGGAAGTAGTTCATCTCCCGAAGGAACCTGCAATAGGCAAATTAAAATTACAATGTGTGTGTTTACCTGTTGTTCATGTGTTTTATGGTAAAGCCACAAACCTCATCCTGTATCACTGAAACACACAAGGTGAGAGCAGGATTATATCTCAAACTCAAGTGACTCACAAATGAAATCATGTTGGAGAATCAGGAAAAATGCAACTATTGATTGAGACTTAAATACTTGAGGTATGTGTACATAACTTTTTAAGCTCTTCGTAATTGTAGTGAAGTCATAGAATCAACATGCTGAACTGTTTTTTGGGACCAGGACAGTTCTGCTTTTGGCTGTCTCACTCATAACTGAACACTTCCAAAATCAAAAAGAATAGGATCATATTTATCTTCTCCATGTAGTCAGCTTTGAGAAGTGTTTCATCTGCAATGCAATTCTTTCGTTTTCTTTTTCTTTCCCTTTATTTCAGCATGATGATCCCTGGAAATGCTGCAGGTGTGGCCAAGCAGTTCCTCCGCTGTGTGTTCCATCAGCTGGCTCCCAATGGCATTTTCCCTCAGCTCTTCCAGAGCAATATTAAAGGTAATGTGCAGTTCCTAAGTGCATTTCTGACCCTTTTGGTTACCCCTGTGTGGACAGCCAATACAAAAATGTAATCGAATTTCAGATGGAAGTTTTTTACGGACCTTGGCCACATCTCTTATGGACTTCAGTGAGCTGAGCTCCATCGCTGCTCTGAGCCAGCTGTTAGAGGTATGTTGGCAATTGGTTCTGTTAATGGTGCTAATTTATTAACACATCAGGCATATTGGATTGCTTCTCCTCATTCATTAAGAGTTCAAACTTGCATCACCAAAAGCGATGTGAATTTTGTTTTGTAGTGCCTGGAAGCAGCATTAGTGTGTCCTCACTATTTTCCTTTTGGGTTTTGCTCCCACTGATAGCTTTTTGGTTTGGTTTTGTTTGGTGTTTGTTTTTTTTCTCAGACAGCTCCTGAAGCTGCCCTACACATTGGTGGTGTGGGCCATCCCTTCTGCCAGCACTATTTCTGGTTTTCAGGAACATTTCTGCTCATACATCTCAGTTCTCCCTCTCCCCTGCACCTGATGGCAGTTTCTCTAAGTAGTCCAAAGATTTATTACCTGCCTTTCACTGACTGCCTCCAGTGCACTTGGCTTGTTTCTACAGTAACTTTTATCTTCCCACCAGCACTAGTCATTTGCATGTATCCTGCTCTTCCAAGAACATGGTGGTTGCTTCGTACAAAGATTTTGACACCACTTTAAAACTGCTTACGTGTTTCCAGGCCTGACCCCAGTACAGACGCCAAAAAAGCATACATGGTCTACTGAACATGAACGAACATATCGTGTTTAAAACTGTCCAAAGGAAAACATGGACAATCCACTGGTGAATACAAGATCTGCTTTTTTTTACTGCATGCCAGTCTAAGCAGGTTATGAGTTAGAACTCTGCCTGTAACATTCTGGCTCAAAATCTTTTGCTCAATACTTTTAAGAACTGAACTAGACCTAACTGTGACATGCACAGTTCAAATTCCCTGCACAGCATCTTATCATTAGCATTATGGAAGAGGTTAGTAGTATTTGGTCTGAACAAATTAACCGTGGCATTTCCAACTGCTGTTTAAGGGACCATTTCTGCATGTGTACATTTATGTACATTTCTCATTTTGTTTCCCAGGGTTTAAACAACAAAAAGAATTTACCAGCAGGGGGGGCAATGCTACGCTGTTTGGAAAATATTGCTACCTTTATGGAAGCCTTGCCGATGGATTCACCCAGCAACCTCTGGACCACGATTAGTAATCAGTTTCAGACCTTCCTTACTAAACTCCCTTGTGTTTTGCCACTTAAGGTATGATGTATGGACAGCTGAAACGAGCTATAACTGCTGCTGGTCAGGATGTATGTAACAGCGGGAAAGTTGTGGGTGAGAAATCAGAGTGGGTTGTGAATACTTTGTAATGATTCAACTCATGTTTCCAGAGGACTGGATTTATTGTATGTCTGATCCATCCCTTTAATTATATCTTCTGTGGATAACAGTAATGACTCTGACCAGAGTACTCTTCGCCTCTTTGTTGGCTCTTCTCTACTACACTTTCCATGTCCCGTCTTTGTCAGATTAAAATACTGCATTTGAGAGAATCAGCATTTTGGCAATAAAAATCCATCTGGTTTTAACTGTTAAAACAAAATAAAACTCTCCAGAAGAGCAGCGCCACCTAACTAATTTGCTGAAAGTACACAATAGTTAGGCAGAGAAAACTGAGACAGCTGGGAATTGAGCCTAGCCTGTTCGGCTGACCAGGTTGTAGTTCTGACTGCAATCAGAATATACCTGCAGAAACTGAATCTAGAAGCTTTGGGCTCTGATTTCTGAGTGCTTCGGGTACATACAGAGGATCTTAACTCGAGTGTGTGTATTTCCAGATGTCTTCTCAGTAAACACAGTAAAAACTTTTCTGAGTCTTTCCAGTAAACACGGGATTCTGATGCCTTTATTCTGCTTTCATTTCCTATGGCACGAATGAGCCCAGTGGTAATTTCTTCTGTGCAAAGCAGTGCTGCTCAGTATGAACTGAGGGTTCCAAAAATCTAACTTTGTGATTCGTAACGTTGTCTTTTAAATTGGGTGTCACAACTAAATTACATAACTGTTACTACATTCCTTTGCACTATTATGCAATAGTCAGATCTTGAAACTACTTCAGGTTTTGGTAAATTGAGGCACTATCCTGCAGCACTTACTAAGCCAAACAGGCAATAACTATTCCCTCTGTGTACTAGTGATACAAGTAAAACAGTTGCTAGCTCCTGAACTTTCCATCTCCTGTTCCTTCCTCTGAGGTCATAAGTGACTCTTTGCTGTTCTAGATGTTTGCAGCAGGCGTGAGGCAGGACAGTGGATAGACCCTGAAAGGTCCCATTCACTGCTGCAACCTGTGTGATTTACTCAGAAGAAAAATCAATTACACTATAAGGAGCAACTTCAGAGGGGCATCTGGACCAGCTTTAGCCAGGGCACATTCTGATGTTATGGGATGTGAGTTGCAGCCCTGTCTTGGGATGTGGGGAAAAATGTCATAGCCCAGGGCAACCACAGAAACATAAATGAAGTAGATGGTGTGTACCTCCTGATAAGCCACTCTTTTTTTTTTTTTTTTTTTTTTTCTTTTTCCCCCCCCCCCCCCCCCCCCCCCCCCCCCCCCCCCCCCCCCCCCCCCCCCCCCCCCCCCCCCCCCCCCCCCCCCCCCCCCCCCCCCCCCCCCGGTCCATTTTATTACAGTGGAAATATATTTCTAGGAAATTTTTGTTATAAAAGGGGTGAAGTTAAATTTTCTACACTAATCCTTTAGTGAAATTTTCTCATCTCAAGGCCCATGCTGTGGTATGTTACCATATGTTACCACTGAAGGGGTATGATTTTGTGTTCAGGAATAAGCCAGTTTAGGCAAAGTAAAGATCAGTCATCAGGGTTATTCTTTAGGCTTCACCTATAACTTGTTCACAGCTGCTACCACTAAAAGCAAGACGTGCTAATTCTGTTTGTTTTTTCTTTTTTTTTTTTTTTTTCTTCCTTCCTGCCTTTAAATATGTTTACAGTGTTCTTTAGACTCTAGTTTAAGAATCATGATTTGCTTGTTGAAGATACCTACCACGAGTGCCACCAGGGTAAGTTCCAAGAAGATGAAACTGTTGCCTCAGATTTAGACAGCCTATGCTATTCTATGAATATATTCTTATCCCCTAGCTAGGAAAGTATTATATATAAGCATAAAATTGTGCAGTCCGATACTGTTTGGAGAATGATAAGAGCTCTGGAATCTAGGTTACAGTAAAGTGTGGGTGGGATTACATTTCTGTGTGGGTGTGAATGTATATCTTCTTAAAGATTTGATGTTCTCTCATCTCCCTCCCCCCCCCCCCCTTTTTTTTTTCCTTAAAAAATTAAAAAGATAGCAATGAACTTCCTTAGAAGTTCTGCAGTACAATTCCACTGAGGTCAGTGAGATTTTCTTGCATAAACACTACAGAATCTCTTATAAGCACTGTGTCAGAGATGAAACTATTTTCTATTTTTCTGCTTCTAGTTTCTCATACAAACATGAAGGCAAATGCTAGATAGAATAACCGTTTGGCCAAAACAGTGTAAATACCAGCAAGGTAGCTTCTGAGCTAAAAGTAATGCTGTTCCAGTCAGGTGTTTCAGAGTTGGAATGCTTTTTGTTTTGCTGAGCAACCAATTATTGATTTCTCTAAATCGTGTCATTGCAGAGTCTTCTGGAGCCTTTTTCAAAATTACTGAGCTTTGTAATTCAGAATGCTGTCTTCACTCTGGCCTACCTGGTGGAGCTGTGTGGTTTGTGCTACCGAGCCTTCACTAAGGTAACAGGGAGATTATTACCTTCCTTTAGGGACAAGCAAAAACAGCACAGACAAAGTCAGACTTCTCTCAAGTAGTATGTTTGTAAATAAAGGTTAAATCAGTGTCAAGTTTCAGACATATCAGCAGTTTGAATGTAGTTTGGTTAATCAAGTAGCAATCGTGGTTCAGTGCCTCTTAATGATACTGAGTTTCACACTCACAGTATCGACACAGATAAAGGGAACCTGCCGAAAACACCGCTCAGAAAAGTATTTTGGTGTGATTTCATGACTTGGAACTGTTTTCCTCCTGTAGAGGTGATACCTGGTATTCATGCGTGACTTAAAATGTCTGTACAGTCACATCTTTCCGAGTGCACAAGTTCAGCCAGTTTGTGCAATAAAAACTTAAATATTCCTGGTAGTCTCTTTTGAGAGCCGGCTGTGAGGGGAGGCAACAGACAGCAAAGTAAGGTGGAAGAATCCAAGTTAGGAGCTTCCCAGCTTAGATCCTGTCTCCTTCTGTATCAGGTACCTCACTTTGTGATGCATATCTATAAGCTGTGTAGAAAAGAAAACAGTATAGGTGCACCTTTTAAAAAGTTGTTAAGATTATTGGATGAAAGCTATGGTGTACAAGTAACGGTTATTACTCAGGTTCATTTTTGTAGCTGTTGGTGAAAAGTTGGACAACAACAAAATCTACAGAGAATAATCAAACCTTTTACTAAGGCCCTGTGTGCTCCATTATGTAGATTATTAAGGTACTGAGCAGAAATGTTGCTTCAGCCACCAAGTGCACAGTTTTCTATCCTCTATACGTTTGTCAAAACAGTAATTAATGCTCAGGAAACGTTCTCTCATAAGTAGCAACATGATTTTCTTATATTGATAATGTACAATTGGGACACACGTTGCTTCATTCTTGATAGGACTTAAAATATCGCTGGACAAACAGTGAAGAAGAAATGATAAAAGCAGTGACACTCACCAAAAACCTGCACCACAAGAAAATAAGAAAAACTTTTACCAGTTGTAATGGTTTGAAGCATTAAATAGAAGCTAACAGTATGTTTTATGGCAGCAAGCAAAACCTACCTTTTTTGTCTCATTTGAAAGAGAAAGAGTTTATGAAAGAAAAAATCCTGAATACAGAAGAGACTGTCCAGTTTTTGGAAGTAACTTGAGTTAGATGTATAGTTAAGGCTTTGGGCAAGGCAGAGTGAGAAAAATGTTAACTTAAAGTCAAGCAGTGGGGTTTTTTCACTGAAATAAAAAAAGCCCCATTTAAAACTAAAGACATTCTTGCATTTGTGGTCTGATAAGACTATTGAATGTATGCTTGCTAAAGCAAATTGTGAAATACAGGAAATGTTTCACTCCCCTCATGCTCCACAGTTTAGGTTATTTCATGAAAACCATGATATTAATGATATTAAAAAAATCCATGTGTTTCTTGCATGCTTCCTGGTTCCTGGACCCTTATTAAATAAATGCAGAATGTCACTGAATTGGACATGACATGATTTTGCTATTGAATTTTTTTACGGAATATTGAAGTGGCAAATATTTAGTGTTTGTAATTACTGTAGTAGCAACAGAGGTAAAATAAAGAATTTTGCATTATGCTTGCTTACTTGGAGGATAGCACACCACTCCATTAAAGAACCAAATTTACTATTCTTACTACTGAATTTGGGCCCTGCTAGAAGCAAACTTCAGTAGTTTCACATTCTACACAGACTTCTGGAAAGTCACGGTTTGAAGGTTGCAGGGGTGGTTTTTTTATAGGGATGCATAGACATTCAAGAGGGTTAATGTGGCTAAACAGAGGCTAACGTGGTTGGATTCTTGACCCTTTGGTATCAGACTTACATATGTGACTCCCCTGAGAGTTATTCTCATGGAACTAATACCCATCTATGGCTCCCTGGCAGAATATAAAGTTCTTAAAGTATGTATAAAATGTGTTTATATGTCTTTATCACCAGCAGAATGATAGGAATAAGTGGACTTTGATAGGAAGGGTACTCTGGTCTGTTGGCTTTAGTGTCATCACTCCTGATTTACAGTGCAGGAAGCAAGAGGTCAGATGTCAAAAAAACATTTTGCTTGATTTTGCTTCATCTCTCTGCACTGCATCTGCTTAACAAACATTAAGAGTTTAGTCTGTGAGATAGGAGACTTTTTGAGAAAGAGGTAGCTCAGTGTTGTATTATCCTTAGAGGCAAGGAAAGCTGGGATTAATGAAGTCTCTGCTTCCTTCCCAGGGTTCTGACAAAGCAATTTATTATAGCCCAGTTATATTCTCTGTAGCACAGGTGTTTGTAAAATAGCTGAATGCTTTTGAAAGAATTTTACCTCTCTTTTTCAGTATGTGCAGGATACTGTACTGGATTACCGGTATGAACTTGTGTACAGTGTTTTGGGGGATGTAACTGTGAGCTGTCTTAGCATGACACTGCATTATGTACGTGTCTCAAGGCTACGAAGGCATAAGACGGTGGAAAGGGTCACCCTTGCTGGTGAATTCCAGCAAGTAACCAGGGGCTATCTGCACCTTGCCTATTGTGCACCAGTTTGGTTCCCCGTTCCCAATCAGAATATAGTAGAATTGGAGAAAGTTCAGATAACAGTAGCAAGAAAGATCAAACAGCAGGATGAGTTCCACATACAGGGCAACTGAGTTAGGGCTCTTCAATCTGAAAAAGCGGCAACGGATGGGAATGTGAGAAAGGTCTATAAAGTTACAAGTGACCTAGACAGGGATGGGTAATTTCATGCCTTTCCTGTACAAGAACATGTTAAGTTTGTAGGAACCAGTGTCAAAGCAAGGAAGGGGAAGTGATTCTTGAACAGCGTGTGACTCCCTGCCGAGTACTGTGGGTGCTAAAAGTTGATCTGGATCCAAGAGGTCAATGTAAATCCGCTGGGAGTTATGAATTATAACAGAAGCCACACTGAGCTTGGAAGTTCCCTGAGCTGAAAATAGTTGATGTGTAGGAAAGTACTAGTGGCATTAAATATGCTTGCCATGTTTTTATTCTTCCTTTTGTATCTGCTTATGGCCTTGTTGGAGATAAGTTACTGCGGACATTCGTTCTGGTCTGACCTCTCCTCGATATTCTTACATGGTATTATTCTTATCAGAGCACCACTCATGCATGTGGGGTGTGTGACTTCTGAGTACTTGTCCCCTCGAGTAATGGTTTCATAATACAGCTGAACTGATCCAGTGTTTGCTGCTCCCATAAGGGAATGATTTTTTTTTTTTTAACTTTTTTTTTTTTTTTTTTTAATTTTAGAGTGTTAGCTTCCTGTGAATTTAGCTGCCTAGACTGCAGCAATGTAGTCAGACAAGAACCACTGCAGTTTGGGGCCCATTCCATCAGCTAAATGTGTTCTCTGTCTGCACATTCCGTGTAATTGAAGATCAAACTAGGAGCTTGAAGCAAGGTCTCTTGATTCGCAGACTGGCATCATAACATCCATGAAAGACATTCCATTCTGTTGTTTTGACACCTTCTCCCAAATCAGGGGCTGATATTTAAAATCTGTTTTCATTAAAAGGTATGTGGGTGCCACGGGAGACATGCACTGTTGCTGTAAGCTCTGTTTGGCAGTGTGCTACGTAGATACGGTGTGGGGACATCAGCTCCCTGAGGAGAAACACTGGTGACTGGCTTCTTGGTGTGCTGCAACCAAAGCTCCTCTCACTTCCAGCTATTCATTTCCTCCAACTCCTTCCCTTTTAGCAACACTTGCTACTGTGCGCAGCTGGAGGTGGCCTTTAAACTGACCCTCACTAACTAAACCTCACAAGACCTCTCTGAGGAAGAGGCGAACATTATTATCCTATTTTACAGATATCACAGAGGAACTGAAGCCCTGAATGAGTAAAAAGTTCCACACGTTTAACTTAAGTAAGCAGGCAAGTGCATGAGATTTATGAGATGGAAGATATCAGGTTTTAAATCTTAAGCACGCTTTGGATACGCTCTCTGTATTAGATAACATTAGTTCATCTCTAATGGTCATTTGAAGGAGAGCTCAGTGTAAGTCTTCCTGCTGATCAAAATTCTTGAGCTGCCGTGGTCAGTAGCAGGTTATAGATTTGTTCCACATTTTAATCTTATCGCCTAAAGTCAGAGAATGTCAAAGTAAGATGTGTAACAGGCTCATCTTATCTCTTGTGCCTCCTTGCTGTCTCAGCTCTACAGCTCTATTCTTAGTGTTGTAATCTCCGTTGGCTGATTTTTCCCCTATGTTTTAAAATGTTTCTGTTGTAGCAGCTGTAGCCAAGATGGTTTTTATTGTGTAAGTGGAAAAGTACTGCTAGTCCAATGTATGAAAATAGATGTCCAAGCTGCCTGAGCGCAGGCATCCATATTTTAAGGGGAATGACAACAGAAATAAAGTATGGTAAAATGTAGATCATTTCTGGCAGGTTTAAGGAAAGAATAATGCTAAATAGCATTGCCAGTTTTGTTCTCCTGTGTCAATCCTTACTGGTGTCCCTTTTATATGGAACTACTTAGTGAAAGCAATGCTGCATGCCCTGGCTTTATAACTATTTTATAAAATGTATCTATATTTCATGTGTGACATAATAAAATCTTGGATATAGTTCCTGATACAACGTCAGAGGAGAATCAATCACCCTCATTGATGTCTGTTCAATCAAGTCTGTTGAATTACACAAATGATGAAAGATGTCTGCTTTTTTGTAAAGCAGGAGAAACCAATACACTTTTGTAACTCTTTTTTTCTCAAACTTAGATAAAAAATGTCTTTATGGTTTAATAGTGGGTGTCGGTGAATTTCAGGACATTCACAATTCTGTGTTTTTTCTGTTGCAGGAAAGGGACAAATTCTACTTGACACGCAGTGTTATATTGGAGTTACTGCAGGCACTGAAGTTAAAGTCACCCTTACCAGACATGAATCTGCTGCTGTTGGTGCAGGTACAGGAGATTCTCATGTAATTCTCATACCGATCCTGTCTTGGCCCAAATTCAGGGAGGGAAGGAGGCAAGTCCAACACGGTTGCAGAAAGTACCAGCAATGTCAGGAGAAGCAAGAATTTTTTGAATCAAAATCCAGTTACATTTGTAACCGTAGGTGCATACATTTAGACTGACTCCCACACTGAAATTTAAGAAACTAAATTGGGAATCCACATTTCCCGGGATGATAATGAGCTGTGTATCACTGCTGATGTATTGAGCATCATAGAATGTATCTTGAATTGGAAGGCACCCATAAGGGTCGAGTCCATCGAGCTTCATACCATGTCCCAGTGGGGCAGCTGACCCAGCTCTTTCCTTGTCATATCATAGCCCCAAAACCAGTGAGCAGTTTGTGTGGGAAGGAGCGCTACTTGTTCGTGGGCCAGAACTCAGTTTCTGTCTGTTCAGGCAATAAACTACCTTCAGTCCCTGACAGCCACTCTCTTTTAACATGGATTTTTCCAACAAAGAATACATAGACAGTATTTCTGTTCCTTTCATTATGTGAATTGCTGAGGTAAGAGTTAAGCTAGTTTTTTCACGTGAAAATCTGAGGAGGTAAGAAGCAAACTTACGAAAGATCCTTCTGCCTCCAGAATTCCAAGTGTGGCACTGTTTGGCACCACAAGCCTGTCCTGCAAAAACAATTTACTGAAGTCCATCAATTTTAATCACATGTGGTGGGCTCTCACTGTTTACAGTGAGCTAATCATTATATATATTTAGTAACTTTAAATGATAGGGGACCAGAGTAAAAGCAATTTGTAAGGTTCAAGAAAGATGTTTAGTATGTAGATCCTTTATAATGCTCCCAGCATCACAGCTCCATTCATTCTTTCCCCTCCCATTATGGGGTGAAAGCTTCCTATAGCTTACTATGGGCTTGCTTTCTTCTGAGTACTGATATATTACTCATAGTAAATAAACGGTTGCCAGTTGACAGAGAAATAATACTGACAAGTGAAATTACATAGCAGTTAGGATAACGCTGAAAACAATGATTATGCCATCAGTATTAGGGGAAGAAGTTGGGGTGGGGAAGAATGACACTTGGGTTTTTTTCTTTTGATGGTAAAGGTTATTTTTTTAAACATTTTTAATTTAAAAAGCAGAAATTTGCCTTTTCTTGGGTCTGGTTTTGTTTTGTTTTTGAAGCTCAGACTTGTTTTTTTTTTGGTCCCAGCCAAGACCATCAAATAACTTAACAACCACCAACCTCTTTCTGTCTTATGGGTGCAGTGATGCAGCTTGATATCATGTGCATCAGTGTTTGTTGATTTGAACTGACTTTTCCTGTACTACAGAATAAAGAAATTTTTTCTGCATTGCTCCATTGCATAGCTCAGTCCTCTGGCTACCCCAAAGGGTGACAATCCCACAGTCTAGTCAATCCTGAATTCCTCGTTTGAGAATGCACAAATACCACGTCAGTTTTGGCAGTGGGATTTAACTGGTAAACACTTGTCCTTCACATTGAGTCAATTGCCCGGTAGTCACAGTAAGCAGAACTCTCTCTTATATTATCTTTATCTCATTAATAAAAAATGGTAATTGCCTGGGTTTTCCTCCTAGAACTATTCCCATATGCTATATTCATGTTGGGATGTATTCATACCTTACACAACAGCACCTAATGTGGATATAAAAGTCTTTTATGATGTCTCTCTTTCAGAGGCTGATGAAGTGATTCATATTTCCTGCTATCCAAAGCAGCCAGCTTCTGTTTTTATGCAGTCAATGGTAAAGAATAGGGGTTGTATTCAGACCATCTGCCGTAGATGCCTACTGGAGGCATGATGACTACTTCTCCCATTGACTGTGCAAATTGGCAGCCCTCAGTAGTATGTGGTCTGAATCATTCAACAGCCTCTTGAATTTAAATACCCTAGTAACCACTAAGCACATCTTAAGCACTGATGTAATTTAAGAAACCTCCTAGTAAAACCACGTATGTATCTGATTGATTATTTTAATTTTCTTTGATGTCATTAATAGAACGAAGGGATTGGTTCACCTCCTTACCACACAAAGCCGCTACAGTATTAATTCAGATTGTATGGTTTTGAATCCACAAAGCTGTCGCAGGGTTAACGCAGCACCAAACAGAAATGGTTTTAATTTCTGAGACAGTCGTGTCCCTCTGGACGTGTTGGCCTGTATACAAGATTCTGTACATACAGTGCACGCGGAATACAGAGATTCAGTCAAAATGTTTGAGATAACAAAGGAGCTAGGAGCACTTTAATGATAGATCAGTCATGGGCTGGCTAACAAAGGAATTCCTAGGAACGTACACTTGACACCCACATTCATCCAGATTACACGGTACCATCAGTGTCACTGGTGACATCAGTGCTAAAATGAGAGTTAGCTTTACCCCCCTTTACAAAGAATGAGAATTTTAACTACATCACCCCAATCATTGCATAGGTGTCGTGGATGATAAAGGGTACGGAAGGTCTGTCTCCTTGATTTGTCCTAGCAAATGAAAGCCATCATGTTCATGCTGCTGTTCCATGGGTTTCCATAGGAACTGCTTCTTCACCCAGCATTTTGTTTCCCAGTACTTCTCTCCCGCTCACATTTCACCAGCACACATATTCAGGATTTCCGCCAACTTTAAATTATATTAGTGTCTCATTAGGATTTGCTTGTTCAGTCAGGCTATAAGGTTCAGTGTGTCTGATCTTTTTTGTTTAGGTGGCTCCTATTTTGAGCTGGACCTTCAGCTAATGTAAATCAGTGTATACCTACTGGTTCCACTTCATGTTTCTGAGAAGATCCGGTCTACTAATTACTGAGTGGAAAGATTTAAAGTTATATATAGTATGTTTATAAAAATATATATTTTAAAAACTCTGATTATGAATAGAGGTAGAATATAGATAGTTTATGGTATAGATAATTCACTACAATCAGCAGACATTCCCATTTAGACATTCTACAGCTGTATCTCAGGAGACAATGCAAAGAAGAGGCATGACAATTGTTTGCCCATTTCTCATGTTTTTGCAGCGTGGAGGTATTTTTCTTTCCTCTTTTCTTTGCGTATGGCTGGCATTAAATCTCTTGCTAGTGACGTCTTAATGTATTATAGGTATTTGCAGAGGGAGACAACATAAATGACAGTGAATTGGACTGAAAATATAAGAAGTTTTTCATTTTGATGTTGGTTTCTCCATCCTGTTTTGACTGCATTGCAACTTTAGGAAGGATCCTTGGAACTGGCCGTCTGATGATGAGAAGATAGGCTAAACAAGGCCTAATTATCCATTAGCAATGGAATGGAGTTTGTCATCTGTTTTTTACATATAAATTAATATCTGTTATTTAACCCAAACTCCTCTGTGCAAAACGTATAGACAGCTTACAGGAGGCCAGTAGAGGTTTCTTTGGCTGCTGCTTCTTAATGTTATTCAAAGAAAATACTGTCTGAAATAAACAAATCTGTCTTTGGCAAGGGTTTTGTGTTGACTTATATGGTGAGAGCTGTACAATGTTTCTATCAGTGCACTGAACTCACTGTTGGATGCTAAATATACTCAGCCAGATTCTTCAGGGAATTACAGTCCATTTTGCAGCTGATGGCATACAAGGGAACCCTAATCTACACAAAAACGGTTGGCTGAGAAATCCTTCACACAGGAAAACAACATACCCAGCAGACCCAGCATCAGCATTACTCTTTCTGTGATAGGGTGCGTTAGGAGAAAATCTGTCATCTATTTGCCGAAGTCCAGTAATGATCCTTCTTTTAAAAAAGAAGTGGAGAGTCATGGTTGCATGAACTAAGACTCAGCTGTCTTCACTGAAGTGATACAGCCCATAACCCCGAGGCTTTCTTTTGCTTTTCATCTAATTATTAGAGCTGTGGTACAGAAGAGCACCAGGCCATCTCTCAGCTAAAATATGAGTTAGATTCCTGTTTTGTTTTCCGTTTGGCTTATGCTGGTGTAAAATAGATTCTAACTAGACGAAGAGTCAACTGGGGCCAGGCCTATGTCTGGGGATACCTAATTAGATCATTACTCAAAATACAGGTAGTTCTTTCTGGTGTTTGTCCCAAAGAACAGACTCTTCACCAAGACATAGGTTGAGTAGTTTCCAAGTCTCGGTAGTCAGTCTTAGTTCAGATTAAATCTGTCACTGAAAGGTAAAGCTTGTGGAAACGTAAAAGTAAATGCTAGGTCTGCAAAGGATATTTGGAAATATTTTCAAGAAGAGCGGCCAGTCATTGAGAGTATTGCTAACACACATGCATTGGACAACTGTGAAATATATAGCCTGGTCAATACCTGTCTCAGTTGGTGAAGGATCCATGGTATTAATTGTCAAGAAAAAAGGATTAAGGCTTAAGCCTTAGCTTGAGTTCTTTTCTGTCTGCTCTTTCTTAGAAAGTTACATTGCATCACTATGGACAAAAACTGCTCGAGTACAAATACGGTATTAGGCCAACAAGTTTTAGAAACAAACAAGTCATCTACAGGGTGTCCAGTGCATTATTTAAACTTATAATGATTAAATAACACTATTAGCAAGTCTAACGTATGAATGATGTGGACATCAGAGATTTTTGGGTCAAGGGATTTGGAAATAAAAATAAAAAAAGCAAGGAAAATAAAAGCATAACAAAAGCAATTAGAGATATTCTACTATAACAGAATGATTCTGACTTCTCAGAAACATCTTGTATTTTTGTAGTGTTGTGGACTGTATTATGTAGAAGTTATACCACATACCAGTATGTTCTCAAGTTCAAAATTGCTCATATAATTCATCATTGTAGAACTTAAATGAAAGTACTGTAATATCATAGTGAAGGACTTGGCATGTTGCCTTATCATCCTCTATCATGATTTATTCTATAATGAAGGAGGAGAATGTGATATATGTAAGGAATAGCAAAGATACGTAATTTTGCTCATGAAGAAAGTCTGATTTATTATACAATATTTTGCAGATTTCTCCTGCACAGCATATATGTGTTAATTAAGCACATTAAAGTCAGATTTTATTTTCATTAAAATTAGCTCGTTTATAAGGGCAAGTTAACTAGGTTGTTTATAAAGAGAGAGCGCTCTAAAGGCAAATTACCATGAATAAAAGCAAGAAGAGATCTGAGCTGATTTTAATAAAGTCATGAATAACTTATTAGTGTCTTCAGGTTCCTCCAGAAATAATGAAAAAATAACTTGTCTTTAATTCCTTCTTAGTTTGTTTGCGCAGATGCTGGAACAAAACTGGCCGAGTCAACAATCTTGCATAAACAGATGATTGCCTCTATGCCTGGAGTAAGTACTGAATCATACTCGATCTCTTAGTTTTCTTTTTTTAAAAAATGTATCTTATTCAGCTCATTTTGCTTCACTTTAATGTTATTTCCTTTTCGTTTCTGTTCTGGTTGGCAATGTGTATTGCAGGCAGAGACTGAGATGCTGCTTCCTTTTTATTAATTTGGAAAAGTTCTGAACTTGCTGTTGCTTGCCTTGCTTTCACTGATAATCTTTAGTAACGTAACTGACCTCTGCTCAAGACAACAACATGTAGGGAACAGACCAGATGAATGCCTCAAAAAATGGTAGCAGGGAGGAAAGCTACAAGCCATTGCTTCCATTCTCACAAAAGATTATCCGGTTAAAGAAGGGAGTTAAGGGTATTTTTCTGGAAATGTACCAGACGTTTATCTGTATCCTGATGATGAGTGTGGCTAAATTAGCAGTACTCTTAATTGCCTAGGTGCTGAGTATGCACTTGGTGAGCATGCGAGGAAGTAGCACAACCAGAGGTCTTGACTTGTTCCATGATACTTGTGGCCAAGTACCCAAACAGATGGATGAGGGTTAGCTCAGGTCTGCTTCACAAGCTGAGGAAAACTTGATTCCTAGTATGTGTGTGTCTGTCAGCTTCAGGGGTGATCGAATAGGATCTTTCCTTTGTGTCTTCTGAAGTGTGTGATTTATTTTTTTTTTTTAATGCAAATCTTTAGTAATACCTTTCCTCCCAACAAAATTTTCAGATTTTTATTCGCTTTAAGTAGATAGGCTAACATTGGTGTTGCAAGGTATGATAGGAAAGTGATCATTTCAGAAAAAATCATAGGGAATCAGGCTGCCTGCTGCTTGAATGAAACAGTAGATGGATGGAGAGAGGTCTTTTGTAACTGAGCATTATTTTCAGAGGTCTGAGTACAGCATCTTGTATAATTCTGTTATTCAGTATTTTAGAACCCATGTGGAATCCTTAGTCCACATAAATTAGATGGCAGGGCTGCCAGTGGCCTTGTTTTACCGTTTCTTATTCTGTCAAGGGAACTGACAGGCATAGCATTTGAAAAGCCAGAAGGTGGCATAGTTCAACACCTTGTAGATTGATATTAACATACAAAAACGAGAAGCACCCAGGTCAGTTGCTTAAGAATAGAATGCTAGCAGTTTTTCAAATTTCAGCCCCTAAAACTCAATTATGGCTTAATAATTTTGTGCTCAAGCTGAATCTGGTTCATTTGTGTGCTCAGGGTAATCAGCTTCTGTGCTTCCAAGTGTAGGTAATTAAGTAGAGGTCAAAGAAGGGTAGTTCTCCCCTGTAAACTTTACTGCGATGTTTTGCCCTGAGCCTGTGACTTTGGATACAGCCATTTTTGGCTACTTCAAAAAGATACCTAATTTGATAATTTCATCATTTAGCCTCAGATGTTAAGCATTGCTTTTACTTGGCCCCTGAGAACGAGGCATTCATAGTTGCCCTTGGGCTCAGCTAGTATTATCTTCACCTCGGACTATTAACATGTAAACAGAAATTTATATAATACCTAGTGGATCAGTCATACTACCTTCTGAAAGCTTCTCTCCAGGGTTCTTTGGTCTGTTCAAAGCCTTTATTTTATTGACAGCTTTGTTCCGTTGACTGTTTTGCACACCTTGGGCACATCTTGTACTAGCTAAGGCCAGATTCGCATTTCTCACTGTGTCCTGGGAGAGGGATTATGAAAACTTGTACCGTGGGAATACAACAAGCACCACGTTGAGTCCTTTTGTTTTCCCTTAGAGGTTGTTCTTGCCCTGGCACAGGTTGCTTCTCACAGCTTACACCTTTATGGTCAAACTGGAGCAGTTCATGAAGTGTTTCACTCAGCCTTTATAGTCCTTGCCTCCCCTTTTGAAAACTGCAGCTAGCTTAAGTGCCATTAGAATGTAGTATTTTGAGTGATTTTGCTTCAGGAATATCCCAGAAACATTTGTTAGTTTAAAAAAAGAAAAAAACCCTAACATTTAAATTTCAGTGGTGTTCCCTTTAGTGATGTTTACACATAAAAAAACCTGAAGCCATTAACTTAAAATGTTTTTCCATCATGATTAATGTGAACGTATGAGCATCTGTGCCTGGGACTGAATTTTGTTTTCTGGGATTGTAGCTGATGGGTTCCACTTGCAGAAATGCTCAGCTGCTTGAAGAAGTGGGTTGTTAAACTCTCATGGACTTTTTAAGACTTTGATTCTGGACCACTGTAAATTTCAGGATGACATGACAAGGATATTGTTGAAAGTTTCATCAGTTAATTTTTTACTGCTGTCACAGATAAGAGTATTTTAATGATGCATGAAGAAGCTACAGTGACTGGGATATCCTTTTATACTATCATCAGATAAGAGGGCATATTACAGTGAGAAAAAAAACATCAAAGAACACCTATTCCTAATTAAAGTCATCTGACTAAAAAGTAAAATAAAGAATTTGAGACAGACAAGTTGTGTTCTGACCAAGAGACAAAGACGAAAACATGAACATATTAAAAACCTGGTACTTAAACTTATTTTTTTTATGTTCTAGTGTGGAACAGCAGCAATGGAATGCATGAGGCAATATGTTGGGGAAGTGCTGGATTTCATTGCAGATATGCATACCTTAACCAAACTAAAGGTTGGTTCTAGGTGTACATTGAACTAAAGTGTATGTGCTTTTTAAACAAAAATATGTTTTCTCTACTGAACCTGCCTGGGAGAAATGGTTGGAAGTCTTTGAGGATGCCTGATAACTTTCTTTTCTTTTTTAAAGAAATGTTAGTAGTGTTATAGATTAGACACTTCTGGGGGAATCAGTAAAAAGTAGCTTCTGCAGTGTTGAAATGGAGGCTGATTCAAATATAGTGAGCACACGGTAAAAATGCAGGCTTGATTTTTCTGAAATGTTGATGATAAGCTAATGTCATACCCAAATCACTGTCATAAGTAGTCATGTTCAATATAACACATGGAAACATAAAGCTGCTTGCCTGTATAACTAATTACACTCTTTGGGAGGAATCCCATGTCTCTTATATACACAAACGGGCACTTAAGTTAATTGGAAGTTCAGAAGTTATTAAAATGCAGTAATTGACCTAATTTAAATTAAAAACAAACAAACAAAAACAACAACAACAAAAAACAAACAAACAAACAAGCCCAACAAAACAAACAAACAAAAAGAAGATTCTTTTTCTTATGGATGCTGTTGTTTTCACTGTCTGGTTATATTCTGTCGAGCTGGGGAAAACTGAGTGGTTATTTCCTCTGCTGTCCATACTGCTTTTTGGTTTCTGTACATTCGTTTGATGCCAAATTGTAAGAGGAGCAATAGGAAAATACTTCTGTCAACATAAAGTATTTTATTTAGGAACGAATTTCATGAAAACGTCCTAGTAATAATTAGCTGGTCAAAACCTGAAATTTCTGTTTCATGGGGGAAGCCAGTATCTATTAAATTTCCTACAAAATGGAAATTCTTTAAGATGCTTTAGAAAAGAACTAGACTAAGTAACATTGCTGCTGTTAAATAGGAAATAGTAGAAGTGTAGCAGTTTCAACTGTTAGTAAAGTAGCATCTGTTGTTAAGAGCCTAAATAAAGAATGTAATATTTCAGCTAATATATCACTAATAGTCAGTCATAATGTGCGGAGGGGGAAATATTTATTCTATTTAGTATAACACGATTCCATCAAGTAGTTTTATTGTACCCTCTGAAGCTGAGTACTAAGTGAGCACTGAAGGTGAAACTTTAGTGGTTAAAATCCTCTTTTTTGTAGAGGGAAAACACCTTACAGTGGAACCATCTGTCACTTTTCAAGGCTAGGCAAAGTTAGAACGTAGGCTTTTAAGCTGCGTACCAGTACCCTGCACAGGGGTGGGTTTCTTTCAGCACATAAAATGGAGGCAGAGGTGTAACTAGGCCTTGATGCTTTCAACTTCTGCAAAGCTGGCAAGACAAACAAATGGTGTGGGAGGGCAGCAGATTGACTGTTACAGGTATGGAGGAGATGTGCCTGTCAGAGATTCAGCCAGTTCTGAAATCTGTCTCTAGAGTTTTAGTCCTTGTACACCAGCAACTCAGTGATCCAAGGGGGAGCTTGTCAACTGAAAGACGTCATTTCCTCACTGGGCACGGTCAGGGAGCTGCCAAGCTGCTTTTATGTGATCTAAAGCTCAGTTGACAGATGCAGAGGATCAGTGCAGTCCTGTCCTGTCCTGGCTGGTAGGAATCACATTGCCATTGCTCGCGTGCCCGGTGCACGTGGTCTGCTAGGGAAGTTCTTCGACCAGGGGCTTGCATCTGACCTCAAGAGCCATCGTGCTTCTGTAACACAGAGTACATCTGCTAATAAAGGGTGGTCATGATCTGTTTTCCTGCTAGATCTGTATAGTGCTTCCCTGAAAGGTCCCCTCTACTATTTGTCTTAGTTTGGGCTGAAATAGAGTTAATATTCCTTTTCAGGGACTAGATGAGTGCTGTGTTTTGGATTTAGCTTTGGGTTTGGTATGAGAAGAATGCTGATAGCACACTGATGTTTTCAGCTGCTACCGAGACTTCAAGGACTCTCCGACTCCCCATGTCCTGCCCGTGTGCCAGGGCACAGGGAGCAGGGAGGGAGCACGGCCAGAGCACCTGACCCAAACTGGCCAGTGAAATATTCCATATCATGGAAAGCCATGCTCACTATATAGAGGAGGGGTGGTCGGGAAGGGGGGCTCTTTCTCACTTCCAGGATTGCGGTTGTGGGATCTTGGTATCTCGGGGTCGCTGGCCGGGAACGGGCTGGGGATTGGTCAGCGGGTGGTGAGCAATTACGCTGTACATTGCCTGTTGATATATTTCTTTTTGTTTTCCCCCATCATCGTTATTGTTTTCATTTTATTGCCATTATTAAACTGCCTGCGAGTCTCCCTTCACCCCTCTAATCCCCTTCCCCATTCCCAGGTGGGGAGGGGGAAGGGAGGGTGATTAGCTGCGGTGGTTGGTTGCCGACCAGGCCCAAACCACACTATTGTACCGATGCTCTGCTGAAAGTTACTGGAAATGCACTGAAGTGTTTCATGCCACAAGTTCGTGCAAGCATTCTGTGTCAGGCGAGACAGAATAAATGATGACCTGTGGTGGATTTTGATACTGGAGTTTGTTTATGAAGCAATGAGAACTTTTACCCTACTAGTTTCTTACACACTCGCTTCCTCACTGGCCCCCTGCCCTTCCACCTCACCTCATGCCCCAGCGGGGACACCTTATTGCAAGTTAATAATACTTAACACAAAGGAAGAAGAATCCCAACTAAGCTGAAACTCGTGTCTCTTAAAACTTGTAGTAACCTTGTTTTACCGGTGTTGTGGTTTAACCCCAGCCAGCAACTATGCAAGACATGGCTGCTTGCTCACTCTTCCCCCCTCCCAGTGGGACAGGGAGGAAAATAAAAAAAGTAAAACTCATGGGTTAAGAACCGTTTAATAAATAAAATGTAATAATAATAATAATAACAGCAGCAACATATAATGATAATGAAAAGTAATGTAACAGAGAGAAATAAAACTCAAGAAACAAGTGATGCGCCATGCGATTGCTCACCACCCACTGACCAATGCCCAAGCAGCAATCCACCTCTCCTGGCTCACTCCCCTTGTTTATATATTGTGTGTGACATTCTATGGTATGGAATATCCCTTGGGCTAGTTCGAGTCAGCTGTGCTGGCCATTCTCCCTCCCAGCTTCTTGTGTGCCTCCTCGCTGACAGAGCATGGGAAACTGAAAAGTCCTTAGCTTGGGATAAGCACTACTTATCAACAACTGAAACATCGGTGTGTTCTCAACATTATTCTCACACTAAATCCAAAATATAGCACTGTACCAGCCGCTAAGAAAATTAACTCTATCCCAGCCAAAACCAGGACAACTGGACAAAATATCCCTTTCGTTAAGTTCTTACGCTGTTGGCCATATGCCTTGAATCCCACTGAGTTTTAAAAAAATACTCTAGTGTGAAGCAGCCTTTTGTGGTGGGGTATAAATTTACTTCAAAGCACAAACTAATTAATCATTTTCAGCTGAATTGAATTGTCTTCCCACTCTATCCTTTAAAGTTATTCACCCAGTTCTCTTACAGATTAGAACTATTTTAAGAATAGGTAGGCAAATGAATCATAAATGAGGGCGAGATACATCTGGTTTGTTTAGTTCCACAGAAAAGCATAAACTTACCTGAAACGAGGAATGGGGAAAATTTATAAATACTTGCAGATATCTTCTCACCTGTGTAAAATGTTTCTGTAGGAAGCTCTCTGCCATTTGCACTTTCTCCTTCTGCCCCTTTTCCCTTTTAGACTGTTTTTCAGAAATGCTCTTACAGTGCTGAAGTCTAAGATGATAATTTCTTATGCTCAGTAGAGCTGTTTATTTTTTAAATTTTTATGCACGGATATAGGTAGGACATGAACTAAAACTATCCCGTTCTTCACTTACATATTTTGAAATTAGACAAGAAGGTTCCCAAATGTGTAGTCTGACAATTTAAATCAGAATCAGATGGTCTAAAATGTCATGTTGTTTTGATTTACCACGTACAGGAATCTGAGAATAAGATTAATGTAATAGGAGAGTCAAATATGACCATAATTTTATGTATTGTAAAGAATAAGCTTTGGCTGTCTTTGGAAAATGAAAAGGAAGTTCTTATTTAACCAGACCAGATAAACTTACTCTGTGGTTCCAGCATAGTTGAGAAAATATTTGTAAGTGGTTCTAAGTTTACAAATAGTCAGAACTTTAAACAAATTCACAACATCTGGGTTCAAATTCTTGTAAGCTTATTTAATATATTTACTTATGTTGCTTGGGTTTTATTAACAGAGGTGTTCTAGGAAGTGAGCCCTAAGATAGTCCAGTTGTGCAATTTCTTAGTATGAGGATGTATCATCAACAGCATCTGGGCTACCAAACTAACACAAAAAATACTATATGATTTATATGGCCAGTAACAATCCCAATAACAAAAATTTAATCTTGGTTTTCAAATTTTGAAATTTCTACTCTCTGTAGAAATTCAGTGAACAGAAGTAAAGTTGTTTATTCATTTCCAGTGTTTTATTTTGCATGTCCAAGAATAGTTTCTTTGAAAGAGGTTAATTATTTTCAGCCCTGTGTATTAGCAACTACTGCATTATTAAAAAGGTATAAATGTTATTTCTCAAGATAATCACATTGCAGTTTATTGTTTCTCTTCTGTTCATTATCTTTTTTCCCCTTTGGAATAACCTTCTAATTGGTAAAGTTCATCAAGGTTTTATTTAGAAAATTCCACCACTTTTGAAGAAGTATAATGTATCTGCCTGCATACATTTCTATCTTTCTTACCTAGCTCTATAACAATGTCATCAGATATCCATGCTGGTACCTGATTTTTTTTTCCCTTGAAAGAGACTTCAAGTAAATGATTTTTGAGAGTGTAAGTTTCTGTGGTCAGATATTTATCTGTTATAAAATATTATTGGTCCACAGGATTTTTATCCTGTTACAATGATTTAATAACCAATGACCTGGATTTTCTTGTGCAAAGCATATGGCTCTCCTATAAGCAAGCAAATGCACTCAGCATGTGTTCTGTTAGTCTAGTAACAGAAGGTAATGCTAAGTTAGCTTAATTAGAAATACAGAAGTATCTCAAGATGCACCAATGAAGCATTCCTTAGAGCTGACAAAGCAGGATAATAAATTATTTTTCCAGTCATAAATATTTGCATGTTTGTTGGGAAAGGGTTTATTTCTGTACATGTAAGTGGAGTGTTGCACAGGGAAGACATTTCCTGCCCAAATGCTATCTTGTTAAGTGGTAGATTCTTTCATCTTCACTTAAGCTGTCCGGATGTGCAGCCGTTAGTTTGTATTCATCAGCTGTTGAGTTTGCTGATACAAAAGGTGCCTGTACATTTTGCACAATTCATATTTTGTCTGGGCTCTTGAAATTGTGGCTCTCCGTGGAAAGGTCTGCATCGTAAAGCTGTTACTAATACAGCGACTGGAGAATTTTTTAAAACCTATTGCTAAGATTTGTTCTGTAGTTTTGTAGACACAGTCAGCGGCCCTGTGAAAGGAATTGAAGGGAAATGAAATAGAATATGCTGTTGCTTGGAAGAACTTAGTTCAAGTGAAATATTCTTTTTGGGTACGAAGTCAAATCTTTGCCTTTCAGAGTCACATGAAGACTTGTTCTCAGCCACTGCATGAAGACACATTTGGTGGGCATCTGAAAGTTGGTTTAGCTCAGATTGCTGCTATGGAAATCACACGGGGAAACCACAGAGACAACAAAGCTGTGATCCGATACTTACCTTGGCTTTACCATCCTCCTTCTGCAATGCAACAAGGGTGAGAATGCTTTTGCACAAAAAGGAATACTAAAATGAGTTAGAAATCTTCACAGAATTCTGTGTTCATTGCCAGATTCCATAGATAAGACCCCCGCAGTAGGGAGTGGTGGCCGAGGGCCATTGAAACAGCTGGCCAGGAGTTCCCTGGTCCTGAACTGAGGAGTTCATCAATGCAATATTTGAAGTACATGCCAAAGGGTCAGTAGAGGTAACTCCATTGGCTTGACTGGAGTTACCCTGGAAATTAGCTTGATTCTCGATTTAGATACAGACAGTGAAAAGCACACAGGTGCTTGATCAGTCCTAGAATTATAGAAAATATGTTGGGAATTACAGAGAATACAATGGGAAATATCCTTTGAAATTATGGAGTACAAATGAGTGAGAACTGTAAGTGTAAGCCTATTGATATAATGATAAAAATACTAGCTTAATCTGATTAAAGTTAGATGAGGGAAATCCTGCCCTTCAAGACATGTTTTTTATCCCTTTTCACTCTGGGAAATCCTAATCTGCAGTGGTTTATCTTCAGAAAGGAGATACTGTCCCTTATCTTACAATGACAACAAATGAGATATTTTGAGTGTAGACTGTGTTTCCACAAACCTGTATTCTTGTCCCAGCTTTGTCCTGGACTACCTGCCCTAGGATTCTGAGGACTAAGCTACTCTAGGCTCTGGTCCTGTAGATATATCTGCATGTAGTTTCATGTAGAGCATGTCTAGTTTGGGAAATACAGAGTTATTATCTCCTTGCGCTTTAGTTTCTTACATTTAAAAAGAAGGAGTTGAAGGTAGTGAATTCCTTTAGGACCCTTAAGGTACTTGAGGAAAAGCATCATATCAGAGCCTATTAAAAAAAAAAAGTAAATTAATGGAATGCCTCTTTGGTGCTATGAGTCCTTGTTAATGACATCAAATCAGAAATTAAAAACAGTAGTGAGAGTGGCCTAGTAAGTAGTGATTTATTGATTGAAAAAACAATTATTTTTTTCCTGTGCCTATGAATTCAAATGAATATGTAATCTGAACTTGGGAGCAGCAGGGTGACAGACAAGGTGACACCAGAAATGTGTTACTCCTTTTTAAATTATATAAGCACATTACAATTAGACATCACACTAGATTGTCGATGAACACTCGAGTGTCATCTCTGCCCTCAAAAATGTCCAGTCGAAACGTCCAATAAAATGGCTGAAGAAAAAGAGAAATTAGCTCCACTTTACTGATGGAGAAGTGGAACATAGTGGAAGTCAGTCATGGTTACCATGGCTCTGTCACCTGTGTGCTGTCCAGGGGAGCGGAGAGGAGCATTTCCCTGTGGGCAACCCTTCCCAGAGGAGCATTTCCCTGTGGGCAACCCTTCCCAGAGGAGCATTTCCATGTGGGCAACCCTTCCCATCTGATGGTTTCTGTGTAAAAATATCACTGTGTATGCAACCAGTGAATCTGTGAATGTTTTAGCCTTTTATAGAGACTGTTTCTTAGACCCACCAAATACCTTCTCTTGGGCTTGTTAATGATACGTCAAGTCCACAAAGTTCTGTGTGGTTCTAGTCTTGCCATAAGTTGTACCAGTGATCTGCCTAGAGTGCATAAGGAGACTCCGGATTTTGGGGAAAACCAGAAAACTTAGTTACTATCATTGTAAAATCCACTCTTTCTTGACAGGCCCAAAGAGTTCATAGAATGTGTCTCACACATTCGTTTGCTGTCCTGGCTGCTTCTGGGGTCTCTGACACACAATGTTGTCTGTCCAAATTCTTCATCATCTTGCATGCCTATTCCACTGGACGCGGGTTCACAAATTGCTGACCACCTTATTGTTATTCTGATTGGGTTTCCAGAGCAATCAAAGGTAAGGGATTCTGTGCTTTAAGTGGAGATGTATTATGTATTGGCCTTATTATTGCATTCATTTATTTATTTCTTTGTAAGAAAATGGGAGGGGTAAAGCCATATTAAAACCTGGGATCTAGAGAAAGAAATTTATGTAGTCTTTCTTGCATAGCTGCCTCTTCATGCATGGAAAGGTGGTGATGAAGGATGAAATCACTACAGTTAAGTTTGAGATTCAACTATTCCAAAATATCTCAGCTCAGGAGTGATGGAGGAAAAACTGAATTCCAAATCGAAGCTTTAGCAATGACCGTCACTATAACAAATCTCAAAGTTACTTATTCTAGTTGTATAATAGAATTGGATAAATAATGTTATGATCAAAAGTTAATTACAAGCAGTGATGGTTCAAGCACAACTTTTTTTCTCAAGTTGCTCTGGACAAGAAGAGTTCTTGCGGATTATAAGCCATGTGTGACAGTAGTTTAACACAGACATAGCAGCACTCTTTTACACAACCAGGATTTTACTAGCAACAAAAGCAGAACGATCACACATTTATCTTGTACGTAAAATCCCCCTTTCTTTCCCCTCACCCAAGACATGGGTGCTCCTCATTCATGTCTTTGGCGTTTCTTTGCTCTTTCAAATACCTCTTTCCAGTTACCAAGCAACCATTGCCATGTTTGGTGCAGTCATACTGCCACAGAGCATGAATCACTGTTGCATTTGCAAACTGAGAAAACATCTCTGGCCAGAAGCATCTTTTTTGTAATGAAGTAGTTAATGGCCAGCTTTCCTAGCAGCTCAGACACTGTGATATATAACACATACTAGCAAAGAGCCATGCTTGAGTATGCAAAATTAATTCTCTGTTGGTTTTTCAAAACTTACTTTCCTTGTCTGTGAGCAGTTCTGTCTCAGCAATGTAGAAATGGATGATAGATTAACAGAACAGATGTAAGGTGATGTATGGTGGTCCTCCTTTCAGGTGATCAGCGTCTGAATGACCTACCCAGCAGCATTTTGGAAATGGAGTCATAAGTGCCAGAACCTCCAGGCCTTCCACAGATTGTGGTGGAGTTTTCCATCAAGAAAGTCTCAGAACTAGTCCCAAGTAGCTGTTCTGCAAAACTAACCTTCTCTTTAAAGGGACTGACCTTAATGACAAACACAAGATTGCATGGGAATGTGTGTTTGTAAATGCAGTTTTTGGTCTGTAAATATAAAAACAGTTTTTAAACATAGGGAAGATGTTATCAAGTGTCCTTGACTTACTAGTTCCTAATGGGAGGGAAATGTGGGAAAGTGAGGGGCAGGACTGCACAGTGGGATGCAGGACAGGAGTGCTTTGAAAGCCTCTGCGCTGTATCCCAGTATGCTTATTTAAATAAACATTTTCCTCCATTTTCTGTTTCTACAGACATCTGTTCTGCACATGTGTTCCCTCTTCCATGCATTTATATTTGCTCAGCTCTGGACAGTGTATTGTGAACAAACAGCAGTAGCTCCGACAGTCCAGAATCAGAATGAATTTAGCTTTACAGCAATCCTTACAGCCCTGGAGTTCTGGAGCCGAGTGACACCTAGCATCCTGCAGCTAATGGCACATAACAAAGTGGTGAGTCAAGTGCTGTGCACAGATTTAGTTCAGGTTAAACTCAGAGGGCTTGGCTTTATTCAGTGTTTCAGTGGAATACATCAGATTATGAATAACGTCATAGCACAACTTCGATGCTTTTGCGAAATTAAAGGGAGAGCTAATCAACAGTGGTTTAACTTTGTGGCCTGAAACAGAATGTAGCTAGGGTCTGCCAAAAACAGAATCAAGAGATGGAATTGCTTCTTGTTGGATTAAGGGCTCCCTGCATCAGGTCTCATTTTATACATCTTCTGCTCTTCACAGTGGTCCTATTATTTCATCTGACTCTGCCTTCCAGGAGCAATTAAGTGTGTTAGGATAATTCTGTGAATAGCCATTTGAATATTTTTTTTTTACCTCGCGATGGTGAAAAAATACAAAAATCCTGACATTTGACTACTCATAACCCACTGGTTACTCATCAAAAATAAGCTACCTAAGCATCTCTGGAAACATTTTGGAGTAACGAGTGACATGAAAGAGGGATCTCCAGAGATAAGGTTTGAAAGGGAAATGTTCGCTTTGTCCAGAAATTATCCAGACCATTTGTTGGAAATAACTTTTAAGCATTTATTTATCTCAAATATTCACTGCTGTTGGAGAATTTTTATACAATAAAACCCAGAGGGGTTCCAGCAGCCTTCTCATAGGTGCTACCTTTGCTTCCCATTGACGAATGATTCACTGTGCCTGCAGGCCCAGGGTTGAGAGCTTGTTTCTGATGGGCAAGGCATACTGTGTTTGCCACTTTCCAGAAAGTCATGACAAGTCTGTAATGAATTGTCAAAACTTTTTAACTTTAACTGAGGTGTTAACTAGTTGCTCTGCTCTGGGGAACCTGACATTAGCTTTGAATGAGGGAAATTCTTTATATGTGGCTCAGTCCTCTAAGTCAGATGCTCTTAAGGTTTGGGATTTTCATTCTTTGTTTGCTTGGAGGGGGGGTGTGTGTTGTTGTTTTTTTGTTTGGTTGGTTGGTGTTTTGGGTTTTGGTTTTTTGGTTTTTTTTTTTTTTTGTTTTGTTTTTTTTTACAAATGGAGACCTGCTATCTATATGGAAATTATTTTCTGTAATTCCCCTTTCCCCATGTGGAACACCTTCCACCCCAGGCAGGTATGAACCCTTGCCCTTTCAATTGTAATTGCATGGGCTGCACTTGAATGTCTTTGAACCAGTTGCTATTCCCATGCGTCTTGCCCATATCAGGTAAGGACCACCTAAAACTGTTTTTAAAGGATATTTTAGCCTCTGACCTCTAGTGAGGTCTCTGTGGCTGACAAGCCACCGTTGGGAACAGTAGTTGATGAAGCTCCATTTGCATGAGCCAGAAGTGTGCGTAACGCTTCTAACTAGCCAGTTGTTTAGTCAGACACAAAGGCTTCTTGTCAAGCCTCAGGACAAGAATATGACCTGGAAGACCCAAGTTCCAATCCTTATTCTGAAAGTATCTCATTATGTGGCTTTAGTGCAAGTTATTAAACTCTCAGCCTCAGCTATTGCTCTGTGAAATGTAGATAATAATCCTTGCCTGTCTCACAGGGGTGTTACGAGGTTAATTAGTTAGTGTTTGTAAAGCGCTTTGAAGATGAAAAGCACTACATAAAAGCTAAGTGTATTATTATCGAGGGGAATTTACACATAGTTCAGGCAGGCGCTGTAAATGCTCACGGCTGGCTCATGGTAATTTTCTTGTACCTATGAATTTACACAATATAAAACATAAAATGCTGTCTGCTACCAAATAAGTGATATTTGCATCTGTCATAATTCATGGTACAAAATGGAAGAACGAGGGGCTTGCTGCCAGTTCAGAACAATAAATTGTCTTTTGATGGGGGAAATAAAAAGATGGGTTTTGTAGGTATGTTAATTTTCAAAGATTTAGTAAATAAAAATACAAATTTCTGACACACTGATCGATGAGAACTACACAGCAAAGGCATGTAAAAGGATTTATGATGTTCAAAAAGAACAAAGCTGAAGGCAACTTGTTTTGATGTGTGATATGAATTATAATACATCAAGCACTTTCAAATATTTTACACACAGGTGTTGCCTCATCAAGGGAAAACTAAATAAAAATGTCTCTTATGTGCTTATGTAATATTTAATCTTATATGTGATTAATAAATGCACATCTAGTGATTCAGTATAACTGCCAAGCAAATACAGGAAGATTCTTTTTAAAGACTGTGGGCTTAGCTTACAACACTGTTATGCTGGACACTAATTTGTTTTTATGCTTGATTTTTTTTTTTTTTCCCCCAAGATGGTGGAAATGGTGTGCCTGCATGTGATTAGTTTGATGGAGGCTTTACAGGAATGCAACTCCACTATCTTTGTGAAGGTAGGCATACCGCACCATGAATATGTAGTTAATGATGTTGCCTGTCTATTGTGATTTCTAGACTTACTGTTCCCTGCTTCCCCTCCCACTCAAAAAAAGAAAATAGAATAAGCTGAGGTTTAAATGCTAATGCAGAAATTAAACCTAGTAGAGCATAACAAAAAATAAAATCTCTGCTAAGAAGTAAGACCAAACCATAATCTGAAATCCAAGTTCTCCTGAATTTTTTTTTTTTTTTTTAAATTAACTTCTGATCTACTTTCCCCTTCTACTGTTGCAGTGGTCTTACTCCTCTAATAGACTCAATTGGTGTTGCTGACTTTGGGAACCTCTAGGTATTCTGAATTTTCAGCCATTCTGTAGCTTTTACTCATCATAAGTCCTTTGCAGATCACCGCAGTGTTCTGATCCTCACATTCTTTTAGGTTGCTAACAAAAATTTCGTGCCACAGCAGTTTTCTTGTTACTCTATGCCTACATGTCTGACTTAGTCCAATATTATTTGATAGAGAATCTTCTGTCCCTAGAATCTTCTGTTGCCATAAAGGAAAGTTCTGACTGTTGTTTTATTTCAGTCTTTTATGGTCAAGTGGGAATTGAAAATAAAGTAGCTAAAATTGAAGGTCTTGATGTCAACTGACATGAAAGTCAGGTCTTGATGTCAACTGACACTCATTGTGAAAATACAGATTTGTAATGACTTGATTTACTACAGAAACTCTGTCATTATGAAGTGTTAAAGTGATCGTGGCTGCCCCCCTAAGGTACAGGAGCTTCTCTTTCAGCCAGTCCAGGATGTGCAGAATTTTGACAATGATGAGAAATGGCTTTAAAGCTGTGAAAAGAGAGGCTTTTAGGGCCAAGTTCATGTCACAGTTCAAATGAATGCTTTCAGGGGGTTATATCTGAGAGTATATAATAATAATAATAATAATGATATGCTAAATCAGTTTAAAAGGATGTTGTTACTACAAAATCAACTTCTAAACCTGTGAAATTCAGAATTAAGGTGCTACGGTTTCTTTCATGTTCAGCAGATGGGAGATGGAAGATAAGAATCTGGGTGACCAAATCACCTTTACTTAGCCCTGAAGTGAAATCCTGCAGGAACAATATACATATATAATAGTATTATAGGATTCTTAGTCTCTGGTTACTAATTTTTTTTTTTTTAAACTAACTAATTGTCAAAACATTTATTGTAGATCTGAAAAGTAAGTGTCATGATGTGGGGAGAGACTTACTGTGTGTTTGAAGTCCTTCAAAGAGGCAGAAGTGTAAAGCTTATTCACATAGGAATCAGTGAGTGAGTGGCATCTCTATAATTTGAAAAAAGATCAACTTTGAGACTTGTCTCTTCTTCAGTGCCTGTGAAGAAGATTTGAACTTTGTTGCTCCTACTTCAGAACTCTGGAAGGATGAAAATGATTTGAATATTAGTTGACTGGGCAGTTTTTTGGTAGCTTGTTTTATTCTAGATAGTCTTTTATTGCCCTGCCTTTGAAAATGAAACAATTTTATCTTGTGCCTTCAAGTGTTTGTTTTTTTTTTTTTTCTTTTTTCCTTTTATTTTAGATATGAGCCTTTCAAACAAGGTTTAGTTTTCACTGGAGGAAAGGACACAGTGTAGTGAGAGAGATTTTTTTAAACAGAACATTCTTAACGCTCTTGGAGATTCATTCAGCAAAATTAATAATTCCCAATTAATTCCTCTCGTAACTGAGTGCAGCAGCACTGATAAATCCTGAGCATTTATCATTCATATATTTACTGCAGTGTCTTTTATTCCTCGTAAGAAATCAAGTGCTGCAAAAACTTCATTTGTGTAACCAAGTCATTGCATGGTTCAGCACACACATTTTTAATGCACCACAGTGAGAAGGTGGTGCGTGCCGTGTGATGTCAGGTGGTTAATGGGATAGCTAATCTTAGGTGGCTATTTTCTGTAGGACGAGTGAGGGGAAAATATGTCCTAAAACAAGAGAGAGAAAACATAAACAATTCATCTCTCCTTCACTGGAAGAAGAGTTTCCTTCATGCCTGAGATAAGCACTCGTTCATCTTGTGTTGGTGCTTTGAGGTTTCCTCCTCCTGGTGCTGTATTGGCCTTTGCTATTAAATTAAACTCACACTGATAGCACTGAGACACGTCTCGATTCCTTCCTATAGTCTTTGAGCCATTCCCTGTATTCTCAGAAGATATTTTTTTGGATCTGATGTTAGACTATATATACCAATCTGGTGAGGCAAACAAAGCTTCTTTCCTGTGAAAACATTTCAACAGTTGCACATTTATTTTTCTTTCTAAGTTGGAGTGAGATACATATATATGCATTTATGCAGATGCACAAATACTCACATTTAATTCATTATATTTTCCTCTGAGGGGAAGCATTCTGCTTTAGGAGGGCCAAAATGAAAGTGTTCTGCTTTCTTCCTGTTTTTCTGTGTGAAAGGAACTGGGAAACTAGCCATCCCATGACAGCCACTGATAATGGAGACCGGCTCTTTGTTGATCACAGCTCTCTGACCATCAGATTTATGTCTGAGAAATTTGGGAGCCTACAGTAGAGAAGGGAGCAGCTCAGCAAACCACAGTGCCTTTTCCAGAGACTGAGGGGTTTTGGGCAGCTCCAGTAGCTGCTGGGTAGACTTGCAGAGAACTGGGCAGGCAGCAGAGTAGGGGAGCCAGAAGAGCACGGTGACCAACCTGTTCTCCAGCCTGGGTTCCATCAAAACTTGCACTGGAATCAACATAATTCTGTTGAAAATATAAACTCCAAAAAATTGACAGTGTCTGACTGCAGTCTGTTCTTCCAGCTGTTCCTTCTAACTAGCTTTTATGTGTATTCTTTTTTGTGAAGAAAAGGCTGGCTGGCGATTAGGTAATAAAACTCAAGTGCTTCAATAAAAATGTCTTCTTGTCTCATTTATCTAACTGGCAGCTGTAGGAGTGGAGGGTTTGCTGGCTTGTGCCTGCAGCAGTATGTTTCGTTTCCCTAGATGTGTCCAGACCCTGGAAGACAGCAGTGGCGCTGGAGGAAAATGATCTGTACCTAACCTTAGACCTCTACAGTGTAGATATAAATATGAGCCAGTTTCTGTAAGTGCCCTTTATAGTCAGTGGGGATGAACAGGTATTTTTGAACATGATCCATCTTGATCTATTTTAGATACCTGCTTTGGGAGAAGATGAACTGGAAGTGAGAGGTACTTGATTCTCTCAGCTGCCTGTAAAAGATGTCCAGTGAATTGGTTCAGATGCAGAGGGTACTGCGAGTTTTTTGTCTAGCCTCCCTCCTTGCTTGACGTTCTTCCGACAGCAGTCCTAGCACCACTGGCTAGCTCCATAGGAACTTCATTAATGCTGGATGAAATTTCCAGTGACATTTTGTTGATGGCGGTGGGGCACGGAGCACGGCTTCTCAGTATGCATACCTGTTCCCTCCTCTCCAGAAAACACACCAGGACTTGAGGCCACTGGCTCTTATTTAGTACTTCATTGGCGTGAGAGCCCACGGAAGGGTGCATGGGACTCACGTGTCTGCTGCATCTGGCTGTATTCCAGCTGTTTTGGCATTCATCTATCTGTAAATGCTGAGGTTTCAATATGGTTCTTCATGTGGTAGACTAAGTAATCAGTCCTGACAGAGCTGCACATGATTCTCCAGCAAAACAGCACTGAAATTGAAACAATTATCGTTCCTTGCACAAGGGAAACAGCACTTTATCTAATGTTGTCAATAGTGATTAGGTTTAACTTGCAGCTCCCAGTACCATAATTGGCAAATTGCAAAAGTTAATGCCATTTGGAGGAACATTTTAGAACAATAACCTCAGTGGTTAAATTAATATTGGAGAACATGAATACTTTTGCTAGAAATGCCTCTCTGTCTTCCATAAGCCTGTCGTGTTATACTTACTCAGAAATAAAAGTTCTCTGAAGAGCAGGAGACTGAAATACCTATCAGTCCAATCGTGGGTGACAGATTTGCAGTCCTCCTTGCCTTCTCATTCTGCTCCCAGGCCTACAGGTCACGTTCTGCAGTGAAGCACTGATGTGACTAGTGGCTTATAAAATGCTGGTTGCCATTTAAATATCTGGCCTATTACTAGGAACTTCTGCTGCATGTTTTTTCAGTTCTTGATGTATACCTTGCCGTGCAGTGTGTTTACTGTATTTATTCCAGTATTGCTCACTGCGCATACAGAAACGTCCTCACAAGGAAATTAAGACATGATTTCCTTTAACAAGTTTTTAATCTGTACTCTCATCATTGCCTTAAACAGGAGATCAGTAATTGCTACTGGTGATTCATCTGGGAGTTACCTGCCCCAAAACGTATGCATCATTTTAAAATAACCACATTTTCAGATTTGTGTTTCAGGCTATGTTCGTTCGGACAACTAAGTGGAGTAGATACACTGTCGCACCGTAACGGGAGCACGTTTACAGTCACTTGTATAATAACAAAATATACCTCTCTTCTTACAGCTCATACCAATGTGGTTGCCAATGATACAGTCAAATCTAAAGGTAAGTTGTTGCTAGTACATTACCCTTTTATTCTTAGTGTTACACGTTTCTGTAAACGCTGGAAATAAGATTACTAGAAGTGGTCTCCAAACTCTCAAAATAGATCACTGTAGCATGTCCAGATGCACTGGGTGGCTCAGCACTGGAAGGTCTCAGGTGTGAGTATACACAGAGCATCATCCACTAAGATATTTGTCCTGTAATCAGTACTGCACCCCTTTTCCCTTCTGAAATACTTTCTTCTAACCAGGTTCTGCAGCAGGGCCTTTCTTCTCTGTTTACTGAGATTGGTTCTTCTCAGAGTTGTGGTTTTCTTGATGTCTTAGGCTTGAGAGTGCCCTGACAAAACAGGATTGGGACTCTTGACTCAGGAGATGGATTTGGGTTCCACAGCAGATTCTGTGGGCCTGCTTGCTTGGGTAAAACAGTGCCAGCTGGTCCTGTTTGTAAGAGAGAACGAGGTGGATCAGTGTGGTTTGCCAGTCAAGAGCATTTCAGTGATGAGAATGAAAGTGTTGGAGTTGATCTCAGTATGGTTGTTTCTGTAAGCACATTTGCCTTTCATGGCAACACTACAGTGCAGGATGTGGAGGAAAGCAGTGTGACTTTGGGGCAGTGGAGGAATTTTCCCTGGCCAATAACCAGGACCTTTCACAATGTGGTATTAGTGTATGTATTAAAGGAAGGAAACTGAATGTTTTCCACTATTTCTACAGCATTTATCTGCTGGACTCCAGCTACGCCTCCAAGCCATCCAGAGTAATGTCAACCATCACAGTCTAAGGATGTTACATGGGTCAGGACAAATGAACAATAGCTCGTCTGTGCTCCGCAAGTGGCTACAATGTACCCAATTTAAAATGGCTCAAGTGGAAATTCAGTCGTCAGAAGCTGCGTCTCAATTTTATCCTTTATGATTCATGTGATTTGTTCCAAATGTTCATTTTTTGCTGAGCAATAACAGGGTTAGAGCTGTAAAAGACCTTTTGTATAAATCAGTATACAGAGTATATACTGTATCTATACTTTCTAGCCTAGCACAGATTGTGGAAAAGCTTATGACGGGTGAAGCTAAGAGCCTGATCCTGCCAGTCTTTAATTACATTTACTCAGGATCAACAGGCACTAAAGTCTGCATTCGTGAACACGTATTTGCAGGATTGGACTTAAATCTATCACATTGTACATATCACTGATCATTGAAATACCTTGTTCTTATATGTTTCTTTATTTTTGAAGCTAAGACAAAAATCACTTTTCTTTAACTTCTATTTTTTTTAAAAATAGAGCTGTGGGTATTCACAAACATGGAAGTGCTATGTTGCTATTTTTTGACAATAACAAAAGAAAACAGGGTTTTTAGGAACCTTTATAGGAGTTTTTGGGGGGGGGATGTATTTTTTTTTTTTAGATTCACAGCTGGCAATGCAATAAAACCTGTCACTATAAAACAGTGATATTCTAATGAGGCTTTTTGTCATCATCTTCTGGGAAAACAGCAGCTTGTAAGGACCGTTATTATAAAGTGCACTTAGAAATTAGGTTGTTAAACTGTGTCAATTCATTTGTCTTTTTCTTCAGTACTGTTTTCCAAAACTGCCAAGTCTGATTTATTATTTTTTGAAATATTGCTTTTCCTTCATTGATTCTGTGCTGCTCTTCTTTGTAGGTTTCATAGAAGTCTCTTTAATTTTGTGACTATTGTATTGTATTTTTCTGTCAATACTTGTATACAGTGCAATTAAAAATGGATATCCCAGACCTATTCTTATTGATGTCTACAGAAATTATGTTGTAGACTTCAGAGGATCATGACTGGACCTGAACTTTTGCATAATGATACTTAAAAATCACAGCATTTGCATACTGTTGTATTAAACATAATGTTTAATAAGAGGGATTTTAATATCATTAAGGGACTCAGCCAAAGCCCATTGCAATCTAAGGAGACTCAGTTAATTCAGTGGATTTTACATAAATTTTGAGAGCACTACGATTTACCACCACTTGTAATTAACACTTAAATCTGTGCAGTTACAGTTTTGTTTTCTTTATTTATTCCTGTAATGCACTGATTAGAAAAGTAACAAACACACATTTAAGTTCTGTATTAGAACACTGTTAAATTCCTAGCCTTTATTACCACTCTCAGAATCAACATTTTTCCTCCCTGATTGCATGGAATCGGAAAAGCATACCTGTAAAGAACTGCCTGATGCACTTCAGTTGTTGTGGAGGGTCAATCTTTCCTCAGTGCGTTTACCAAAGGAAAAACAGAAGTGTTTGCAGATATGACACTGAAGCACCATTACTCTTTAAAAAAACAACTCCAAACTCAATAAAGCTAACTAACCAACAAACCAAACCAACCAGTAAAGCATGTGCTACCTTGCTTAAAAATGTCCCTCTCTGGGTTTTCAGTGGAGAGAAACTGATTTGGCTTTCCTTCTTCCTCAGATTTGCACATTAATAGGGTCTAAGTTAGAATGCACTGGTCTATCCAAAAGAAAATCCAAGATTCGCCATAAACTATTTAATTGTAACTAGTTTTGCTTGTGTTTGTTTGAGGTGACTTGTATCTGACTGAATATAGTTTTTGAGTTTCTGGAAAACGTTTTTGTCTTGATGTGAAGAGTATTAAGAGATCCACCAGATGATAATTTCTCAGTGTGGTAGTAAAAGAGGGAAACTGTTTTCTTCCTCCAGCTTTTGACTGGCTAGGGGGACGGAAGGAACAAAGTGGTAGAGAAATGATTATGCATGTTCCCATCGCTTCTTTTTTACTCTCCCTTTTCACCTACTAATCAGCTAATAGTCATTACAGAATCACAGAATGGTTGAGGTTGGAAGGACTTCTGGAGGTCATCTGGTCCAATGCCCCTGCTCAAGCAGGGCCACCTAGAGCCAGTTGCCCATCAGCATGTCCAGAGGGCTTTTGAATACCCCCAGGGATGACGACTCCACAACCTCTCTGGGCAGCCTGCACCAGACACTCTCTGAGTAAAAAAGTGGCCTGACGTTCAGATGGATTCCTGAAGGCCAGTCTTGCCAGTAAAGGCTGAGGTGAGCAATGCATTCGGTACTTCAGCCTTTTCCATGTCCTGTGTAACTGGGTCGCCCATCTTACTCACCAGTAGGCCCACATTTTCCCCAGTCTTCCTTTTGTCACCTATATACTTCTAGAAGCCCTTCTTGTCGTCTTTGACATCCTTTGCCAGGTTCAAATCCTTCTGGGCTTTGGCTTTCCTAACTTCATCCCTGGGTGCTTGGACAATGTCTCTGTATTCCTTCCAGGATCCCCATTATTGATTCCACCTTCTGTGTACTTCCTTTTTGAGTTTGGTCACACACTACGCTGTCAACCCCAAACTGTCTTGTCTTTAATCCTTACCCATAAGCTCTCAGTTTACATCCATCCCAGGAAGAGCTCCATGCACTCACTCTCCCTCCTTGTCTTCCCGGCCCATCCTTACTAAAGAGCTTGCATCCCTCTGTTGCAACACTCCAGTCATGGGAATCATCCCACCACGTCTCTGTGACCCCAGTGAGAGTGTAGCCCTGCAGCTGAACACAGATCTCTAACTCACCATGTTTATTCTCCATACTGTGTGCATTCATGTGCATGTACTTCCAAGAGGCACCCCAGCACGTTGATTTCCCAGAAAGGGTTTTGAGGATTTCTCCGTAATGGTGCCCTGTACTTGCTCACATGCAAAACGCTGGTGGTGATCCTGGTTGAGCTCCTTTTTGTTGATTTCGTGATCCCTTCCTGTCACATCACCTTTGTTCATTGAACCTGTCCGTTACTCCCTCACAGGAATGCAGTTCAAAACTAAATGGTAGGCAGTTGTAACTTCGGCCTTCAGGCAAAAAGGAGCTGTGGACTGTGTTTTCAGCAGGATTGACTTGTTCATTTCCCAGGCTGTGCCTTCTTCCTGCTTGAGTCTGCAATACAGATGATAACTTTGATGGGTAATCACATACATAGGGACCAGGTTCACTTATTGTGGGGTCTGGGGTCACCCTAGTGAAGTGGAAGTGCTACTAGGCCCCTGGAAGCAGGACATGTAGGAGAGATTTTTGTATTTTGATCTACTGTGACCCGGTGAATCTGAAAGACAAGGAGAGGGAGGGAATATGAGGCCCTGGGGTGTGAGGTGGGTGAACTCAGATGGCTATAATGGGGATTGTGGAAACTTAAAGGATGAAGACAGGTGATTTGCAGGAAAGAGCAGAGCCTGAGGAAGTTTGTCTTTAAAAGTCACTTCTAGAAAGTAGAAGCCACAATCAGGCATCTCACTCAGTAGATAATGCATGTAGGCAACATGGCGCAAGTGCTTTCCCTGCCTAGCAAAATCTGTGCTTTGAAACGTCTAGTATTCAGACTGGCAAAGCACAAAAAGAATGCAAATGTAGTGGTGGGTAGTTATTAAAATTAAGCACAAGCCAATACCAGACCTGCTGAATCCAGGTCCATAACCAAACACTTCAAGACTTTGTGGGAATTTAGTTCCGGTTTCAGCTCAGGATTTAGAGATAAGAGCTGGTCACAGAATCTACTTCCATGTCTGAACACAGGGTTTAGTATGGATCTGTTACTGACTGTAATTAATATGGTTCTCATAGAGCTGTTATGACTGTAAATATGAATTGAGAAGCTGCTTTAGCATGGAGAATACAGCCTGGAAGATGGTATGACTGATTGATTGGGGATGTGCTGACTAATAATAACAAATAATGTGAGGCTTGGCCAGATGCGTGTGGTTTAGCACCTCGTGAAAACCTTCAAGTGCACTCTATGCATCTTCAGAAGTAGAGAAATCTGCATTAATTGTTTTTAAAAGCTCTGTAAAATATATCTTTACAGTGCCTGAGGTCAATATACAACTCAAATGAGTCATTCACATTATCTCCCTGAAATAGCCCAGAGCAGCAGCTCTCTATATTCTGTAGGAAGATTAGGAAGTAAACAACATTCTGTGTTCCCTGAAAAGGCTACCAAATAGCAGTGGCCAATCTTCCCACTCTGCACGGCTGCGTCTCTGGGGCTGTGTCACCAGGAGCAGAATCCATCCCCTGCCTGATCCCAGAGAGCTGCCGCTTAGTCACCTGTTGCAATAAGCTGCTTAAATCGATGCTCGTTACCAGGTCCTGACCTAGGAAACGAATCGATTCACCGCCCGCGGAGCTGTGGCATTTCCAAGGTCACAAGGGCCCTTTGGCCGCAGTGACGGTGAACACCCCGCACCGGCTCTGGCGCGTCGCCGCGCTGGGTTCCGTAACTCGTGGGGTCCGGAAAGCGAGGTGAAGGCCCAGGCCGGGCACCTCGGCCTGCTCCCCCTGCGGCCTAGCGCGAAGGCCGCTGCCTGAGCTACACGCGGGACCACGCGAACAAAAGGCTTTTGCAGCGCATCGGTTACTATCTACGTACGTGCCTTATCGTATACGTAACGCTTCTGTGACATCTCATTAGAGCCGTGGCAGGTCAAAGGCCCTAAAACCAGCCGGTTTGCTGGCTCTGTTTTTCATGCTATGTCAACAGTCGGCGTGCTCCGGGACTGATGGATGCTCTGAGCCTGAAGATCTCTCTGGCCTGCGCAGCCTCCTTTCAAACTGGATGAAGATTGCCAGAGCCCAGGGCTGTTTAGTTTTCGACGGTGTGTCCTGGCAAACCGCTCTGCAGCAAAGGTTCCCGATCTGTTCCCCCAGCTGCACACAGCCCTGGGAGATTTTCATCCACCGTTTTTCTTGGTGCGTCTTAACGTGACTCTTCAGCAGGGCCGAAGCCTATATTATTTCAGTGGGATCCTAATCTTGGTCGCATGAGGGCCATTTAGTCAACGATGTGGGTCTTCATCTTAGCAGTCTGCGTAAAATCAGGCAGAGGCAACAGCATTACAGTCAGCTTAAAACTGATGCGCTGTTTTGTTTGGCTTGATGCGAGTTTGAAAGGACGGGCTCTGCGTTTGTCTGCTGATTTTTAACTCGGATTTATTCCATCCACTTCTGCCTCTCCCTGCTGAGCACAATTTCAGCTGGAGGCTGAGCGCCAAGCGAGAGCGGTGAGAATAGCAACGGGAGGGGAAGGTGTCCTGATGCGTCTCCAACTGCAAAGGGATCAGGCAGAGAACCTGAATCCACCGCTGGCATCAGCCTCCCCAGGGCTTGCTGATGGGGAGCCAGGGGCCACCGCTGGAAATGTCTTGGGTCAGATAAGAGAAGGCTACATGATAATGGGGCCTGGCTGCCCGGTGAGCTGCTGCAGTGCCTAAATCCTGCAGCTGGGACCTGGGGGGCTTGCGGCTCGCTCTCTGCGTGGTTTGTGTATCGTAAAGTGTGCAAGGAGCGGGAGGTTGGCAAGAGCTGGCAGTGCTTGGGAAGGGTGGCTGGTTTCTCAGTCATAGTTGAGAAGCGTTAACATGGAAAAGCAGAACCCACAACTCAATCCCTGGAAATCTAGGTCATGAATTACTTTCCAGTATTTTGCTGGGTTTGATAGATACCACAGGGCTGCCAGCAGACTGGCGAACAGCCTTCTGTGCACCGCCCCAGATAACCTACTCTGACATTGCCCTTAACCAGCTCCCCATCAAACCTGACAAGCCATGACTGTGAGCCAGGAGGCTCTAAGCTTGATAGACACAACATAATGCCAGGTCAATTTTCTTGATGTATAATTCAGCAGCCGGGCAACATAACTGCTACTGTTGTTTCACTATTTAAAATCCTTTCAAAAAAGTACAATGGCACACCTGTGAAGTTTTACACAGAGAATAAAAATTTTTCTTTAGGCAGGTTAGCTTTCCTGGCAGCTCCATGGCTTTCATGTGAAGTCAAATTGATTGCAGTGAACTTATCTACGAAAGCTTTTTTTAACCTGTGAATCCTTGCCATGCAGGAAAGTGTCAGTAAAATAGAACATGAAGGACCATTATTAAAATAAATAGTTCGTTGAAACTGTTATCCATTTTGCACTACCAAGGAAATCCTGTGTACATGGTGTTCTTTAGCGAGATCCAAAGCAAGTACAAACTGCCAAATATGTACTGAAATCTACAGAGACACAATTTATACCTGTCAAGGATCAGACCCCGTATTTATAGCTCAGAAGGAACAAGGATTGATACTGTGAAGCAACTGAGCACCACAGAAATAAGTGTTTCTGGCGCTAGTCGGTTCCAGGGAGGTGTCAGATTAGACTGCTAAATTGACGCAGCCATGATTTGATCTTCCCCCAGATACGTTTATTCAACACCAGGTTTTGTCATCATTGCACAATCAAGCCAACAATGGAGGTTTTCTTCTTTGCCATGGCGGGGATGGCACATTCATTCTCCTGTGTTCATCTTGTCTCTTCAATTTGCT